TTCATAAAGGTTTTATTTTCCTCTGGATGGTACTGATCCTCTGTGGCTGAGAGATTTACAATGTCTGTATGTGCCTGGATAATACAGCCTGGGACTCAAAATGTATTTTGTTCATTAATTATTCCACCCTATGTCTATATGTCTACAGAAAGTAAGTTCATTTTATTGCTGGGTATTCCACCTTTTTCTGGAATATATTTTCAGATAGCAAACTCAAAAGACAAACCATGGTCTTACATGCCATATTGCATATTTAAATATTTTCAAGAGAAAATGATATGCTGTTTAAAAATAATAAAGGCATATAACTCACACTTGAAGAAAAAGTGGAAATATATTTATTTCATACAGACCTTTGTATTTTGAAATATTGCACTTAACTTCCATGAAGGACCTTATTATTTATCAGATGTTTTAAAACTCTTTGTCCATATTTAAAGTAAAAGTAACAGGAGCTGTTCAAGTCATGGGATAGCAATGCTTGCATAACACTTGGTAAGTCAGCAGGAAAACTAGCTAAACATGCCAGGCTAGCAGCTTCCTAATGGAGAGTGTATCATATTCTGCAGTGCAAACAAAACATTTTGAAGTTGAGTCATTCATGGACAGAATTTGTTCCAACCTTCAAATATAGAGTAAGTCTGAAGTTTGGAAAGAGAAGGCATTTGAAGTGAAAAACACTTCTTTCAGTAAGTATCATAGCTGCTTACATAAATTATTGATGGAAAAGCCTTCATTTCAGAGGAGATGCCTCTAGCTAGAACCTATTCAAAACTTTCAGATCACATCTAGATTACAAGCAAAATAAAAGACAGTCTTTATGTTCTTATTTCATACTAAAAAACCAGTATTCTGCATGACAAATAACGGATTTCAGAAATCCTTAAGAATTCTGTAATGAACTACAGCCTGGGTGTCCCTCACTAGGTACTTTTTTATCCTTAGGATGAGTACTAAAGGTATTTCTTTAAAACTACGCTATGAAAAAATTATTTTTCAACACTTTGCTTGTAACTATTATTTTTTGGCATGACAGACATTTATAGGAATCTATTGTTATAACTGATGTATTCCTATAGACTTTTGGACTGCTTCTCAAACAAGACAAAAAAATTTCTTAATTTTGTATCAAACTTCGTATTAAAACAGTCATGAAGACAGAACAGAAGGAATTCAACTTCTAGTTAGAATCACAGGAGAAAATGTAATGTTCTCCAGATATAATAAAATGCTGCCATGTATAGTGTGAATTTTAGTTTACAGTACATCTTCTTGGAAGTTCTCAAGATTTGCCTCATGGTTCTGTGTATTACTCCTAAGGAATTCTATCTCTAATTCTAATTCTAACTCCTAAGGAATTTCTAATTCTAAGAAATATGTATCCTTGAAAGGGTAGCATTTATGACATACTCTTCATATAAACTGTAATCTTCTCTATGCCTTTTCTTAGAATAATAGCTCTACAACTTCTGTTTCATTTTTTTTATTTTCATACTATTTATTATATTTGGCATCATACACTTATTTGAAAAATTCTTTAATATACGAAGGTTAGCTAAAAGCTGATAACTAGAATCAGATGTTGCTTTTAACTACTACAGACTTCTCACCCTCAGTGTTCTGTCCAAAGTCAAAGTAGGTAATTACATTTCAATTACTCTGCTCTACAAAGGCTCCTATCCTACACTCATCATGCTATCTCAAATCTAGAACTTTAATTGTAAAAAGCATCATCTCATCTTGTAATGGCATGCGTCACATTTCAGCGTGATCTGTTTTAAACCAGTGAAGATCAACTGGTGCCATTGCAGGCCCACTGCTAAGACAGAGCTAATGAAGGCTCACGGACTCAAACTGCCTACATAGGATCAGCATTTGTACAAGATATCCCTCACCTAAAACAAAAGATTTAATATTATATATAATTTTTCACTGCCTTCAGTAGGCCAGACTGTATAGGACTAGGGGAAAAAAGTCACATGGAAAGGCTGGCTTTCAAAACTTTTGAACTGCCATAGATATTCAGGAATAATTCTCCCTGTGGAATCCATCACTCATCCTGGGAAATATGCTATCAACATACCAATAATTTTTCTTTTAACATTTTTACCAGTGAGGAACATTTTTGTATTCATAGTAGATCTACTAATTTTCACCTTAACTATGAAGTTTTTGAACACTAAAATATCTCCAGCAAATTTCAACATTCTGAAAGGTCCCTCTTATTTTTTTTTTAAGTGCTTTAAAATGAGGAAAAACCCAAAACACAAACAGACTTAAAGATGAGTGAAAACAGAACTAATGGAAGACAGAGAAGAAAGAAGTTCCTTAAATCTTTAGATGATACATAGAGTTTATGTCTGAGAAAGCCATACTTGACAGACTTGTGTTACAACTCAGGAAACTTCCTATCCACTAATTACAATGCAAGGTCTAGTCCTAACAAATACTGTTGAATTTATGGCCATGAGTTTTGAATATATACTGTGAGACCATAGATTATTTTGTCTTGACTGTAAACAAGGGGGAAAAAATCTATTTCTGCTGAATATACAAATTTATAATTTGAGATTTAAAACAATGAGCACTCTTATCAGCTTTTGGATACACTAATAAAAAGCTTTTACCAGAAATTTATCTTGGCGTAACAGTGAGAAATAAGATTCATATTTTGCTAGTCAGTTTTTAGGACCTGTGTTTGTAAAAGTTGCACAACAAAGTAATTTTATTTTCCATTTGTTTTAAAATTTCATATTTAATTAAATTGCTAAATTTGAAAGTAAACATATTATACATGTATTAATAAAACTGTTTTCTCTAATCAGGGTCAAGTCTCTGTAGAAGTAAAACAGCTTTTTAAAAACCAATTTTCCTGGCACTATTAATTCAATGTAGAATTTCACAGATTTCACACTTTATCAAAAAAGTGCTTCGTTCATTAATTTTAAGGGCATTTTTAATGTGTCTAGGCATAATGGATATGGTACACATAGATGATAAATATATACACCTATTCAGACAAATCTGGGTAGAGCACAATTCCAGCTATTTCTTTAAGATTTAGCTGTCCTTGTCATTTCTCAAAGTCTCTGCATCAGAGCAACTGTATTTCCCTTGAGCAAGTTAAGTAATTTTCTAAATGGATGCTTGAGTTTCAAATTGTTAATAAGCAAAAGGCTTCACTTTGTCCCAAAAATTCTAGATAAAAGATAGTCCTATCTTTAAGCATTTTTGATACAAAAATAATTCCTTCACTTTAGAAAGACACAAGATAGAGACCTCATGAGAGCAAAGTCTATAGAGTCATGCCAAGAGAAAAACTGGCTTGTAAAATAAATTTTATCTTATATAAAGTTATACTCAGTAATCCATAATAATGAATAAATAGATTTTAACACATTATTTGGATTCAGAAAAGACCACTAAATGATAGGATTTGACATGTCGGCGTTAGCTGTAGGAAAACTTGAATAATCTGAATATTGTGAGACAGTTTTAATTCTTGTGAGCATTGGCTCTGAAACAGATTCAGAAAGACAAAAGAAAATAAATAAAAATCTTGTTTTCACTTGTAATCTTTGTGACGTGTCCTTGAAAGTGGTTTTGGAGCTGAAAACCCCAGGCATTTCAGGCAAATGATAGTCTCATCTTTATTCAACTCATGGTGAGTACAGGAAATAGAATAAAATTGAATAATTATGTTATGTTATGCCTGGAGTTATGCCTAAGAAGCTCTGACCCAGTTTGAGGCATGAATAGAGCAGCTATCTGCAGGCCCACCAACGAGGCCACAAGTGGACACACCCACAGCATCGCTCAGACAGGACTGCAAGGCCCAGGATGAGCTGAAACACATCCCCTGTGTCCTGCGCAGGGCACCATGTGGTTAGAGGCTCCAGAGAATGCCAGTCCCAGCCCTAGGAGGCCTGCACTCTCTGGATCCAGGCAGGAGCAGCTCTACACCACTCCTAAGTTTTCCTTTAGACAATGATGGCTGACCACTTTGAAGAAGAGCATTGGGCCAGTAGACGTCTGGCCTGATGAGCACTGTTGTTCTCAAGCTCTCTTGTTTTAGCTTTTTTTCCCACAGAAAACAGGTCAGGCATTTCTAAAACTGATTACAAGGAAAAAAACATCCACAGGGAAATGAACAAGTATTGGTATTGCTCACCTCAAAAACATTTGCAACCATTTAGTTCAGGAGCACTTTGTCTTTGAGCCTTGCAAGTGACAGAGATGCAGGCCTTTGACATCCTGTGGAAACCCAGATGAATTTGATGAACACAAACTTTAAAAAACCACACTTTTCACATGCTTTTTTGCAAATTTGTTCAGTCCTTCAAATCATCATATGACGATCGGACCCATCAGAAGGTTCAAGCACCTTCCCACAAAGGGACACAGCCAACACCTAGGCTGAAACATGATTAGCTATTCAGTCCCTTCTACTAATGCAGGGCTGGGAAGAAATATGAGAGATTTCCTCAGCATGTACTGCTAGGGAAAGGAGGAGATAGAAACAATAAAATTCAAATTTAAATATGAATTAGAAATTTAATTAGAATTAGAATTAGAATTAAATAGAACAGAACAGAATAGAATTAAAATGGATGAGACCTACAAGAATCATCTAATTCAATTCCCTGATCACTTCAGGGCTGACCAAAAATTAAAGCATGATATTCAAACATGGTGCGTTGACCTGTTCCTGTGTTTCACCACCCTTTCTGTAAATAAATGTTCCGTCACGTCAACTCTAAACCTCCTCTAGTCGATGTATCCTTGAGCCGTTCCCACACGTCCTGTCACTGGACACTAGGGAAAAGAGATCAGCACCTTCATATTCCCTCCTCATGAAACTGTAGAGCGCAATGAGGTCACTGCTCAGCCTCTTTTCTCCAAACTAAACAAGCTTAAAGTCCTTAGCTGCTCCTCACAGGGTTTGAAGATCTGCTATGATGGAATGACTGCAATGGTCCACAAGGGAAAACTGACTGTTGTCATCCACCTGGGCTCATTTGAAGGCCTTTGACAAGAGCCCACATGACATCCTCATCTTTCACCTAGAGAGACATGGATTTGAAGGTTAGATAAGGAATTGGCTGGATGCCAGCAGGTCAAGGAATGTGATTCTTCACCTTCACTCTGCTCTCAAGGAAACCTGGGATAATGCATCTAGCTTTTGGGTCCTCCGCACAAGAAAGATGTGGACCTGTTGGAGTATATCCACAAAATGATCAGAGGAGTGGAGCACCTCTCCTAAGACAAGCTGAGAGAGCTGGACTTGCTCATCCTGGGTGAAAGGTGGCTCCAGGAAGACCTTATTGTGGTCTTTCAGTACTTAAAGTTTTATAGAAAAGGAGAGTGACCCTTTATACATTTGGATAGTGATAGGACATGGGGGTATGGTTTTAAATTAAAAGAGAGATTTAGGTTAGGTGTTTGGAAGAAATACTTTCCTCAGAGAGTAGTGAAGCAATGGCACAGATTGGCCAGGAAAGCTGTGGATGCCCCATTCCTGGAAGGGTTAAAGACCAAGTTGGATGGGGGCCTGAGCAACCTGGTCTTATAGGTGGCAACCCTGTCCATGGCAGAGTGATTGGAAATAGATTGTATTTAATGTTCTTTTCACCCCAAGACATTCTATGATTCAGGTTGAAGAATCACATACATATTACATTGACATTTTAAAAGAGTCTTCATAATTGCAATTTTTCTTTCTCCAGATCTAGCTTCTCTCTGCAATGAAGTGTTGGTCACTCATTGCTTGGTCACAGAACAAAAAGGCAGTGGCAGAGTCAGTGTGATTTTCCCCAGCAGAGGAGAAGAAATGAAGGCATTAACTGTTGGAATAAGTCACAGATTTGTGTTTGTTTCTGGTGTGGTATGATATGGCATGGCATGGTATGGCACGGTATATCAGCAGGGAACTTATCTATTTCTTTCAAGAAATCTTCTTACATGGGCAAATAACTAGCTGGATAGAATACAACTACAATTCTGCAAAAAAAAAACATGTCACAGTGTCTCAGCAACTAGAATATTCCAGGCAGAAACATTGTGAATGATTTATGAAAAAGCATCAATTAACCAGTCCCTTGAGGTGACAAAATTAGCATTTTAATGCATGTATTACCATAATTTTTTAATATTTCAAACACCACTCAAACACCACAGCAACCAGTGGCGACTGCAGGTGTTGAATATTTCTATGAGATAAGAGAAAGGGGCACAGGATCCCGTTATCAACATGTACTTTTCCCTGCCTATCCCACCACACAGCACAGCCCTGAAAGCAAGAAGGCAAAACAAAAGTCCCCCCCAAATGCCAGATCAGCTCACAGGAAAGACTTGTTAGGGAGTGCAGAATCATGCACTTCTGGGACTGCTGTACTTTATGAAGTGGACTGAAAGAAGAGAGGCTCAAAAGGCAGCTTTAAAGAATTTCTGATTTGTGCCTTTCTCCCTTTATGCTGAACACAATTCAGATACAGCCAGGAGCTGGGCCAAGATATTTGGTGTGGCTATATCATACTCCAGCAGTCAGCTGGAATCATTTTATGTTGCTATTTTTATTTAGGACAGAAGTTGAGTCTGGTTTTCTTTTCATATTTAATCTGCTAGCTAAGACTTAGCTTTCCCTTTTCCAAAAGCCCATTTAGAATGCAGCTTATTCCACACTTCATTTTGCTTGTATTTCAGCTAAATATATTTTTAATGACTGAACTCTGATTTGTTATAGATCCACTATACATTTGTATCATGACTACCAATTAATTTGGCTTTAAATTTCTCAAAGACTATATAAGAAGGGAGAATCTTCCAGGAATGCAAATGCCTGAATTTTAATTGAAACGGAGGAAGAAGCTTTGTACCTGTTCTTCATGAAAAGCCCAGAAACTTTAGAACTGGAACTTCCCACAGAATGGTTTCTAGTATCAGCAAATGTTTAACTGCATTCTGTCAATGCTATCTGTTGAGTGAGTTAAATACAACACCTTTCAAGACAGAGAAATAAGATACCTTGACAGCTTCCTAAAGTGCTACATAAGATAATTAAACTGTAAATTCTATTTCTCTATGAAAAATGTAGCTGAACAAACTCCTAACCATTAGTCCTTTAGTTCTTCCTGTTTGGCAGATCTTCCTCACTTCAGCTTCTCTGGACAGAGGAGGAGACTGTATTCAAAGTATACTTCACAGAATACTTTTCTACTCCCTTCATGGAGAGTGAAAAGCAGATGCTCACTTGCTTATCCCCTTTCAATATTGTATTATTGGCTCTTACAAGACAGTTGTGTAGTGTGTAAAGGGAGCAAGTGAGGCTTATCTCATCTGGAAGCTTCCCTTTATTTCCTTTGAAAATATGGGGTTTTTTTCTGAGATATTGAACACACGAATTTTCAGAACTGTTAAGAGCAACCTCTGGTTCTCAGCAGCTCTGAAAACAAGGTCACAGGCATCTCACTTTTCCTATCTCTTTCTGAAAAAAGGCTTAACTAGAAGTTCAGAAACTATAATTCCTAACCTTGCAGCTTTCAGCTCTTACTTAGGGCTTTTGTTCCCTCCCTCTAGGCACTCTCTTCATCTCTCCAACATCATCACTTCACTCCATACATACGTTCTTCTCCTCCAGTTCTTAGTCTCCCCCATTCTCTCTTCACTCTCTATCTGACAATTTCCAAGAAGCTGTCTGTTCTCCAAATTATCCCTATGACTACAGTTAGTGCCTTTCCTTCCCACTCCCAGCCAATCCTCTCTCTTTCCAGTCCACAGGGAAGCCTGTCTAGATAGTTGGTAAACAAAACTCACACTGAACAGCAGAGTAACCAATTGTTCCCTACCAGACCTTTCAGGCTAGCAGTGCCATTCAATAAATTATCTAACCTTGTAAGAAGTACCATAAAGATTTTATGACAAATATGCTATGAATTGAGATGCTTGCCTCTGCAAGAATATTTATCTAAAATCATGTGGTGGACAGCTGTTTTTTGCTGGCAACACACTTAAAATGCATGGAGTATTCAATGATTGAGCTGAATTATATTGTCCTTTCTAGTTTATGGAAGGCTCTTTCCCTCTCTTTAAAAATCTGCCATGCTTCTTCATATGTTTTTCGTATTTATTTGCAATATTTTTTTGGTACAAACAATTTTTTGCACTAAACAATATCAACTCATATTTTAATATATTGATACACACAGTATTGGAGTTTGTCAGAAACTCCAAAAGAAATTATCTTTCTGCTATAAACAGCAACATACATGCTCAGTGATGAACTCAATTTTGAATTCTCAGGAATAGGAATAAATTCAGTAGGACTACCTGCTGTGTCACACTAGTAGCCAAGTTATCCACAGGCTCAACAACCCTTGTAGCAGGAGAGTGGAACAGCCCAAAGCTCTGCATTCTTTTCTGTCAAAGCAGTTTTTAAGTTGACAAGGGCCAAGATCTGCAGACATAACCACTAGCTTAAAGGAAAGGCAGCAGCCAAACAAGACATTGTAGCCCACTTTGAGAATCTCCCAAAGGTGGGTAGAGCTGAAGACCCTCTTTTCCCCCAAGATACTTAGACTGGCACTTATCTGCTTTGACACAATTTCTAAATCCATTTAACGGTTGAAAGTTTGAAAGTTGAACGGTTATGCATTTCTCCAAACCTGAAGACTATCTCAAGATTTTTAACATGTAGGCTTGTATACGACACAGTTGTATCAGTCAATGATTGCTAATAATTTTTTTTTAAAGCACCATCTTACATAAAAAAAACCCCTAAGTTTAATTCATGCCACAATGATTTGTTTGCTCAACAATACTCCAGGTGTTGTTATCTTTTGAAGAGATCTTTTTACACTAATTTCTACCTCTCATAAGCCTCAGAGTCTTACAGAATAAGAAAGAGCACATGCAGTTGCCTTGAACTGCTTTACATGAGTATCTTGGTACCACTTACAAGTTGATCTGTAATAACCCATGAAAGATTAGAACAAATTGCATTAAATGCTGTCCCTCCTTTTTTTAATAATACCATCACAATAAATCTGTACATTTGAGGATGAAAAAGAGAAGGATATTGAACATGACGGTGAATAAAAATAAAATATTGATACAATTTAATCAGACTGATACTTCAGTAATTTGAATAGAAAATTAAATCAGTTTGTTCATTCAGTTTAGGAAATTTCCACTCCCTATCTTCATTCACTTCACTCAGATTAACCAAATGTGAGTGCACAGATTTGGCTAACAGTTCAAGACAAGGACAGAAATATATTCGTCCTCAGAAAAGGTCAGCTGGAGGCTCTATTTTTTATTTTTTTTTTAATGCAACTGTCTCCTTTGGCTGAATGTTGGTAAAGGAAATATCTTCTCACCAGATATAAACTGCAGTACAGTCTTTGGCCCAAAGACAGTCTTCCTACAAAGACTGCATTATTCCTAAACTGTATAAGGAATATTTAACAAAAGAGAACAGGTTTATGAAATGAATCTGTTTAAGAGAGTTTAAGAATTGATATCAAGATGCATGAGAACATGCTGGCTTCTCTTTAAATAGGAAGAACATTAAATAGTCACTCTCTTTCTTGGTCATCTCTGATTTGTCACTCAATTTTAATTATACTGTGCTGCAGAAGGTTCTCAGCCAAGCCAGTTGACCAGCTGTGTAAGCTCAGCTCACCAAAAGCATGAAACTACCTCTCAGTGTATCAATAGGTTGCGAGCAATGTACACTGATTTCAAAGTCCTGATTCTGTCATGAAAAAATAACTTCCATCACAGCATATACCAATATTCAACTTCACAAAACCAGCACATGAGAACAGTGTCCCCATTTGCTTCAAAATCACAGAGGTTACTTATTGTTTCCATATTTGGAAGATAAGACTCACTCCTTTTTTAATTTAGACTGACTCAAATGTGTTACAGTTAATAATTACAGTTACTATAGTTAAACACTACAATAACCCTTAATGTATACTCTCTAAAATAGATTGAAATGCTACTAATGGTTTTGGTAAGATAAATATTCTTCCCTACTTAAGTTTTGAACAATGAGTGAAAACCAGGAAGTGACAATAAGGAGCCAAAACTGAGAAATCATCTTGAAAATTAAGATAAATGCAAATTTTCTAACTTATTCCCCTTCTCCAGCTTTCATAGCCATCATTTCATACATTATTGCAGAGTACCATATGATGAAAGTAACAATGCCCCCTTATAATAATATCATATCCATCCAGGGGTTTTCCCTCTTTTCTGGAAGAACACTTATGCAAGTGAGAGTTATAAGAACGGTTGGAATAAGCAACCTCATGGACAGGTGCTGGGCAAGCAACGACTGAACAGGAACACTGACTGAGCACCACACTTTTGGCTGGATGTTTCCACAGCAAAAAAATATTAGCTATAATGTCTGAATTTCACTCATCAGCCACTTTCTTTTTTCTACCCATTTCTCTTTCTCTTGACAGTATTTTCCTTTGAATGCAATGGGGCTTTATGCAGTGGCTGTTCAGAAGCCAATATAATAAATCTTAATTGCATTCATTCAAACATTGGGTGAAATCAGAATAGAGTCAATTTGAAATCCCTAACCAGTAGTAGAAATGGATACAAAAATCTTCCAGTACTGGAAACTCTGACTGCCTAAAACAAAGGCTTTCTTTCAAGGTATGGGATTATTCTTTTCTGATTAATTTATGGTTTTCTCCTTTTCTACTCTACATGCTTATCATTGAATTGCTTAGCAATTCCTAGTGCCTTGGAATGTAATTTCATGCTAAATTCTATGTTGGAAAGCTCAGGTAGGTTTTCGGGTTTTTTTGGTTTGGTTTTTGTTTCTGTAACTCCTCAAAAATAATTACTTAGAAAGCATTTTGCAGTGCATATCATGCAGAATTATTTGGTTAATCAAATTTACATTTAGTCTGTAAATTTGCAGCAGTTTTACATATTCCTTGCTATTTAGTAAAATGTTTCTGATAAAACCATCTTTGAAATCTTTCCCCACAACAGTATCTACAGGGGGAGAGCCATCAGCTGGTTCAAGACCACAGTCCGGGTTTCTCAGGAAAAAGCTCTTCAAGAAAAGGGTTTGTGGCTCTTGAACTTCAGATTTGGCTCTAACTATAATACTTAATTGACTGTATAATGTTTGATAAAATTCAGTATTAAAGGGTTTGTTCCCCAAGGCACACTCTCATACCAGTCTGTCTTGGACCCAAAACCAAAGCTTATTTTACATCATTTGTAGATTCTGCCCCCTTGATTAACAACTGATTTTCCTGAACTTAATTATTTCCAAGTCTTGATTCACACAACTGCTGCAATTGAGCATCTAGACTTTTACAAATTGAACTCTAATCAGACATTTTCCACCAAAATGCATTCCAGCAGCTGGACCACAGATCAGAATTCTGCAAGACTACAGTCAGCTCTATTCTTATAGTATACCTTTTTTGCAGAAATATGTTCAGTGCTAAACCTTGCACTACACTTGATTTGGGTGTAAAGTTTAATAAACCATACCATTTGTTTGAATATACCATTGTTGAATCCAAAGACCAGAAATACATAATGTTCACCCTAAGACAGCAATCAACAATTTCTCAGTTCAAACAATATATACATAAAGAATAAAACTTCCAGAAATTCTAAAATCACAGAAGTGTTAGCATCTATATTTACAAATGGAAGGACATATATAAATGTTACAATCCTCCTACAAGTAAAGGAATTTTATTTACTCCATAAGTATCTTTAATAGCAACAAGTACAGTCAGTGGTGAGGAGGCAGTGAAGCTGCTGTCCACTCTTACATAAATATATATAGTGACCATTGTTGTGTCTTTAAATTAAGGAATAAAAAAGTAGAAAGTATAAGGCTTCAATGCAAATTCAATATATGAGAACAAAGAAGGTAAATCCACAGGATTAAAAACAGCATACAAATAATTCACATGATAAACTAAGTGCAGGGAAGCTTGGGTGTCAAAACTTAGAAAACAAACCTCTTTGTATATATTGCTGCACTACAATTAAACCATTACACTGAAATATGATGTTGATGTAGTACTCACTACTGTGATGTTAGTGTAGTGATCACTAAACAAATAGAAATTGTTACTGCATAATGCCTAACTTCTTTGAAGCACTTTTCACCTATAGATATCTAAAAGGCTCAAAGCACAACAGTAATAGCTTTTCAAAATATTATGATAAAGCTACTTCAATAGCTATTCTGACACAGCACACTTAAAATAATGTTGATTTTTAAATCTTTCAGGCCTTTGAGTTATTTTACATGCTTTCATTACAAAGAGGAAAAAAAAAAACAATGGCTTACCCGTGGAGATGAGGGATTAAAACTGACATTGATTACAGATTCTGTGTGTCTCCCCAGTTTTTGTAAAAAAGTGCTTGAACGCATTTCATATATGTAAGCCTAAAAAACAATGAGTTGATATTTCAGTATTAAAAAAACCCCACATTCTTGAAGCATTAGATATAGAGTATAGAGTAGTAACATTAAATATATAGCCTACAAAGAAGTTAGAACATTTTAATCATTGGAGTTATCTTATTTAGAAGGTATTAGATTCCACTTAAAAGAAAGGATTTAAATTCCAAAGAACATAATTTAAAATATATTTTAAAAGGGTAATTTTTTACCTGCTTCTTGAAGTACACCCAAAGTTTATTTATTTATTGGGGAAAGAGTGCATTATTCTTTCTAATTTTATTTTTTTTAATTTAAGTTAATTTAAGCATTTGCTAAATTATCGCAAAATATAGAAATCGGTTCTAAGATATCGATTACTTTCATATCTGTTTAGCTCTTGTACTGCCCAGGGCATATCCTTCGAAGGCCTTTTTAATAAATACCTACTTGATTCCTTTAACTCTGTCTAGCCTCTGTTCCAGGTCAGCCTCTTTAGGCTTCAGTTCCCTTTTATGGAACGAGGAACAGAGAAGAGACAAAGTCAATAATACAAAGAACCAAGAGCACAAAATGCTCTGATTCACAAATAAACATGCTCCATCTTTTAACCAAGAGAACATATCACAGAGAGGCATGGTTAATGAAGCTGAAATTTTTCCATCATAACCTAGTGCCTTACAGAACTTTGCCAGAATTATCCATTAAAAATTAGTTTTCCATTCCAGGTCCTCAGTTTAACTTGGGAAGGACCATGTTCATTTTTGGCTTAATCTTTATGTCCCTCTTCCAGTCTGTAAGATAGATGTGATAATATTTCGTTATTTTTTGAACAAAACTCCAAAGTTTGTTAAACCCAGGTATTCTGGTAATTTATGCTCTTCCACACAGTTTCTAAATCAACCATTTGTCTCATACCTTTCTTTCAAAAATGCTGTGAAGCAGTCATGCAGCTTAATTATAATCTAGTGAGAGTGCATTTGGTGCTGTAGTCACACTTCTCTGCCTAAAAAGCACTCAAACCCTTACCTCCCATCTTTCAAGAAATTATTCTTAGCCCTGAGCTAGAGACTAGGCTGGGATGCAGCACTTTTCCAAACTGTTGCATTGTCACAAATTCATTGGATCAGAGGAAAGTCATGATAAACAGCTACTGGTAGAAGCCCACCTGTAGCTAACCACTGAAGCATCAGAAGTCATGGGAAAGACTACCAGATATGGGAAAGCCCTTTCCTCTGACCTTTACAACAAAGACTCTATGCTCATATTGAACAGCTGCTAGGCAAAACACACAGACCATGCCAGGGAACACAACCTGCCCATTGCACGTCACTCTTACAAACCCATCCTCATGGAGCTACTGCTAAACATCTTTCCAATACTGTATTCCTAGCCCCATAAATTTTAAATATTTAGGTGTAATGGTTCAACAGAAAAAGGGGCAGAGTCTCTAGCTACATGCAAGAATAGTTTATTACATTGCAGCAGGTATCATCTCTTCCAATAACTGAAAGGAAAAGTAATAGTAATTTTCTGAGTAATTTTGACATGCAAGACAATAAAATCTGATTAAAAGAAAAACATCATCATATAAAAGTGGATAAAACCAGCTTCTGTTTAAGTCGCTCTAGCCATAGGTACTTAAACTAGCCAGTGACAGTCTAAATTCTGAGAATAAAAGTTACCTTGGTTAAAGATTGAAAGCACAATTATTTTTTACTTCAAAAGTTTAAAAACAAAACATAAACCCCAAAGAGAATTGTATTTTAACAGAACTAACACTCATAAGAAGAGGAATTACTCCAGTATAAACATTCTTCTGCTATAGTCTGCCATTATTGTAGTTTTGCTGTATTTTCTGATGTCATCCAAATGGTTTTTCTATTCTATACTTACTAGATTATTTTAGCATAGTCTTCTCTACAGAAAAAAAAGAAAATAACAGAAACCAAATAATAAATTATACCATTAACACTAGCCACAGAAGAATAAAAAAAGCTTGAAAACATTAAATCAATGACAGAGGAAGAACAGATTTTCAGCAAACCAAATGTAATGAAAAAGAAAACAAAACACTCAAGGAAGCACTCAGCAATACCCAAAATGCGTATGTGCATATAATGTTTTAGACTTTAGCCAAAGTCAATCCCCTTTTTTAATATTAAGATGAATTTTGTCTAATAAAAATACTGATTCAGTAGATATTGGTATTTCCTTTCCAATTCTTGCTGAGGGTCAGCCAAAAGTAAAAATAATTTACCTGTACCAATAGCTTCCAAAGAAGTTTCTTGGCCCCATAACCACATACTTACTTGTATTTCCTTTCACTAGACATTTGAAGAACACTTGGAGTAGTCAGTTGTCAGTAACCCAGAGTGTGACAGTGTATTTAGCACCTTACAAGTATACACAAGCTTCTGCTTTCTTCCCTAGACTTGTACCAAGAAACAGGGAGGAAGGGCAAAAGGCCCCTCCTTGAGTGGAAGAATTTGTATCCAGATGGAAAATTACTTAATTCTACTGCATTGGTAGACAGAGTGTGCTAGATAAGTTGACGCTTTATCTGCAGAGTTTCACTGTAAATTCTTTTCTCCGTTTTCTCACATTCTAACTTCAAAGGAAACTTGTTCCCACTGCCCCCTAGTCCAACCCATGGCCATAAACATTTGTGTCAAGCTACTTACACTCCTACAGCCTCCTAATATAGGAAAGAGGGGAAAGCAAATTATAAGCACTTGACTAATAACAGAAGAATTCTCCTTGTTATCAGCTTTTGCACAGGGATCAGAAAAGCAACACCCATTTCAAGGAAAACCCTTTGTTGCTGCTGTGGCTTTAAGCTGAAGCACGTATTTTACAAACAGATCACAGGAAAAGAACACCACTAACAAACAAACAGAAAGACATTGATATCTAAGATACCTAATTTGGCCTTACACAAATAGAGAAGTTTTCCTCACATGTTTTGCATGGATTGGCCAATGTCATCACTTTTCTGTGATTTTTTTTGTCCTAATATTTCAAATGAGCTACAGAAGAGAGAAATGTTAAAGTCCCTTAACAGAGGGATAGAGTCCCTTGATAATCTGACACGTTTTTATAAAAGATATCTGCCATTATTAATAAGGCATTATTGGCCATTTGCTTACATCAGTGCCATCAAATTTGATGCATAAGCCCACAGTACATGATATAAGTGTTTGACTTGCACTCCACCACTCCTTATTTATATTGGGGCACATATTCCACTGAACCATGTATTTTTCCTCAATTTCAAGCTAAAAAAGCTCCTGAACTACTTACGCTAAAGAAAAATAACAATTAACCTGAAGCAGACATCAAGCATGGAAAGTTTTAGCCCAAAATGTTCTTACTTATAAGCAACTGAAAACAGAATTATAGTGGAAAGTGTTAGACTACCTTAACTATAGGTGTTGATGCCAAATCCACACATAATAAAACAGATTTCACAAGTATCCTAAGCATTGATTAATGCCCTTCAGTCCCAAAATACCTTATACACTTACCACATGGTAGCACGGAAAGCCTAATCAAGCCTGACACCAAAATGTGAGTACAGTACACCCTCTCAGAGTCTCTCTCCCTTTTAATGACTCTTATGGAGGCTGTCTTTCTGGTAGCCACAGGAAACTTCCTGCTACTGTAAGATCCCAGTTTCCATATGATTTCTTTTGACATAACTAAAAAAATGAGTGACAGTGAATATTATTTATGCTCTTTATTATTAAAATGGTTCATATTATAGATATCAGTCATCTTTCAAGATGTAGGGGATATTCTTCAAATGTATCAATCTTCTGGCAGTTATAGCTAACACATGTGAATTTTCCTCACTAAAAAAAATTACATAAACCATATCTGACTTCCCTCTCTAAGCCACCCTTCTATGAAGCTTCCAAATTGAAATTTTTGCCAATTCAGTTTCTATTTAATTTGCTAATTTTAAGGCCTAATGTATGTGATTGTTTTTGTTTGTTTTAATATGAAATTTATGCAGCACCGTGCACCACTGAATTTAGGTTGCCTTACTGTTAGAACACACACAGTGTTGTCAGAGTACAGAATTAGAAGTTGAAGACTTTATTCTAAGAATTCACATCTCACTATGAAGCAGCATGGTTGTATCACACCCACTTTGGCTCTTTTCTGACTGCTGCTAGGATTCTCCTCTGTATCAACACTACCAATAATTGCATTTCCTGCTTGTGCGCTGGTTTTGACTGACAGCAGTACTGAAAGATTCAGATGCTGCAAAGGACCTTCAACCAGATTTTTGTACCAGATGTACCAATCATACCCAAAATTCAACTAGTGTCAAGAATTGAGACCAAGAGGTACACATATAGAAAACACATATAGAAAGCCCTGTGGATATAAAACTATATATATCCACTTTTAGCACCTCACTGCTGTATGCATTCCAAAATGAACATTGGGTATCCATATCTACTTCAGCTTCCTGTTTTGTCTATAGTTGAAGATGGAGTATCTTTCATAAAATTAATTTATTTACCAAAAAAGTAAAGCCAAAAAGGCTAATTTCTCACAGTTCCTCCTATCTCTCAAAAACATCAGCAAAATTCAATGTTAACACAGTAACAAATTACAGAGTCATAAAATTCATCTGAAAAAAAAAAAAAAAAAAGTTGTTCAGTAGTAGTTAAATAACAACACATCTATAGCCATCAGAAAATCCTCCACCTCTCTCAGCTGCTAATCTGGTTTTGTGGTGGTCAGGTCTGAGGCATAGTAGCCTAGATAAGCAATAGCCTGAACTGACCAAAAAGCACACAAAAACAATTAATGTGCTCATATTCACAAAACTCTATGGTTCATAAAATAACCGACAAAGGCCGAGATTTTCAGTCATCTTCAAAGATAACATCCAGAGAGACAGTGAAGTAATAGCATACGCAAAGTCATGACTGTATGATCAAGAAAGCAATATTTATCTGTTCACTTCTAGCATAATGGGCCTAACAGCCAACCACGTTACCAAGGAATCCAAAAAACTCAGGTTCAAGACTGAAACAAAACTGTGTTCCTCTTTGGAAAGGGGTAGATTTTTTTCCACCAACAGGTGGCAGAGAGGCTATCGCAGTCTGTCATTCATTCTCTGCTATGGATTTTGTTCTGCCAAGCAATGTCAGTCCTGCCTTCCCCACAGTAAACATTACTAATGCTGTTTTTTCCAGATGTTTCCTGTTAAAGCCTATCTTAGTTAAACAGTATGGACACATAGGATAAAACCTGAATAATATATAATTGGAATACCAATCACACTGAAAACCAAAATACTTCAGATTGTTGCTACCACTGCATTCTGTTTTGCAAGCCTTCTGGTATGAAGTGTAGACCAAGACAACAAATATGATACTATACCAATATCATACATTTCTAAAAGTAATTTTGCAATTAAGAAAATATCCTTCTCTTTTCTCCAAATAAAGTATTAAACTTTATCATACATCAAATATACATAATTTAAACCTCAGCGATGCCTCCAAGATACCCTCCCAAGAGATATGAAACAAAGCATTCTAGACTATTAACTAGTCCTATCTCTTCCATTCACATACAACTATATCAGAATATCTTTGCAAACTCCCTCATTTGTAGTCTTTTACCTAACATTATTAGTACCTATAAAGTTCAAATGAAGTGGGCTATTAAAGGGAGAAAATCACCACATAATTTTATTGTTCACATTTGGGGTTTCCTGAGCTGTTTCTTCTTTGGTATCTAGATCATTTTATGCCATTTTTAACCTAATCAGATGCAATTTTTAAGTTTATCACACCACAGACACACAAGGATGGAAGTATTTCATATAAATAAGATCAGAGCAGCTGATCACAACAGTAACAAACTGAGGCAGGCCTCATCTAAACTCTTAGACAAGAGGAGAGAAGAAAGATACCATTGCTAATCTCCATTTTATAAATCAGATCTGAGCCACAGAAAGACTAAGTGACTAATAATATATTTATGGGGGTTGAGAATTACAATCTTCTTGGCAATGATTACATTAGGACGTAGTGCAGTGCAGGAGGAGTAGACGTACAGAACAAAAGAGTGCTGGCAGCCCAACTCCCAAATGTATTTTTCTGGTAGTAAAACATTACAGTATACTGCTCAGCAGCACTGATATTTCATTTGGAATATCAATCTCTGTAGCTACTTAAACTAAGTAGTCATCTGTAAACAAGTTTGTGTAAAGCCTGATGCAGAATCTTGTATCTGAAAATAACTCAGTCTGCTAACAATATCAGGTCTGGGTTTGCATCCATCCACCACTCACAGGTTTGCAAAAGTCTTTGAATTTGCCCCCAGACCAGCATCACTTTCCAGCATCACTTGCATAATGAGAACATACTCTAAAACCAATTTTGCATGAAGGTTAATATTCAGGGACTCACAAGTGGTTATTAGATTGATGCTATGTATAAGAATCAAATTGCTTTATCCTGTCTCCTGCTACTCCTTTCAATGATGATGCCCTATGGGTTACTGCTTCAAGCTTGGGTGCCTTCACAGTTGGAAAGCATAAATTTCATATTGAATTTAGAATGTTTTTCAAAGACAGTGTTGTAAGCAAAATCCTAGACTTTGCTGAAAAGTGTAAAAAAAAAAAGGAAGAGAATCTCATACATTACCCATGTTTTTTTTATTATTCATGCAGCAACCTGCTATGCTGAAAAACTTCTGGGTTTGTAATAGGGGTCAATCCGTGTGAGCCATGAACACAGGCTTTGAGATTTGGCATGGACAGACAGTTTTATCAGCACTAGGGTCAAAATGTGCCTCTTAGAGTCTACAGTTCAAAGAGAGCTAGCAAGAATGAGCCTGAAAACAATTAAAGAGACAAATATTTATTTCTTCATTCCCTACTTCATTTCTGGAAACATGGAAATTATTCAGAGAGCCCTAAGGTTCTCAAAGACAAAAATTAAGTGTCTAATTAGACATAAAGTAAAACAGCTAACTAGAACTACATGGCACAGAAATAAACAGAGTTATTTTTATTATAAAAAGTAGCATTTCACACTGTCCAGATATTTCTTGTCTTTTTACACAAAGATTGCTTCAGTAAACAAAACTTGGGTAAACAGTTTTAGGTAAACAGTTTTGTACAGAGTCCAGCAAAACAGAAATCTAAACCCAGTTAAGGTATATTAAGGTCCAATGTCCTTGATAATATCGATAGTCAGAAACCTGAGACTGTCCACTTGTAAAATGGTTAGAAATTACAATATTATGTATAGTCAATTAAGCAAAAGTCAACTAAATTCACTGGTAACCTTAGGCTGTTTAGGATGCAGAGACGATTTGACATTAGAAGTGTTAACATTTTATAATTTCTAGTCACAACTAATTACAGAAACGACAATCACAGTCCAAAACCAGGATTCTGGTTACCTGCTTATCAGACTGTCAGGTCCTACACAGGTCTTGGTAAAGGTTCTCTTAAGGAAGTTGGAGTAATCACTTAGGGAAACACTTTCAACCCCAATTTACAGTACAAATCTCACACTAACATGCACCAGAGCAGTTCAAATAAAACCACATGGCTACTTCAGCCACAGAGAAGCTACATCAAGCTCTTATATAAAACAGGTCATACACCCTCAAAGTAGATAAAAAGGCAGACAGAATTTTCATCTCTTTTTTATAATAACATATTTTGGGTTGCTGTTTCTATGTCCTGTAGGAAAGTGATCATTGTAGACAAAATACTCCTCTTTGTCAAATACTTCAGATATTGTGAAACACAAAAGGCAGTTTATGGTCAACGTCTTTCAATTGTATTCCAATTATGCCTCTTTTGGCTTTAAAATAAATCACGTTTGTTAACCACAGGATGGAAGAATTGCACTTGATAAAGTAAACTCCAAGATGACTGACTGCAGCTGCTTCTCAGTGGAAAGGTACATAACCTATTTCCAGAATGTTCTTTTTGAAGATAATGCTTTGCATCCACACTACTGATTTTTTATGCAGCTTATTCCAGTAGACATTCATTCATACAATCTTGAGAAATATGTGACTTCTTGATACTATTAAAACTGTCCCAGTTGCACATTAAGCCATCTGTCAGGATGCAATTAGTTGAAAAATATGAATGGACTATTCAGTGCAGCATTCAATTTTCTGTTTCAAAAGGAAGCACAGAAGTATATCCTGCCTCAACACTTCAAAGGGAAGCTTCCTAAAAAATGCCCCAAAACTGCATTTTGTCCTAACAGTACAGTATAAGCAAGAGTCCAAAACTTGACTCAGTTTTCTTGAGGGGACAAGAAGAACAATGAAAGTTCTCTACAGACATAGGATGCAAATTAAGCAAAATGCCAACCCAGGAGTCACACTAAAAAATATTGACTGTGCCCACCAGGGACCACATGCCAAATGGAGCAGGATGCATGCCAGCTATTCAGCTTCCTTTGATCATCCCACCACGTCCCAAGAATTTGGAGTTAGGACAAAATCATGCTTTCTTTTCTTGAATCAGCACTAATTCCAAACAAATACCTTAGTGCAAAAGATAAGACAAAAAGACCTTGTGACTGCACCTATTTTTATACAATTAAAAAGCAACTTTAATTAGTAGCCTTAAATAAATATATTAGTATATAATATATATCATGATCTGAGATGAATATTAGATGCATTTCTTCACAAAGCAAAAAGACCTTTTTTTGTATTGCAAGCTACATTTTGAAATGCTATTTACCAGAAGCTTGAAAAATGTTTTATCATGAAAATGTCAAGAACACAACACCTATTGCCAAACATCCAGCAATCTGCCAATAAAATCTCTAACCCTCACACATTATTTGAGCCAGTATTTCAAAACTAGCCAGAAGAGTAAATTCCTCTTGCTATGAATTTGAAGTTGACCAGAAACTCTGTCATGTTCTGATGATTAACCTAGAAATACCTAAAATAAATTTCAACAGCATTCCTACCCAGCTGTTTTGAAAGGATGTGTTTGCAATGAACCCAACCTCAGTCCAATTTCAAAGGCCTATAGTACAACTTAGAATCTTCCATCTCTTCACAAACAGCAAGACAAACATTCTGATAACATTGCCGGCATTACTGAGTTACAATAAGCGCAAACTCAAAGAGGTATCAATATACATTTACTCAGGATTCATCTCTAAATAATTAAATTTTATTGACATTGATTCAGAAGAGAATCTGTCTGAGGAGAAAACACACATACAAAGGGTCCAGAAGTGCTTATTCCAGTTGAATGACTTCTCATTTTTTATTCAGCTGATTGGTTGATAAGAAAGCCATACTAAAAGATTCATCATCCTGTATTTGGGAGCTTAAGTAAATTACTTTGCATTTGCTATAGAGTTCCTACTGGTCAGAGATATATATGATATATACACAATACATAAAACTGTGCTACAGGGAACATCATTCTCCTCATCCTTGATGGCACACGACAATTCAAATATTATGGAAACCTATAGAAGAATCTTCTAACAATTACTTTGAGTGCTAGGATTTAGCTGCTCTGGGGTTTTTCAGACAAAATAATCATGAATCATATGTAACTGCTACATGTGAATGAACTATATGGAAGTATCATAGATTCCAGTAATGCACATTAAGATGAATCCTAGAAGCCTCCGAAAAGACTCTTTTAGATACAATATGAGTAGTTCCTGCAGTTTAGGAGGAAAATAAGCTACTTACGTATTTGTCATCTGATCCACTGGCTATAAAGCGTCCACAAGGAGACACTGCAATTCCACATGGATAGCAGCGGCTACTGTGCCCTTCAAAACGACGTTCACACCTACAGAGAAGTTTCAGTGTTATTAACACCAACTAAAAATTACTTCTTTTACTGCCATTTTCATGAAATCCTCCTGGTCGCATGTTTTTTTTAGTCTACAAATTCACTAAGGCAAATCCACCAGTTAAGTTTTAAATATATTGGCAGTAGGATTTTCTCAAAACTGGAAGACACTGAAGAAAGAACATTAATGACTACTAATCAAATGAACAGACAAAATTGCCCTAGGACAATGACCTTTGGCCTTGTTTAGTTTATAGGGATAGAAACATCATTAATAATTAGAAAGGAGGAGCTGTGATGCCTATCAGTTAGCTAAGGGGAAGGTGTTGTGAAAGTCTGCTCCATGAAGATTTATAAATCTCCCTCAAGTTATTTATATCAAATGAAGATGCAGAATGTAGAATCACGACATAAATAATTATTGCTTGCTTTTCTCACACCCAAATCTGGATATAAATATCCAACCTTTGTTGCCTATTTACATTTCTACTACATACATTAATTTATTGTACATGGTAAGTGAAGAAAGACAATATCCAAACATTCCAAAGTGAAAAATATATATATCTCTCTCTCTGTTCCATAACTGTAGATAACTTCTTGCCTATCTGTGTTAAAACAGTCTAAAGGAAGGAATGGATTTAAAATTAATGCAAGGAATTATTTTCTTACTTTTCATGTCTATATTGCAAGAAGCATCATAGAGTAAGTTTAAAATAGCTGAGCACACTTGGGCCATTTAAAAATAACAATTTTTTAATGAGATGAATATCCACCTAAAACGCACCACATGGTTGTAAAGGACCATGATAGCTTTGCCATCAGCACAAAACTAATGTTAAAAAAATATTATTTAATGTTTTCCTCAATATTAAAAGACATTTTAATACAAGTTTCAACACCATTCAGAGCTGTCATTTACCTATGTATACCTCATTTCAGAAGTTTACTTTTATACCTTTGAGATATTATTTTAAAACAGACTTATAATAACCTATATTCTTCTTTTCTATTTATTATGAATGCTGTCAACCTACCCTTCTTACAAAACACATTCACATACTTCCCCATAATGGAGATGTCATATATTCTTCATTTTTAATGTATGCTAGGTCCAGGAGCAAATTTGAAATCTCCTACTAACTCCTGTGATATACACGTTTTCCTGGCCAGTGAAATCACAGAAGCTATGTAAATTCAACCAACTGATCCTATGTGCAGAAAGCTCTAAACTTTTATACCATATTGTTCTGTTGTAGACACACCTGTATGTGTAAGAATGTGCTAAATGCCAAGCTGGTTTCATTCACCCAGGTGAAACAGACATAGTTAAACAAAAACACTACTTTGTGACTGATCTAATAGCTATCACTTCTTAAAGCATAAAAAAGATATGTTTGAATGCATGAAAATACATCATTTTATAGAGCCTAACTCTGAACTTTACTGTATTCTGTATAATAAAACTACTGATATTAACAGACCTTTTGATCATACAGTAACCAGACACATCACTTCAGACAAGTTTTGTCCTGAAACTGCCAAAATAACCCAACTTAAGAGAACACTACAGTTCAAGAGAAGCAACTTATGAAGACAGCCAATTACTGTGACTAAGGTGTAAAAATATTTTTCAACTTCATTTTTTTCACATTTTTTTTTCAGAGACTTTCAGTAACCAATGGACACACTTGGTCTATTGAATAACCTGCCTCTGTTCAAGCTTCCTATTTACAGCAAAGGAGAATACTAGATACCTCAGTCTCCTCAGCATTTTCCTCATCAGTTAGGCATCCAGAATCATTATTCATTGTGTAGAGTAAACTTCTACAACTTAGCCTCAAGTCCCAGTTGCACTGCTTGCAAATTTCAGGGAGATTTTTTTTTTTTGAGTGCCTTTTCATAGAGAATTTGAGGAAAAAAATTCTCTTTAACCTTATACTTGTGAGATACAACAGCATTATGTGAAAGAAATTTCTTCATGAGAAAAATAAACAAAATTCATATCCACTGTCCCTCCCAAAGGTGTCTTCAGGTTCACCATTCTTCCTTAAGTAGAGCACTGGTCATCAGGACTACTTCTAAATGTTTAAGATCTCATTGTCAGGGCCTGTGTAAGATAATTTACTCAATGGGGTCTTCTTCACAAAAAGGACTCCTAACACTGCAAAAAACATTATTTCAAAAGAAACATAAGAACTAACAGGATTCCAAGGTTTTCACTGCTATACTACAGCAGTATAAAGCAATGTCTCAGTCATAGGATAGTGTCCTTTTCCTTGTGCTAGCGCACCCACAGTAATAACCAATACCCTGGATTCGATTTTCTTCATTGTTTTCTTGTTCAACTTTTCCATTATATCAGGATATATATTACATTACAAGTTCAGCTACTTCCCCAGCCTCTCAAAATCCTACTTAAAAAAACATTTTTTAAAAAAGTGTATTCCAATTAAACTTTCCACAGAATTAAGTTGACATTTTTTTTTACTCAATCTATTAACTCCAGATATCTACAGGTATCACAGCAATGGGAAAAAAAGTGGACAAAAAAATCATAGCATTATTAGATACATACTATGTGTATGATTTTAGTGTATTTTAGGGATTGTCCTCTTTCAGGCATTTTTTTTTATTCTACTTTTTTTAAGTAGGAACAGGTGGTGATTGAAATTATTTTGGATATTGCAGGCTTTACGTGGCCAGCTGGCATGCTCTCCAGCCTCCAAAGAATGCTTTTCTGGTCAGAGCTTTTCAGGGGTTACCATGACAAACATCTGGTAATTGCATGGGACAGCATACAGCCAAGTTTTCTCTATGTTCTTCATTGTACATCTTTTAGTCTGCATTCCAAAACATCTTTTTATGTTGCAAAAAAAAACTTGAATAATATTAAAAAAAAAAGTACAATTTTTTTCTGTCTTTGGAAGAGAAAGATACTGGAATGTGTGTCTCTTTATAAATAAGAGAATACTCTCACAAAGAAGTCTATTTCATTCTACTTGATGCATTAAACAAAACCAAAACTACAAACAAAAGTTTGTGTTTTGGTTTTTTTTTAAACCACTTTCATTTGTATTGTCACTTTGTGACAGTGCTCCAGTATTTGTTCAGACTCTTCAGTACCAGCAGATCTACTAAGGCTCTGCAAAAGTATAACTTGACAGCAGTAGTAGCAGCTACCTTAGATGTACTGAACACGTGGGTTTCATTTCATTGAAACACCAAACCCTTCACATAGGAGCTGCCGATGTTTTCAGCATAGCATCCAGCAGGGACCACATCCCTGTGTTCCCCATCCTCTACACTTTCAAGCACCTCCAGTCCCAAACTTGGAGGAACTCCAGACACTCTTTTATCCCTCAGAATCTGAATAACTAGACCCAAAAGCCCCAAGGGAAAGGGGAAAAAAAAATACGGCAAACGATGGGATCCTCATGTTCAGAAGAAACCAAGAAGTAACCAGATTCTGAGTATGTGTATATTTGTATCTTGCTTAGGATGATGTCAAGCAGCCAGTTCACAGTGAAGATGCAAACTGAAAATACCTCAAAATTCAAACTGCATGTCTGACTCTAAGTTCTCAAAGTGCAAAAGTGAGAAAAAGTATGAGATGTGTTCCCTGTGTCTGCGGGAATTCTGCTAAAATATGTTGCCGGAGGAGCTTATGATCTAGTGGCACAGCATCATAACACTATTTGGAGATTTTGCCTTAATGTCTAATACTATCTTCATACAACTAGTAGATTCTTTCAGAGGCTGATGGAAGGTGAAACTGATTTTCTCTGGGATCATACATCAAAGTATAATCATGCAGCTAAGTATTCTGCTGAAGCAATTCAGTATGTGCAAGTAGTTCAATGTTCCTCAAGTCTTCAATGTGGTCCAATAAGCACCCACTGCCTTTTTGGTTTTTTCTCAGGAGACGAAAAATTGCTATTTCAGCAGTAAACAGCATAGTTCAACAGCTGAACTTCCATTTCTCAGCTGATCAGAGTGTGAGTCGGAGGCAGGCAGCTCCTGCCACCATAGGGGTTAGTAGATTGGGTGTTGGAAGCTCTTCCTAACACCCTAACCTTGTCGCTGCTATTCTTAGTACCTGCAATAGCACCTACCACACGTACCTCCTCACACTACCATAGTAGCATCCCAGACTTACAAATTGGGCTGTACTAATTCTTCCCTGCTCTCTCCATTTCTGTATAGGTAAATAAGCACAGCACATCTGACAGCATAGCACAACTGTCCCTGTCCTGCCTTCTAAATTAATTTTCAATTTCAGCTGTTATTGTACATCTTGCTCTCTAGGTCAATATCATATCAGGTCCCCCAGCAAGTTTCCCATACCTTATCTTTTCTGTGGAAAGTAAAGAAAAAATGCTATTTTCATAGAATCACAAAGTGACATCATGGTTGAGGTTGTTAGGCAACTTTGGAGGTCATCTTATCCAACCTCACTGCTCACACAGAACCAGTGTGGCTTCACCAATGCTAAACAGAGGGGAGGTATCACCTCCCACAACCTGATGGCAACACTCTTCCTGATACAGCCCAGAATAAGCCTTCTTTGCTCAAGGGTACATTTCTGGCTCATGTTCATCTTGGTCTCCTTTTCTGCAAAGCCGTTTTCCACCTAGTTGCCCCCCTCAATATATACTGGTGTCTCGGGGTAGCATTTGGTGCCTTTGCACTTCCCCTTGCTGAACTTCATAAGGCTTCTGCCAGCTCATTTCTACAGACTTCCACAGTCTGAAGCAAGGAGCAGAGTTCATGGGTGGGATACCAAGGCTGCTCAGGGCAATTAAGGCCCAGTGGTGCAGCGAGGGTCCTCACAGTGCAGCTGGTAACTTGATTAAATACGCATCTGAAAATCTGATGTCGAGCCAGGTCACACAATTATTGACACAAAGAAGGATGAAGCTTTATTGCATGATGGCTTTAGCCATAATTTACTGATGAGCAGGGAAGGTCCACATCAGTGCTTAAAAGCTTTACAGGGGATCTGAAATATGCCTTGGGGAGGAAAATTTTACACTACTTCCCATTCTAAAACCTCTCTTGACGAAGAGGACTCCTTGGAATGACCCATGCAAAAGAAACTGCAGAAAACTGAACACACAATTTTTCTCATTAGCATCCAGTCATGAAGATATCTGTATTCATGTAACTTTGCTAGTGAATGTGAGCTGGTGCTACTAAGTGTTTAGTCAATATTCTAAATGCATTTAATGAAGTGAAGGGTGCAACCCTATGAATTTATAGTTTCCTCCTAACAGAATGAATGAAAGAAATTTCCTTTCTTCTGGACATTTCAAGCACAGAATTATCTAATCTACAAGTCAGAGGAAGTGAGAAACTAAAAGGATTCAGACTGGTAAAGCACAATTAAAAACTGTCATATGAAATTTAAGTGATATACGAACATAATAAAGCAGCTAGTATTTAGTCTAGTCTGATACTTCCTGTTGTTATGAGTTTACTATATAAGGGAGTTGGAATTGAATGTTCATTAATTCCTAAGTTTCTACATTCTTTCTATGCATTGTTTTTACAGCACTAGGATGCAAAAGTACATCTCACTGCCCTATATGTTCATGAGCACAGCCACTAAACACAGGTGGGACTGGCAGACAAGGAGGCTTAGTGTATTGGAATTTTCTGATATATCTGGCCTCTGTGGCTTAAAGGACTCAGCAACTTGTGTCATTCCAATCCAGACTTTTCTGAGATATTAAGTTTAATTGGTGGAGACAACAGGTACGGCTGAGTATAAATCAATGCTAGATTCCTGAATTCAGAAAGAGTAGCAATGTCTCCAAAATACATTCAATACACACAGCAGTATAAGAAAGGATGGTAAAGTTTCTTGTGTCTTACAGATGAATGACTCGACAAGGTTTCATCACAAAGAACACTTCAACTCCTCCAAAAATGTAAAAATGTATTAACTTTTTGTACCTCCTGATCATTAAATGCTTTTCTGAGTCTTTTTTGAGAATCCTGAACCTGATGACTATAATGTCCATCTCATTCAGATTTCCACATCTCAGCCTAACTCGTGTTCACTGCTTTCACCTTCGACATGAGAAAGTAATTTTACTTGTTCTCCAAGTAGTCATTCTTTTAGACAATACAGACTTAAATTGCTCTTCAAAATATCTTGGCAGTTGGTCAAAGGCCATTATCTTACTCTAAAGCATGTATTCATAAGGTCTCATAGTTTGTTATCCTAACCTGGAAGAAGAGTAGCCATAATTTCCTTCTCCCAAGAAAAACTATTTCCTTGCTTCTTTATTCCTAAGTCTGGTTTGTAGATCATCTAGAGCTTTTCTTAGCTTTAGTTATAAATGAGGAGAATGCAGGAGAATTATAAAAAATACTCAAAATCTTCAAATGAAACTTTACAAATCCATGCATTTCAAAGCAAATGGAGCAGGAGTCTGAGTAAATCCAAAAGCCACTAGCAGTGTCCAAGATTCCCTCACTTATTGGCAAGATGACCTGGCTGTGTGAGGTTGGCGGACAACATCAGAAAGTTAAAATACCTTTTCTTGTACCACCTTCAGAGGAACCCGTGAGACATTCTGGCACTTGCTGAAGGAATCTTGGAATGCCTCCAGATCATCAACAGTGAAAGAGACAGACAAATTCACAGCTTTATTCAGAAAATATTGTGAAAATTGAAGGTGCAATATAATTTCACCAAATTCAAAAACACAAGAAAGTTAAATGAATTTTCACTGGGAAAAAAATTGGAGCTTGCTAGTACGGGCTGGATAGCAAAATTCTTGTAGAACTCAAAGCAAAAGTATAAATATATTCAGAACTTATGAAGCTGTAGGCCAAGTTAACCTGTTTGAAGATTTAATTTATGCAGATCAAAAAATAACTGGAGCATCCTGCTATGATTCCTCAGTCAATTGTGAGAAAAGGAATGCATGTCATATGAAAAGGAACCATTATCAAAGAAACTGAATAAAAAAACCCTAAAAGTCAAAGGGAATTGTGCAGTTATTCTGCAAATTATTTCCCATGCTTTCAACAGCAGCTTTGAAGAGCACTGTGCTGCAGGGATTTTTTCCCCCTTATTTAATCAAAATTTTGTACTTTCGTACTTATTTACACAATTCTTAAATAAAGTAACAATGGACAGATTCTCAAGGGCAACAAACAGATTAAAGAAAATCAAAACAATTTTCATTGTGGACATGTAGGGAAAATATTTAGAACAAAATCAACAAACAAAGTGGAGATCTTGCAGTTAGTTTTACTATCCACAACACTGCCAACAGTATAAATGACAAGGTGGATTTACCTTTGCTATATTTCAAGAACACTGGACAAAGACACACTAAAAAACCCTATTTTGGCAAACGCAAAGCAGACACAAAGGTCATTCCAGAGGGACTGGAAACAGTTGTTGATATACTAACTTTACAAATCAACAACTTTAAGAGATTAAAGGTATTGGCCCACCATAAGGTTGTTTAGGAACAAATGTCTCCTGTAAGTACTCAACAGTGTAAGGGATGGACTGGATTTGATTGGACAAAACCTATGAACAAAAAAAAAAATAAGCGAAAGTGTTCAGTCTGTGTAACTATAATAGACCTAACACTTCAGCAGAGACTTATTCCAAGTTCAAACAGAGCTTTCCAAACTTAGATATTTAAAATTTATTTATGTGAAAAACACCTGGTGAACACATAGGAAAATTTGAACAGTTTTACTCCTTTTGAGAACTCAGGAACAGATTTTAAAATATAGAAGACGCAGTCTCTGGTCTGAGCAATGGTAGAAAATTTCCTTTTAAAAAATGTAGTTTGCTTTTCTTTTTTTCCTTGAAAATTGCTAGCAAGTGAAAAACAATTATTTATTTTTTCTATTTCTTCTCCACAAGAGTTAATACTACTGATCACTGCGTAATGTGTAACAAACACACACATATACATAGTACCTCACAAGCACCCTTAAAATATCTGTCATTAAGGACTTGAACTACTTTTTTGAAGCTTGGCTAATAGAACACAGTGGAGACTAGAATACCCTGACTTAGCCAAATTAAATATACAGCAAGAACATACATAAATTTTCTCCTTCTTCTCAAGACATATTAATTTAATTGATTGCCCAGATTTTACACTTTAACTATTTTACCATTCACTGACTTATATTAGTATTTAGAAACAAAGAGACAGATAAGTGATCTGTGAAAAGCTTTCTACTTTTTCATTACTCTTCAGCAACACAGTTTGAGCAGCTTATTAGAAAAACATAAGAAGGTAACATATTCCAACCCCAGCAGTCTCTAGTTTCATTACTTTCTGGCATTGAGTGAAGGTAACACAGCAATGATTTTGAAAAGAACACATATGCCCCCTATAGATTTAATGCATTCTTACCAAAGAAAGATGGAAATAAACGAAAAGCTCATTAAGCATTGCCCAAATGGAAAATTCAGTACCAGAAAAATTATATGACATCTTTCCATAGATATCTTTACATACACAGAAAGCAAATAGGAAATTACTCTTTAAAGCTTAAACATCCTCCTGCCCAATCCCCTTTTCTTTTAAACATAATTATTTTGGCCTCTACAACAGAGCTTGCCTCAGGTATTACTTTTCCTGAGCAATGGTCCCTCCTTGATGTTCTATTCATTTGTCCCAAGGCTTTCCCAAAACTGAAAGGTGTATAGAAACAGTGTAGCATTTAATTCGGAGTTTATGGTAATGTATCATTCAAACTTATAACACTACATACACGGTTTATAAAAATGTTGTTGCAATTGGCTTATATTTTAAAAGATAGGTCATAGATTTTACTTCTTTTAGTAGTAATGGCATGCTGTTTTAGAAATACCATTAGCATTCAATTTAGGGCATCATTATATATATATATATATATATATATATATATATAAATTAGATTTACAAATGTGGGTAAACATAAGTGATAAATCCTAAATATTTAATGGCTTCCACATAACTAACTATAATTGAGGAATGAGCACTTTGTTTGGTCTCTAAAAGCTAGTAAACTTCAATTAACCTGTAGCTCAGGTTCCACATTGAAACTTCTACTGATGTATGAGAGCAAGTATGAATTCTGAATAAAGACAAAGCATAGCTTTTTATTCCAAGGTACCTAATTCATTCTTACCTCAGTGTTCTTAAATCCCACAGTTTGATGCCATCACCTGCAGCTGTGGTCAGGAAAAGGTTGTAAGCTTCAGGTTGCTGAGTGCTGAAGGATGATCCCTGTAAAACAACAAATCAGTTTCAGGTAACTATTCTCATGGCATTAATTATTTATAGAATCATAGAATCTTGAGATGGAAGAGATCCATAGGAATCATCGAGTCCAACTCTCTGCTCCTTGCAGAATTCTGCCATATGATTAAGAGCATTGTCCAGATGCTCTTTGAACTCTGACAAGCTTGGTGCTGGGACACTTCCCTGGGGAATCCAGTCCAGTGACCCATCACCCTCTCAGTGGATAATTTAGTCCATCTAAGAAATAAACAGTAAATATTTGGTAGATTATGTGAAAAAAAGCTTGTCTGCACACATGCAAAGTATCAAAGAGGAAGAGCATGCAAAGAGCATGTAGAGGAAGTCCCATAATCCAGTCAGAAAAATGGAGCACGGCCTCGGCTCCTCTCAGTGCTGTCCCAGGACAGCCATGAGCCCTTTGATCCAGGGATGACACCCACCAGGACAGTCAGTGAGACAGGCTGTCTGAGACATCTCACAGACTGATGGGGATTACTGAAATCAGGCTGTGGGATCCATCATGTGAAGCAGGGGAAGATCTTTTTGTGATTGCACAAGACATTACAAGATGTTTAGGGAAGCAAACAAGGGCAGTGAAAGGAAGGGAGAAAAGGTTACTTCAACAATTAATTATAAGACATTGCTAGCCCTGGGCTAAGTGTCCAATTTCCACTGACTTCAGTAGCAATTGCATTCATTCATCACAAGACTAATTTTGGCTTCATACTTTTAAATAATTAAATCCAGTTTTAAACCTCTGATATTTTAACATCCACATTGGCAAATCCCAGCCTTTTTGCTGGCTAAAAACTTCTTTCTTCAGGGAACCAAACTGAAACAGTTAAAACACTTTCTTTCCTTTCCTTACCATTCACTTTCTTGATTTGGCTGAACACATCACAGAAACCTCAAGGTAATTTCCTGCAAGCAGTATTTGACTGCCAGGAATCTTCTATTCATTATGAAAGCTGGTGCATAGTTTGCTCTAAGAGATTAATTAAAATGTACTATGCAACACATTTCCCAACAAAGTCTACACATTCTCACATTAGCTCTGTATAACTATAAAAAAAAGAGTAATGCAAAGGACAGTACTCATTAAAAGTTACTGAGTACCCTTTCTGTGCTTTTGAAATATTTGCTTGCCATCCCTTGCTTCAGCCAGCAGTGGTCACAAGAGTCCAAAACAAAAAGTTCTACAGATACATACACATTTACTTTGTGCATTACTCCTTTACTATAGAATACACAGAATACAGGAAAAAACTAAAGGTAAGAAGTGCAATCCATTTGTTCCTTTTCTGCCCTGAAATTTTGTCAGCAATATACTTTATTAATACATATACTTGTACCTTCAAACTATATCTGCTTCTGCATATTGATATAGAAGACAAGAAAATATATACTAGTTGGGATAATATGCAAGCTGAATTTTATTTATCACTTTGTTTTTATAGTCCATCAATTTATGATAATCTGATGCAAAAAGTAGCAGAATCCCACACATTCTTCAAAGCATGCTTTCATTCTGATACACAAATCCCTTTCTTCTGTGCCATCAGCCTCCTCATCCACCACTAATCCCTTCTCAGCTTCTCTAGATTAACTACATTGCAACCTTCATACAAAATTCGGCCACAAGGAGGATATGGTTCTATAGAATCTTGCTTTCCATCACTAATTCCTTATGGCGATCTTACACTTTTCCCAACATTGTAACTATAGTTAGGAAAAAATTAACTGACTGAAACTTCAGTTACCCATTCCATTTTTCAGTCTTCACATCAAGTAGACTTCCTAACTAATGGACCAATGAAGTTTGAAACAAAGGTGTCTGAACAGAAAATTGAAAATTTTGCTGTTTCTGTTAAAATGAGTGTACTCTATAACTGTGCTAGCAGAACATAATACCATCCAAATATTTGTGGCTCACAATGACAGTTTTCTGTTCAAAGAATATGTTTTGCACCATTACAAATGCATTATTAACACTAAACCTCTGAATCTTTGTGGCCTGATCTAAATTGCCATCTATTTTGATATCTCAGGTGTTCCTAAACTCTAAGAGCGGAAGATGATTTTGATATGTCAATCAATTCATTTTACTATGTCTCTTAAAATTGAGTATAAAAAGCAACAGACTGTGATAATAAGCTTAATCGAAACACTGAAGGCTGAGATGAATTTCACACACACTGGCAATTGCTAACAATCTCTAGAACAGATTAAAATAAAAATTTAAAGTCAAAGTCATTACACAGCAAATTACATATACTTGCTTCAGGTGTTTCTGTCTAAAATAAAAAATAAGAGAACATCATGCTGATCATCTAGGTTTCCAGGACACCCTATGTACTTTATAATTTGCTAACAGGTTTGTCCAATATTTAATTGGTACATACTTTCCCTGTCATCTCCCATGACCCCCAAAATACATTTGCTTTTTTATTCATTTAAAGAGTAAATTTTATGATTATGCCCACTTAACGATTATCCAAGTGGAATCACAAAACAGTCTTGGAACAGGAGAACTGATTTGCATGAATCTAAACTAGAAAATGCACTTCAAGAATATACATACTGCAATCACAAATGAGTATTTAGTCCACACAATGAGTCTAGGAATAGTCCAAAGGAAAGCCTTCATAAATTTTGGGGTGTAGGCACTGCATCTTCAGCATGAACTGTTTCTCTCCACAGGTTTGTTTCCATTGAATCATGCCTCATAACTAGAGAATCTTAGATTCCAGTGTGTTTCATACTTTAAACAGGATGTAGTTTGCACACAGCATTCTGCACATTTTTATAAGTCTAATTTGCTCTAATAACTTTAAACTATCCAATGTAAAAAAATAGTTAATGTGTAATTTCCCTATTGACTTATCTAAAGTACTAGTTTTATATAACTGAAAAAAATAGAGAACCTTGATGTATAATTGTCCCCCAAAATGGTCAGTTTCCTTTGCTATACCACATACATCTAGGTTTTTTTTCCCCAAGTACTTGCCCACAGCTTTAGAGTTTTTCTTGATTAAATAACCTGAAGGCACCAAGCTGATCCAGCAAAAAGAAAAGCCAGAACTTTAAGCCTATATGTGTTACAAACAGTACTGAAATAGTTAGCACAATTTTAAGTGTTTTACCAGATCTCATCTATAAGGAAAACCCACAAAGAGTTCTACAACGGTAATAACAAGGACTGTTTTAAACCCACAGAAGCAAGTACTTTGCAACTGGGAATGAAGCACTACATTCAACCAGACCTAACACAGCAGGCATTCCAGAACATATGCTACCATAGAAACTACAAACACTCAAATCAGTCTTCAAGGAAAAAAATGAAGAGCAAGGGTGAGGGGTTTTAAGTCATCTATTCTATTGTAGTACTGAGAAATTTTTTTTTGGTTGCTGTTTCCAAAGTTTCAGAATAAATCACACAGTGTCAGATTGAACTTCAGAAGAGAACACTTACATAAGGAAAAATTCCTGTTGAACTACAGTATTACAGTCTAGCACAAGTAAGGCAAAAGATAATAAACACTTCTCTAATAGCAAGATCATTCAATCAATCTCACTGCTCCCTCCTTTACACTAGAGAACAAAGGAAATCTGTATGGACCTATCACACAGACTCATGTTCTTGCCCATCCTCCCCAGCATATAAAAACTTACCGATTACTATAAATTCTACTTTTAGCTTCTGATTTCTTTGTTAATTATGCGGTTGTGATACTACAAATGAAATTCAAAAAGTATATACCTTATTTTGGCAAATCTGATGGACTGCTCTAACATGAGCTTCCTGTATCACTGCTGTGCTGCAGCCTGCATTGAGGTCGAAAATTTCCAATGCTCGGTTGCTGCCAGCTGTAAGTACAATATCTGCACAGTTCTCTGTGTTAAAGTTAAACTTATCTAAAGGAACACAAGTGTATAGATGGATAAAAATACAGATAAATAAATACATATATAAACTCTGTTGTATTTATTGCACTATGAGCAACACCAAAAATCTTACAGCACTAGAAATTTATGTCTAAAGATGAAGTTCAACATCACAAAAAATTACAAGTTTTTTACTCTAATAGAAAAGGAGTAGTAAATCATCAAATGCTACTTACCTTAGCTGATGTACATGTCATTAAGTCCAAAGAATTACAAAGAAAATAAGAAATACAAAGGATACAAGAATAGAACTCATTTACTGCTGAAAGGCTAGTAATCTCCATTGCTGAAGTCATGGCAAATTTCTGTACCAATTTGCAAACACTCCTTTGTTTGTATCTGCAAAGAATATCAAATGAATGCTAGTGTTAATGAAATTAGTTATGATTTTTAGTCACCAGTAAACTCCCACTGGAACCACAAATCAAAATGCTTTCTCTCATTATTAAAAATTAAAGTTGCCTTATTGTTGAACTCTGTTAAAACTTGGTAAACAAACTCATTTGGATGAATAATCCCATGATATTCATATATAGAAGGCTGATTGTCCATCAACATGAAACACTGTATACTGTATGTATACTGAAAATGTTGAAGAGATTAAAGTCTGCGAATACCTATATTCAGAAAGCAGATATGCCACTGGTTTCAGTGTAGCATTTAATGTGCTGATGATAGGGTAATCAGGAAGAAAATGAGGAAGAAACAGCGAGGAAAGAAAAATTTCCACTTAAACAAAAGAGGAATAAGGAGCTGATCACAGACTGCCAAAGAAATTTTGCTTCCCAACATACACAAAACTCTTTAAGGCCCTGTGGGTTACCTGCCAGCTCCATGCAAAGGTGGCAAACATGCCAAAACCTCTAAAATGACTTCAGACATTTTTTATTAGACAACACAAAACTGTGTTGTAATTCAATATAATTAGAACTTTCTGTTTACTGAAATATATCCACATAGGCAACATGGATCTGTTCTTATAGTAAACAGAAAATAAAACTCCACGGATATGGATATGGATATGGGGGGCAAGGAAAGTGTGATTTTCATAGAAGTCACCTAAGGAATACAGAGTCAATAACAACTGTACTAGGTCTGGTTGGGATGGAGTTCATTTTCTTCATAGTGGCTTTTATGGTGCTGTGTTTTAGACTTGAGATCAAAACAGCATTGGTAACACACCAGGGTTTTAGACATTGCTGGACACTATCTGCACAGTGTTAAAATAAATCCTGTGTAACAGTAAATATTATACTTGCATTTTAGCATGTCTGTCTAATGAAAGTGCAGAAGTCCATGCATGACGTGCTGTAGGAATCATTACTGTTTCTTTCCAACAATGCTAAAAGTATGCAAAACTTTTCATTTGACAAAAAGCAATATGGTTGTCAGCCAGATCTCTTCAAAAGAAAAATGCTTAGTGACTTGGCTTTTGCTTTTTGTTGTTATTCTCTAACAATGATCTGCTGCTCTTTTAAGATGGACATCAGAACCACTTCAGTAGTGATGGTGAAGCAGAAGATAATACCCAGAGTTCTGCAATTTAATCCAAGAACCTTTTGTAGTTTCCACAAGTACTTTATTCAAATAAACTGGAAAATAAACTGCACCAGACTTCAACAGCAAATGATTTATCTCTATTTTGGGGTAAATCTACCCAAGCTAACTTTAAATAAACTGACTGATAAAATAGGTACAATCTAATGAAGGCCGTATGAAGTTTCCTCTGGTCCAATCTACCCTGCTGAAAGAGGCTGATTAAATGCAAGAACAATTGTTTGAATTGGCTGAAGTACCTTGCTTCTACACAGCAGACTGCTACACAGATAAATACCTCACAGAGCATGGTACAGGTAGAATTTCACATAGAAAGCAAATCAACCAACAGTAAACTGAGATGAAATTCATCAAATGCAAGTTATGAGAAAACTGAACTAAAGTAACAGAGGGGGGGATATAGAAGAGTACCCATTATTTAAAAAAAAAAAAAAAAAAAGAGGAATTTTATCATATTTCAGAAATTTTTTTTTGACACAATGCATTTGCTACATGTCTTATATATCTTCAATTCAAAGTGCAACTCATTTAAAATTCAGGCAGCTATTGTGGCACACTGAGCTGGACACTGTACATTTATTCTTGTCTCTTAGAAATTGAAGCTTATGTAGCAATTTGGATTACCTTTTTATTGGTTTATTAATATGCCCTCAACTAAGAATTAACAAGTAAAACAAACTAGGTAAGCAGATTATGGAAGAAAACAATGCATAATTCCATCTGACCATTTAATGTTTCAGTGAAGTTCCACATACCAGGTTCATGCCTCAACCCAGGAAAGCACTCCTACTCCTAAACATATTTAAGCTTGTGCTTAGTATGTTTTTCTGTGCAGCAGTAAAACTACCAAGGAAACAGAGGAAGAATCTAGACCAGCTTTTCTCATCTAAGGACGCAGTCCAATACTGTCTAATATCATGAACAGACAGGACATACCATTCACAATATCAACCAAGACTTCAGTGTTGTAGCCCTAATTCTTGTTCTTCCATTCAAAACAAAGATATTTTGGAAATAGTTTTTACCATTTGTTCAGTTTTTTATCTTCTGTAATATTTTTGCCCCCTCAGTTCACCTTACCACACACAAAATCTCAGATCAAACTGTTCAAGAACTTTCAGTGGTCTGTTAATGAGAAAGGAACTCACCGTTTTAGGTCATCCTTGGTTGTGTCTAGATGGAAACTTAATAGATGAAATTCAGCTCCACAACACAGCAATATAAATGTATCTATAAAATAAAACTGGGCAAAGCATGCAGTCTTATGGAACTTCTCTTTACCCTAAGACAAAAAGGAATTTGTTAAGAATGGATTCAAACATAAATATTTTTTGTATGAGATTCCTCGTGTTAAGGCAAAGCCTCCCTGTCATCCTGATCATAGGCCAGGAGGTTAAACTCTACATAGTGGCCCTTCTTATTTTTGACATCTATTACTCTCAAAAAAAAAATATTTCATTCTGCTTGAATTAGCTGGCAGTATATCTGTAGTCATTTGAAGCTAATACAATCTAGCTTCATACTCTGAACTTCTTTTTGAATGAGTGAGTGGACTAAAGTCAAGCAGAGCTGAGACAATAAAAATACTACATACAGACCAGACAATAAAACCAAAACTTCCAGACATGTCCACTAGTTGGTTTTTTTTTAGTTTTTTGTAGTTTTTTTTTTTTTTTTTTTGGTTTTTTGTTTTTTTTTTTAACAAGGTTGATTTTCTCTTTTCCTAAATTATCAGGAGAAAATCCTATTTTGGAGTCAATGGAGATCACTCAGATCATTATTATCAGTAGGTGTCACCACTCAGTAGTTCTAGAAATTGGCTCTTTCTACAAAGCATTTAGAACAGAAGTAGATGAAAGTACAAAACAGTGTTCTCTGTGTCCAAACAAATGGAAGTTTCCAGTTACCAGAATTAGGGTAGGTTCCTTATTGCAGACTGACCAGACCCTTAAAGTTCTGTCTTCTGATGCAGAAACTAACCACTTCCTGTCATGACTCCAGCCAACAGAGTTAACTGCACCATCATGACCTAATAAAAATAATGTCTTGCATTAATAAATTTCTCTAGAGTTACTTGTATTGCTTTAATATAATTATGCACAACATTAAAATACATTCCAAGTACAGGTTTCAAATGGTTGGATTCAAACTGGTAACAGTATACCAGCGATTGAAATTTTCTTCCACCAAAAAACACAGGAAAATGTCTCTCATTAATCAACAGACAAAGATAATTCCAACTCTAATTTTTCAAAGTTATTGGGAGAGCACTTTAAAGAAATATCCTTGAAATTAAAGTAAAGATTCAGTATTGGAAAAAAAAAAATCTGAGTATTATATTATAATGAAATTTTATATTAAACATGGTCTGGAAACCCCTTAAGACATCAAATATAGTTGAAATACTTTGGGGTTTTTTATTAACCTTTTATTACTGAGCCAGCTATTTTTGGCAAAATAAAATGAGCATGCCACTTCAATGGCTTGTTAAAAACAAGATTGTAAACTTACAAAGAAAGAATTTTAAAAGCCAGAAACAATAGTCAAAAGCTAAAATTATTAATTTGATCTAACATTATGTTGAAGCTGATAAAAAAGATCAAAAAAGAACATGCCAATCAAGTTTTACAGACTTTGATGCATGTTATTGCAATTTGCCAGACGAAGTCTGATGAATTTCATCTAGCCTTAAAACATTCAAAGTTCTTATGCTGCCCTCTTGTGCACATTTTATCTTTACTCAACATAAGTTTTATATTAAAAAAATAGTTTGCTTTAAATTACAGGAAGGCTATTAAATATATTGTAGCAACTGACATATTTCATTTTGTAGACATATGTCTACAAAAAGTATTATAAATTAGATATTTTAATTCCCAGTTACCAAACAGCTGTAGAATTTTCACCAGAAAACTGCACAGGTACTGCACAAATACACATGTAGGTATCATTCTTATTTTGTTCATGACAGAAAGATTTATTTAAAGGCTTTGATTTTCTAAAAATATTTGGAAGCCTTGAATAATCTGCGTTAAAGAAATAAAAAACAACATACAATACCAATCAAACAAAAAAAAAAAAAAGAAAAAAGAAAACCACAACAGAATATACAAAATGGTTTTCTAAAGTAGTAAGGAAACCGAGAAACTTTAGGAAAATCTGAGGTTTGGAAAATTGGAAGAGCCACGCAGAGCCTAAGAATCTCTGCTCTCCAGGCCCCACAGTCCCAAAGCACAGTGAAGGAGATGCCAGCTGGCTTGAAAGAGCCCAGTAAAATTCAAAACAGGCATTACTCAGAGCTCACCAGCCCTAGAACACATTGAGAAGAATAGCAGCTGATTTTGCAAAGAGACTTCTTCAGAAAGGCCATGCTGGCTGTAACTCTCCACAGCTGTTCAACATTACCTGCACTTCACTACAGGACACAGACACCTGAAGAGCCACCACTGAAGAAGAATGCAAAACAACCTAAATCTGTAACTCAACACTTCAGGGAACAAGGCTGAATAAATTAGGCTAACAGCAAAAATGTTGTTATACCATTCTTCTGATGCTGCCTTATAGAGCCATGACTTTTGATAAGCAGCAATATTCAGATGTTAATGCCACCTTGAAACTGGAATTTTTTAGCAGAATAGATACAATTTCCATTTCTTGAAAAAAAAAATTTACATTGTCATTGATTGCAGCTCTAAGTAAGAATAATGCATCATGGTTTTTCACATGATGCAACACATCATGACACACATGACACTTCTAAAACAAGAGCAACAAAAGTAGAAAGCAAACGGGTGACTGCATGGTAATCTGCATGATTTTCTGAACATATTAAAACAATGTGAATGAAACAAGCAGGCAGCTAATGGTTTGTGGTTCCTAATCCCATGCATTACTTTACCTGGCAGTTCAACATTTATGTTGCTTTTGGAAAGAACTACATACATGTTAGAATGTGGTTTACATTGCTTTTCAGACTTGTGCATTATTAAAAAAAAAAAGACACAAATTATTAAAGGCATCAATGAAGTAAGTCAGTGAAAAACTTAAGAACTTGCTATTGTAGAAAAAAAAAGACCCATTAGTCTGTCCACAAGACATATTTTCATCAATTTCCTCACACGAGAAGGATAATATCAGTAATGTTGCCTCCTTTATGTCACTTCTTGCACTAAATATAATGGAAATTACTCAAAAAGAAAAACTGTTTTCACAATCAGTTTTCAGAGTTATTTACTTAGAAATAATTCTCTAAAATATATTTAATTAGTCTGGTTTTAATAGTTGTTAGAGTCAGATAGTAAAAAACATTTATTTTCCATTATGAGCTTTCACAGAAAATACATGCAGCAGGACTGATTTAAAGTCATAGCATTTACAGTTACTAAAAATTTAACAGACTGTTCCTGTAGAAATTTACACATAATCTGGTGTTTAAGACTCATTTAAAAGCATACATGTTTACATATGCATACACTTTTGTAGTTTTGGATTTCTTCTTAGGAATAGTCCCTCTTTGTTTAAATGGCTATTCTCTAGAATTCTGGAGTTGCAAAGCAAACACATCTTTTGCCAAGTCATCACAGTAATTTTTGGCTAATAAACTATCAGAACATACTGCTACAATATACACATGCATTATTATTGCAATATATTGCCCTTATTTTTTCTTTAATTATTGTAATACATATTATACATCATGATGAAGATTTTAGTATATATCATCATAGATTGCTTCTTACCCCACAAAAAATGAGAAATGGGAACACCTGGTAGTCACTTTAATTCTAGGACAAAATTAAGCAATCTGAGAAATAAATTTTACATCTTGAATCATCAATACTTCCTCTCTCTTGTTATCAGGATGATGTAAGTGGAATCCATCCCATTTTAGGTCAAACTCAACCATCAACTCTACTCATATCTTTTATAATATAATTCATAAATTTACCTGAAAAAACATTATGCACACCAGTGAGATTGGAATTGAATATCAGCACAGTTTTGTCAGCTTGGCCACAAGCCAGCAGCTCTCCATCCCCTATAAAGAAGAGCATTTAATGATTTACATCTGAAAGGAAAAAGGAGCTAATATGCTGCTTCTTTTAATCATAAAAATCATTTATGTCACTACAACAAAACAAAACCCAGATATTCATTTCATATGTTTAACACTAATTTTTTATGAACATCACAAATTAGTGTTGTAGAATTTGATAGGATTTTGTAGGCAAATTGATTTCTTGTCCTGATATATTCTCTAAATAACAAAATTTTTTAACTCAAAAGAAAAGTCCGAAATTTTTGCTAAACTGGGGTTATTTAAGCCTGTGTGTGCATGCATGGGTGTGGGAGAGACAAAGAGAAAAAGAGAGTAAGATGTTTCTTGCTCAACCTAAAAGAAGATTTATACTTAAAACGTACTAGCAAAACTCTCTAGGGAACAGAGATGGTTGAATATATTTTAGCAAAGTTGCTGATTGCAACTAATTGCTTTTATTTCCTGAGGGTGAAAGTTGTTCTTGTCCTCAAAACACTTACAGATATTTAAGTTTTTAAATATTTTGAAAATATTTTGCCTTGCAGGGTGTACATTGACATAATTATAGACGTCATAGAATGCTTGACTGCTAATCTAGGAAGTGCTTTCTGCTTAATCATATTTACATTGGAACTGACTAAACCTATTGCAAGAGTCATTTATCCAAAGCAGTTAAGAAAAATGCCTCTCTTTGGATCACACAGAATTCCTTTTTTAATACTTCAATTTACAATAACTGAATAATATATAAGAAATATGAGTATTTTGAAACAGAACTTCAGTATTTAATACACCCTAATGAAACTAAGTAAATGTGTTAGAAAATAAATTCCTTAGTGAAAGAATTTTTATTTTCAAGTAGTAGTGGAAAAGTCAAAGAATAAATTCAAAAGGAAACAAGACATAAAACCAGAAATAGAATCCTGTTGCATATGTAGTAACAGCTTGCATGCTTTTGCAAGATAAAAAATTATGATCAAACAGTAGGTGGTATTGCCAGAAAGTTTTCTGTGAATTTATCCACACTAAATCCCCAGTCTTTAGAAACTATGCCACACAAATTTTGGATTTCTTTCTGCACTCTGATATGACTGCACTTTTTATAAAGCCTATACTTACCAGAATATTGAACACAAAAAATTGGGGTTGGTTTACAAGTAACAGATATCTCTTTCTCATATTTGATTGGAGGATAACTTTCCAAAGGATATTCTTTATTTTTACTTCAAAGAAGGAAAAAAGAAAGAAATGAGTACATCTTCATTTCATTTATTAAATAAGTGTGCTCTGGAAATTATTCTAAGCATCTTTATATAAACATTTGCTAGAAAAAATATGTCAAATCCAATGTAGGAGCCAAATTAATTTTACATTGTTATATTTAAACCACTCGTACCAGTAAGAGCTGTGAATTCACAAGATCAAGAATTAACATTGTCTGGCAAAAAAATAATTTCTTTAGTCATTTAAAGAATGTAAACTCTACCTTGTTTACAAGGACCTTGTGGCAAAATGCAATATTAACTAAAAAAAAAAAAAAGAAATTTAAATAAAAACCCACACAAAACTTAAAATACTAAGTAGCTTAACCTATATAAAACAGTGCTAAACCAAAGTTGAAATTATCTGAAGTACTCATGTAAAGGCTTCCTATGTGTGCAAGGTTTAGAAAAACTTAGTCTTGAGCTAGTAAGTGGGTTTCTTAACACTTTAACAGCTCTTTTAAAATGAGAAAAATTATGGCATCAATCATTCTTTACTTTCATGTTTGTATTACATAAAGCAAAGACTATATAATAGTAAAGAGAAAAAATGTGTGCAATATCCTCATTTAACATTTCATACAAATTAACATGAAAATGCCAGCTTTAGAAAAACATGCATTCTTTGTGATCAGTGATAAAGATTCCACTGGTGAATTTATACTATTGCACATACTCTGTTTAAATCCACTGGAGTAAGTTTGCATTAACTTTAGGTAACAAGATTTTTAGAGGTGAATGAGGGACATGATCTGAAATCACTTCTCCCTGTGCCACATTCAGTTTTTTTCAGACTACAACTGCAGCTTAAGAACATGTTGGGACTTAGCTTCCAACCATATTTAGCACCTGTTCTTCCTACCAACACAAATCTAAGAAAATAGATATGCATATTTTCTTTTATATGAAGCACTCAAATTTAATTCACAGCCTGATAAACCAAATCACTTGCTGCAGTGATAAATTTTATAGCAAATTTACCAAGCCTTAGCTGTAGTGGCAACCCTTAATAAAAAATTCCAATGACAGAAGCATTTTTAATTTGTTTAATTTGTTTAATTTGTTTTAATTTGTTCTTCCTCTAACAGAGTCATTATATGACTTACCATTTGCAACTGGTCTTCCACTTTGATGCCTCTTTTTTTTTCAGGTTAGTATTTGGAGCAAACATGGCCATTCTACGAGACAGAAAACATACACTCTTTTATGAAATATTAAACTTTGCATGGGAGAAACAGCTTTTTTCAAACCAAAGCAATCCTATTTCTTTCTTACTATTTTCGTCTGTGGGTAATGTCAATAGATAAGAGAATGTACACTTTGATGACAATATAAATGTCTAATATTCTAATGCCTGAGTTTGGACCTTGATACCTTGATTTTTGTGAGTTATTTGTTGAATAGTACATTCTGAAGGTCAGAATCCACACAAATAAAGTTCTCAGACAATTCTTTCTGCAAGCTGAAAAAACAAGTCCAGTCAGATGAAAGAATCAGGATGCCAAATATGGATTTCAAAAGAAAGTTGGCCAATGACCAGATGCTGTGAACATTTTGGTTTACAAAATGTTTTTTTATTCTTTGCTTTGATAACATAACTATTTTTCACAGGTAATTAATTTCACAGTCATGAGACTACATAGTTATGTGAAAAAATATCACAAACCAATAAGACAGGGAAAGCAGTTATATTTCTACTGACCGTGGTGCTGCTGTATATCCTGATGACTTAATTTTATTATGGAAAACCAATGGTTTATCCTTCTCTGTGTTCTTTACTGCTGTAGGAAAATAATTTAATTTACATTAAAATGTTTTTTAACATTATATTTTTACAGTGAAAGTAGATAGTTTTGCACAATCTTGATGTTTCTTTATGTTACAAAACACATAAATGACCAATCACCTTAAAATAATGATAACTGAGAAAAGGAAAGATATATGAACTGTTACATTGTATAACATCCCCCTCCAATTACATTAATAAGTAGGAACTTCTTTAAGCTTTGAAGTAGCAATATTCTTCTGAATCATTTTTTTCACCATTCATTTCAGTTAGAAAATGTGTTTTCTAACTGCCTCTGCTTAGACTTTGTATGCATTAGCTATAATGTACTCACAGCCTATATTTGGACTAAGGAATGGATCTAAAGATCATTAACAAGCTGACTGGTGGGTACCTATAAGTATTTGTGTTCCTACACAGCTCAGGTAATGTCTGTACACCCAGTGCTGTACTAGGAAGTCCAGTGGGAACCCCTGAGCTCCAAACTGAGTATTTCATATCAGCAAACTAACTAACAAACTAAACAAATAAACGTTACAAAGGGGGAAATTTTCTTGATATTCCAAGGGAAAAAACCCAGATGCATTGGGACACATTTACCCATGCTGAGGGTAGAAGTCCCATCACATGCCACAAACTATGCTTTCTCTTAATGCAGCAATGAGGCACAAAAAATGCCCTTCCTGAGAAGTTCCCAGTACCACACGCCTTAAGAGGCCAAAGGATTTTGTTACAGCACTTATCTACCTGATCATGAGATGTCAACAAAGGCAGCACAGTTGTCAGTGCTGGGTGTCCAAGGCAGCCTGGAATTCTAGATAAAACTCTGTAGATGTATTCTGAAAATACCATAAGACCTTAGAGATACAACCTTTGACATTCTAATGGGCACATTATGTGCAAATGGTAAGGATGAAAATGTCTTTTTAAAATATTTTTTGAGCTTCATTGTTGTTCACCAAAAAAAGCTACAAGTGCTGCAATGACAACTGGACATCAGATCTTCTCTTTTTTTAAGCAGTAGAATATTGAGACAAAAATTAACTTCCTTAACAGTCAGTATTGGCAGAAGATTATTCAGAACAACAAAATATACCAACATATCTGTTTGGTATATTTCATAACCAAAGTTAAGAAAGAAATGACAAATTATACAGAAAAATTTACTGCATGCTATGGAAAAAGAATGACTTACAAAAATGTAAACCTTCTACACTCTAACACATTTACAATTCACAGAAAATTCTCAAACAATGGTTTTTGAAAAAAGAAAAATACTAATAACCATAATTTTCAACTACATGTTTCATACATGTGTATGACATGAAACATTACTAGAAGTCTAAAATTCTTCCTACTGAAATAAAAATATAACACAATATATACTTAAAACAAAAATTAACGTATTGATTATATTAGGCACAAGCCAGCTGGACATCAGCTACTGTTATTAAAAATATAACTTTATTAATTTTAATTTCAGGATTGGTTTAGACTTACCAAGTATTTTATTAGAAGGTTCTTTCATGTTCTTCTTTAAACATTTACACAATGGAGAATTTGCTAATAAAGTACACCTAAGTTATAAAATGAAGCACAAAAATTTGATCAATGAACAAAAACGTCAGATTACAAAAAGGTGCCAAAACTCCTTTTTAGTTATTTGTCTGCACGTGTGTGTGTACACATGCAATAGCAATCAGATTTTAATGAAAACAAGTTAGGCATAGTGGATCAGTTACCATCTCAGATACCCAGCAGCACAGACAAGCCTTGGCCTTGACTCAATTCACAGACCATTGCTTTTACATACTGGATTCCAGTTTTGTGAATATTGATTGATGATTTTATTTTAAGCACTGAAATCTGCATTTCAGTGTATATTGCAGGAGTTTTTTCATCTTTAGAATGTCAGCATTTTCTCATAAATCATTTCTAGGGTCATAAAGGACAAGAAAGTAATAAACAGCAGAGATTCACCAAGGGGAAGTCATGCTTGGTCAGCTGGGTAAACTCCTGTGGTAAAATGAGGGGCTTGGCAGATGAGGGGAGAGCAGATGAGGATATTGTCTACTTTGACTTCAGTAAGCCTTTCCACACTGTCTCTCATAAGAACCTCACAGAGAAGCTGATGAACTGTGGTCTGGATGAGCACACATTGAGCTGGATTGAAAACCAGATAAACAACCAGGCCCAGACTGTGATGATTAAAGTCTAGATGGAAAGCAGGAACTAGTGGAGTAACCCAGAGGTTATAACTCCATTCCATATGATTCCATGGATATAATAATTCCATTCAACATCTGCATTAATAATCTGGATAAGGGAGCAGAGTGACTCTCACCATGTTTGCTGATGACTCAAAGCTGAGAGGATTGTCTTAAAGAGCAGAAGGTTGTGTTGTCATCCAGGGAGACATTTATTGTCTGCATAAATGGGCTGACAAGCAACCTTGCGAAGCTCAACAATATGAAAGGCAAAGTCCTGCAGCAGAGGAGGAATGAGCCCATGCAGCAATACGAGCTGTAAAGCAGACTCTAGAGCCAGGCTCTGTGCCCTAAATCCAGCAGCAGGACAAGAGACAATACACAAAAAAAGAAACACAGGAGGTTCTCTCTGAACACTAGGAAACACTTATTTTACTGTGAAGGTGATTGAGCACTGGCACAGGCTGCCCAGAGAGGTTGTGGCATCTCCCTCCAGTGACATATTCTAAAGTTGTTTGGACATTGTGATGGTCAAATGACTCCAAGTGGCTCTGCTTGAGCAGGGTGGTTAGACAAGATGACCTGAGGAGGTGCCTTCCAAACTCAACCATTCTGTGATTCTGTGATTTCTCCCTCTCATGATAAAAATGATGACTAAAGCATGATAAGAAAAGAAGTAAAATCAAACCATGTCCACAAGCAGCACTGCAGAAAATCATATGACACACTGTAGTGCCAAAGAGAGAAAACATTTAATAATTCTGTACCTGGCAATAACTGATAGACTTTTCTCATTTCCACATGGGAGAAAATCACTGTGCTGAGTTCTCACCAATGCAGCAAGGTTAACTTCCAACACAGCAATCATATCTTCAAACATCGAGGCAATCAAGCATAAAACCTGCAGCAATCACCATAAATTAACACTCCATTTACTTAATAATTTAAGTTCAAAACATAATGCATTTATAATAAAAAAATAAAATCAATTTCTGAAATTTATAAAAATTAATCAAAAATATCCATGGGTTTAGTCATGAAGAGCATTAAGTAGTAGAGTGTTTAAAGCTACCCTTCAAAAATATGTTTATGTTGCTTAAATGTGTTTTAACAAACTTATATACATAACAGTGGCAGAAATTCCAACATCACCTACACTAGAGACAATTCTGCAGCAAGAGTTGTGAGAAAAGAAGTACACATGGAAGAATGGCTTCAGCAACATGATGAGAACATACTAAGAGCTGAATTTAAACAAAATCCTTCTCTAAAGCAAAAGACTTCTACGTTAAATATGTAGCCTAGACTGAGCTTACGTCTGTAGGAAAACTGCAAAATCAAAAATGGAGTATACAGATAAGAATGCCTTCCATTTTCTTAAAATCACTTTTAGGGTCTTTCAACAGAAATTTTCTCACAACCCAAATAGTTTTGACAGATCCTTTAGAAGGATTCAGAAGTAGCACATCCTAACTTTTTTTTTTGAGAAACAAGGTATAACAATTTTTTTCCCCCTTAAAAGATTTCCTATGCTTCTTCAATTCTTAACATTCAAGGTACACCCAGAACACTGTAACAATTCACCTTTTCCTTATTAATCACTTTAGACTGTATATAACCTGTGAGAGCTTCAAAACAGCAGATTCCATAATGAAGAATCAACCCTCTTCAAAGAAATGACTGTGTAAATCATATTAAATAACATAAATCTGTGCACTAATCTGTTAGCAAAATATGTAAATATTTATTGAAAATAACTGTAACTGTTAACATTTATTAAAGCAATGTTTACTGTATACTGACCTTTCCATTACCTGCCTTCCTTGTTAATGCACATGATCTGGCAATCCAAATGCTGAGGTCACTGTAATCTTTACCAAGAAGAACAAAGTGCTATAAAATAATACCTGCATTTCACAAGAAAAAACCTATCTCTAAGACACACACAAAAAAAATCACTCATACTAATTTGACATGACCCTAATCCACTGTCTTCAGAGTGTATACTTCTATTTTACCCTGAAATTATAATGGAGTAGAATAACTTGTATTTAACACTTGTATTTAACACTTATGAACTGCAAAATTGAATAAAAATTCATGGCTAGCCACTACACAGATCTAGCAACAAAGTGTCTTCTGAGAAAAGTCACCAGGGCCAGGAAAACTTATAAAAACAATTAGCAAAAAAGTTTAAAAAACATTTGGTTTCTGTTGTATTCTGCTATTTCACAACCTAATTCTTACACTATTTATGTCAGATAACAGAAGCAATCATATTATCATGTAACCATGTATCTTTTAAACATACCTCTGTAAGATAAAACAGCTTCTAATTCAAAGTTTGCCAAATTAATTATTAACAAGCCAGTAGAGGTTCCTATCCAAAAATAGCTAGTATTCTGGGCAGAATATCTATTAAAACAAGGAGAAAAATATCTCTGAGTAGGATAAAGAAGCTTTTCTTATGATCATACAACAAACAGAAATAGGGTTTTTTAATTCTCATTGCCCAGTCCCAGTACAACAATAATAAAGCACACACAGAAAAAAAATTTAAAGCTTTTTTTTCCAAATCTGTAGCTCAAAGTTTCAAGCAAAATTGGTGAAGTTCTGAAAACTAAGAGCAGAACGCAATCCTTCATTTCATGTAAGTGCTTCATGGCACATCTAAAACTGCACAGAAAACACTTTTCTTCAAAAAAGTGGTTTGTAAAGATTTGGGAGATGCTGTAAAAGCATTGTATACACAGAAAGAAAATTCAAACCAAAAGGCAAATCCACTCATAGTTTACTTTTACCACTCTTATATGAACACCCAAAACTCAGGGAAATTCAATGTATGTTTTTACATAATTAAAGGATAGGAGAAAAGCCAGCACAAACTGAAGGGGAAAAGCACCAGGCAAGTCTGGAATGTCTGTCTCAGCCTGTGCTTAGTGGCAGCACTGTTGCAGTCGGGTAATGAAATCCAGCTTCTGCAAGCACCACAGAGTAAACCAGCAGGTTTGTTAATTTCAGTTACCAGCCTCACAGAAGAAATATATTATCAAGCATAAGACAATTGTAACAAAATAACAGTTGTCTTTCTCAAAAAAACTAAAAATTTTTTGATGCCACAATAAATAAAAACTGGCATAAACATTTTAATAAATTTTACAAATCGGCGTCAGTAGACTTATTAGTTTGATTTAAAATCAGACCACAAGAGTTGAAGTAAGGATATGGAAAAATATGAAGCTGTAAATTTATTCCAAAAAAAAAAAGGAAAAAAAACCCCCAAATGTATACAGTCAAATCTGTTAAGAAACAGACTGGAATAGATAGTTTCATTTCTGGTTTGTGATAATTTTACATGATGTTAATAATTTTATTTGTGATTTGCACTACTTTCATTACAGCAGTAACAGACTGATTTAATTTGCAAATTCTTTGAATTATGTATAAAGTGTCACTAACAAGTTATTATGAACACCATAAAGTGATATATCCAGGAAGTTTAACTCACTCTGACTTTACAATAATAAAATCCATTGTGATGGGATTGCTCAATGTCAAAAAGCTTAGGAAAGTGTGAGATGTCTAATTCTGGACATCAGTGTTCCAAAAATGTTTCATTGCTGCTTCTCACTGCAGGCAGGAAAAGCAGTATATCAGGGATTGCTCAAATGTTCAGACAAATCTGAAGCACCTGCTAAAACCAACACACTGTCTTTAAAAATAAATAGAAAAAAAAATTTATAAACACAAAACTCTCAACCCAAAATATAATGGAACCTAATTAACACTAAAAATTTAATGACCGTGGTTGTTTATAAGCAGAACAAAACCTTCAACTGTGATGTGATAGCTGAAACAACAAATAGACCTTAGATATACACCGTGAAGCAGTAACAGGTGGGAATAGGAAAGTGATTTTATCTCAATTCAGAAAATTATTTCAAATAATCTATCATTGTGGATCCATTTCAGGCAACCATGTCCCAAAAGGGGATTGAAAAATAAATAAGATTGAGTTTCAAAAATTTCCAAAAGCAAATGTTAAAAATGTTACACAAAATATGCCTTCTACAAGGTACAAACTATTTTATCCAGAAGTAACTTGTTCATGAGCTGTAATTTGCCATCCAAGAAGGGAACATGATAGTGGCTGGCACTGGACTATCAGAGCAAAAAACATACTAAAAGCCTGTATATGAAAAGGGAGTAATTCAGACTAGAAGTAAAATTGAACGAGTCAGTGTCATGGTTTGACCCGGAAGTGAGGTTTTGGGAAGTTATAGTCAAACCAATCAGTGGCCAAATTTCAAATTGGCAGCTAGTGTAGCCACTGGGGACTTAAATACGCCTCTGAAAACACACAGGGGTTAAAAGCAGAGCACTCCCAGAGAGACTTTCTCTTTAGAGTCCGGCAGGTAAGCAGATCTGACCTTTCCCCCCCCCAGCTGTGTCTGGGTGGGGGGGGGAGGCCTGCGGCCTGAGAGAGATAAGCTGGAGCCGCTGCAAGATGCAGGGGTGGAGGAGTTCCTAAGATAGTTTGAGCAGCCCCCCGGAGAGCAGGATAAAGCGGTAGGTCGGGAGGAGAAGGGGTGGGCAAGGTGCCCAGCCGCTGCCAAGACGGGCTGTGCTTTTAACCCTTTTAGTGTTGAAACAATAGAAGCTGTAAAAACACTGATCCTCCTCAGCTAAAAATTTAAAAGGGATAGAAGAGGAGAAAGATGAAGAAGGTTTGAGTAAGTGAAAGAATGCCAACAGATAGAGCACCCGAGATAGAAGAGATGATTGGAGTGGCTTTAGCCAAACTTTTCCTCTAACATAGCCACGGGCAAAGCCGGGTTCTTCCGTTAATGCAAAGACTGCACCTTGAGAGAAGCAGTTAGCCAGACGCCAAGAATAATAAAGCCGCGAAGAAAAGCCGAAAAAACAGAAACTGGGGGGAGAGTATAGTAAACCCTCAGTCTTCAGCGAAGGATCTCTGTTCCTGAGCCCCAGGCCCCAGGGGACTGAAATGAGAGGGACAGGTGTCCCAAATAGTGGGAGGTGGCCATCTTCTTAGAACTAGGCAAAAAGCATTCTTAAAAACCTAAAGAGTAGTTCAGATCCATAGACAGTAGTGACAGCACTGGACATAGAAAGAAAATAGTCACCATAGCAGATTTCTCTTCGAGCAGCTGCCGTGTGTGACATGGAAGCACAGTTCAACTGTGTTTCCTGGGGAGGCCCATGGTGCAGGAGAGAAGCTCCTCTCTCCTGGTAGACCGGGGGGTGCTTGTGTAAAAAGAGGGTATTGGGTTGAGAATTAATGTGTTAGAGGGGATTTGAATGTTAGAGGACTGGGGGGAGGAGGAAGAGTGTTTTGAAAGTGTTCTATTGTAGACTGTTGTGTGTGTGTAGTTTTTTTTTCCTTCCCTTTTGTGTCTGTGTAGATTAATAAAGTGTTGTCTTTTCCCTCCATTCCCAAGTTAGAGCCTGCTTTGTTCTGTTCCCGGGTCACATCTCACAGCAACCATTTTGGAGAATGCACCTTTCATAAAGGCACTAGCACTGTGCCAGAGTCAATCCATGACAGTCAGTTCCTGGAATAATTTCACTACGAACATGGTGGATTCTTTATTGCCAGAAAACTTGTTATTTTTAAAGATCTGCTACTGTTCAAATCAAACTTACAGGTGTGATGAAGGCAAAGCTTTGATGCTTTGAGAGTGATATTATACAAGCAATAAGACAGACTGTAATAATTCATTATCTGACCTTCAAGTGCTGTCACTGCATTAAAATATGGCTGAGATGTGCATCTTAAAAGTCACCACTTCCTTCCTCTAAATGGTGGTACTTCTAAATATGCAGGCATTATGAAAATAACCATGAATAATTACTTAAATTAACATAAAGACAACCAAAATTGTCCAGGACTGCAGGATATTTTTCTTCATTTATAATCAAAAGTTATTTATATATCTAACCAGAGATTAATCAGTTTCATCTGAATAACCCACGACAGAGCAAAGGTTAGGACAAGAGTTTTCTAAAACATGGTGTGACTGAGAAATTTATACAAGTGACAATCATAAATTACAACACAAACAGGTTGTTATTTGAGACAGTTCTTGTGGGAGTGTCCTGAACAGATCTCCAGGTGCCTGATAATATGGTTAAACTTCTCTTCAGGAAAGAAATGCAATGTAAGGATTAATTCTACCTCGCTAACCAATTCCATGGGAATGAGTAAAAGCATCATATTCTGAAACATCTGTCCCTCTGACAGAAGTTTGACTGGAGCAGATTATGTAGTTCAAAAAGTATTTAAACTTGGAAGACAAACTGACACAGTCACACAGTGGCTGCATCAGATATTTCTTTAGGAAAGCAAACTCAAAATAAATTTGATTTATTAATTACTTTTTAACTCATCTTTCCTGATCAGCTGGTATGAATAGATGTTACAATGGATATTCTCAATTACATTTTTATAGAATTATTTTTCAGAATAAAACCCAGTTTTAACTTCGTATCAGCTTATGTACGTTATCTTCCTAAAAGCAGGCCACTAAAACTTGCAGATCACTAAAAACATTATTTGATTTTCCTATTGCATTTTTTAAAAAATACAAATTTGTAGTAAAAATAATCCAAGAACCAACAGAAACTCCAATAAACGAATTTGACTCAAATACTAGGTGATATTTTAAAGGACTTACATGTTTTCTTCATTATGGAAACATACAAAAAAGTCACAATGCTCAATTAAGAGGATAGGCAATGATGTTTCCACTGATCCTTCTGGTCTCATGCTGTCTGTTTTGCAAAGCTTGGAATTATTTTGCCCTTCACCTAAGAAAGTCAACAATACCAGCTATCAAAATACTACAAAATAAGGGAAACAGGATTCAAAGAAAATTTGTAGTAGTCATGAAAAACTAAGACCACACTCAAGACACTTGTATTTCAAAAGATGGATATTTCCTAAGTCCCAGTTTTCCTCGTTATTATGTGAGGTTTTTTCACATACCTAGAGACAAAATCCAAAGATCCTACTTATGAACTGAAAATGAGTTTGCAGATTTTAGATGTTTTCATCTCAAGAAGTGACACTGGAAGTCATATTCCAACAATTCTTAAATATGCTGAGTACCTTTCCACTTAGCCTGAAAATTGTCTTGAGACTAAAGTTACAACATAATCCAAAAGCAAGATGAAAATCCACCTCAGTTCCCTGTTCCCAAGGAGTCTCCAATCCATTCTGCATGTGTAATTCATACTCATGAACTACTAGCATCAAATTCAGCATTAGGCACAGACGTTACATCACTCTCTTTCAAATGTGAAAGTCAGATCTATAGATTTCAAATAATAACAAGAAATGTAGCAGTCTTTCTTCGTAGGTTAGGACTTCAGGATTATGGAAGCTGGACCGCTAGGCAGGTAAGAATACAACAGTCATTGATCCAGAAAAAGAGCAAGCAAGGAAAACCAGATTTCCCTTTCCCTAGGAAAGCCACAGCAGTGCTGAGGGGACAGGGGTCTGCACCTCACCAGTGAGCAGGTGACCTCCTATTGTACCAAGACTGTCACCTACTCATGGCCATCCTGAGGGACAACAAGGGAACAATCAAACCAGCCTGATACCAGGGAATCACCCTGCTGGGGTTACCAGGGCAGCCTATAAAGACTTATATGTACTCCATGTTATACCACTAGAAATATCGCAGCCAGAGAAATACAATATTACAATGTTATGAGGGTACTGGTATAGACTAAAAAAATATATGAAAAAGAAAAAAAAAAATAAGAGAGAATCATAGGAACTTCAAAGGTAACTGAGAAAGAGTACTCGGTTTTGACAAGGGATTAATTTTTAGATAACTGGTTCTGTTCTCACTGAGGCCCTGGACAATGAATTCAATCAAAACAAATACTTAATAGTGCACATAATGCAATGTTTCATGAACAAATGCACTGGCCAAGAATTTATTACATACATACATACATGCATAATTCCTTCCAGATACACCAATACCCAACCACATAACAGCTCCAGTAAGAATTCCATGCCACAGTCTAAGACTCATAAGTTTACCACTTACAATAAATTACCATGGTAAAAAAAGCACACACTCAGTAGCCAGTAACAACTAGACTATACCATAAACAGCATTCTAGGAGCATTGTGCTACCTATCTCTTTGCCAGATTTCCACACTTTATTACAGAATTTCTCTTGCTCTTTCTTTAAGTCGATATGTGCTACACAACGGTAATTATGATCACTGATTAAACTGAAGATCCAAAGCTGCAAGAAAAAGAAAATGCTATTGCAATAACCTTTTGACACTAAAGATAAAGCTTACATGAATACAAACTAAAGATCCAATATTTAAAACAGTAGATGTAATTAGTGAGCTTTTGTATATAGCACCTCATTTTGCAAAAGAATTCCAATCACATGTATCCCTAAGATTGTTAAAGATAATCAAAGCAGCAATGATCAGTTTGAGCTGTACATCTAATTCCCACATGTTTATATGTTTTTAAAAAAGCTCCCTATAGACTATTTCTCACAATTAAAAATCACATGTAACATGCATGTAATTGCTCACTGGATCATATGCATGAATTTCATTTATACCTTTCTCAGTTTAGACACCACTACAGTTAAAGCTTTAATTTTCTTCAGAATTACTGAACAGTAACATTGAACAAAAACATCTGGAAATTATCATGCAAATATATTCGTACCATTAAAGAAGTGGTGAAATGGGTATTCACATTTACCACATTTTTATTAGAATTCTCACATGCTGAAATCATAGCCTCTTCCACTTAATTGTCATGCATTTCTTTTTTTTGGCTGAAATAGGAGAATCCTATTTTTCACCTTTTTTCTTTTAAAACAGATATATTTATAGCGTCTCAGTGTGCTCTTCTTAAATAATCACTGATTGTGCTCTTAAAAGTTTTCCTGGTTTTCAGAAAAAAGTTTATGTGTTGTAATAGAGGTCTTATTTACCATTTATGGTTTACACTAAAAGCACTGAATTATGCTTACTAAAATAACTCTTTTAACAATTCAAAAAACTTAGGCAGCTTGTGAACCTTTTTTATAGCCAGAATAGTTGACTCTTGACATAGAGACTGATTTTAATGAACACTTCTTACCTGTCCCTCCGCACATCCAGTGATAATCTGTTTGTTTTCTTCATCAATTAGCAGACTTAGCAAAGGAAATGCTGCTCAAGAAAGAAAGATAAAAGCATTTCTAGAGTAGACACAAGTCAGATATTTAATTAAAATACCTGATTTAAAATCGAATCTTCTTATTTATAAAGTCAGGTGAAAATAGCCCTTACTGCAGTTCTCATGGTTGCATAGAGCTCTGTGTGCCTCAGCCTTTGTGCTGCTGAGGGCTTTCTGTTTGCAGGTCTCTGAACTGCCCGTCACCTAACTGCCATGGCAGTGGTTTCCTGCACCCTGTCACCCAAGCTGCTGTGGCATGGTTTGCAGACTTGTTTATGAAACTATCCACTGGGAAGCAGACTTTAGAGGAAAAATTATTTACTGTTGGCTTTGAAGGATAGGATGTTTACTGTTACCTTGTCTATAAGAATTATTTTCACTAAATCAACCCCAAACTTCTAGAATAATCATAGATTATTATTTAGAGATAGAAGATTTTTGCTATGCAAAAATACATTTAAAAATAGAAAAATTACCTGTTATTATTCCTGACTGATATATTAACTGGCTGGTAGAATAGTCCCACACCTTGCAATAAAAAAAAATATTAAAAATATATAAATATAGGTATCTACTTAGATATCTATGGAAAACACAATTTTCACAGCCACCATATGGTGAAAACAGAAAAATGCAAGCATTGAAAGTGATGTTCTTAGGAAAGAATTTCTTTTTCAGCACCTGTTTCCATTTATGAAGAGTTTTGTCCAACTGATAATCATCCCTAGTGAAAAAGGCAAACTCACATGATACGGATTCAGAAAGTATCAATTTTTCTTAATTTGATCTCTCAGTGATTTTAGCTAAATTTATGAAAAAACATACACAAAAAAGAAGAGAAAAGAGGAGAGGGGTGCATTGCATACAGTAACCCAGTCCAATAATCCCAAAAAGGAAAATTCAAATGTATATCAGCAGACTCAAAGGGAATTGTTTCCTTCAGCTCAGCACACCTGAAACACTTCAGTTACAGCCAAGCTGATCAAAATATTTTATTTCTATTTGCCAGATAATAGTAATCACTGAAATTAATACTTCAGTGTGGAAAGTTCTGAATATACAAAACCTGCATTGTTCTTTTAAAAAAGAGTAATTAATTTTTGTTATAATTTCCCAAGCAATTCGAAGAAAAATGTCCTTATCTCCATAAAGTCAAAGATATTTTTTACTTAATCTTCAGAGCATATTTAAAGGGGAAAATAAGAATACTTCACATATTCACTAAATTGTTCTTTTTTAAGTTCATCTCTACAAATTCCTTGCCTTAAAGGTTCTGTCTTCTGACACTGATATGAGCATATTTTTCTCCCATGTGCAAAACTCAGCAGCAGTCACTGGAGACAGATGTCCATCCAATTCAGCTAGTTTAGCTTCATTCTGTGATTAATCAAGTCAAAAATAAAAAAGAATGGACTTCAACATAAAATTGACAATTATGTGTTTTAATAATTAATAACTCTTGCTAAGCATTGTCAGATTTGTTTTTGATGTATAATTCAGAAAGATTTTTCTTATTGAAAAAATCTTCTGATTGACAGGAAGTCCTGTACACCATCCTGCTGGCAAAGTCACTGCACATTACTTTTGCTTCTTCAGACTGAATGATACAGGAACAGTTTTTCAGATGACCTAAGAATATTTTCTACTTTTAAGTTACTTAACTTTTAAGTTATTGAGATAACTTATCTCAATAATTTAAAAGTTATCTCAATAATTGAGATTGAGAACTTTTAAGTTATTGAGATACTGTTTCATTTCAACTCCTTAAACATAGTATTTTATCTGATATAGGATGCATTATCAGGTGTCAGTTCCTATTTATTTTATGACACAAAATGAATATTTTTGCTTAATTTTACTAACATTTCTGTATCATGATTTGAAAGTGAATAAGTAAAAGAAATACCAGTACCATGGCTACAAACAATGCTATCTCACCTTTGCACTTAACATGTAGATATGATTTCCAGCACATACTGCCACTTGTTGATCATCTGGACTAAATCTTACATGAAGCACCATTCCCAAAAGAGTTCCTATAACAATTCCTTGAGGTCTAAATCCTGCAGCAATTGTATTGTTAATGAGACTCAATGAAATATAAAAATCTGGTGCAGTGAGATTCTTAGAAACTTTGCATAGCAGTTACTAACCACAGAGCTGTCCCAGTTTCTGTCAGGAATATATACAGAAAAACAAAGTTTAAATACAGCAGGGTATTAGAAAGAAAAGCATAGAACTATGGACCACCAGAATTCCTCTATGGGTCCTGTTGCCTAAATACAATCTGTCACTCCTTATGATATTAATAATTCCCATCAAATCATGCATTCTTGCTTCCATTGAAGATTGCAAAGGAAATGATTTTTGGAGCAGGGTGATGTGCCCATGGAACCCACTAGTGCCACATTCATTTTGGAGGTAAGAAATTGTAACTGAAGCCCAGCAAAATACAGCTTTGAAAAATACTTCTTCTGGGAGAATATGCCAGTCGCTCAGACAAAAAGTAAAGAGGATTTTCTCTCTCTGCTTTTAATTTTTCTGTGGGAAAAGGCTGAAAGAGAAAGTACACCATTAAATATTTCAGTCAGATAAGACTAGATCTGAGAACAGGTAATGTTTCTATCCTGCCTTCATGATTTCATTCTGGTCATCTCACTGGTTCAAGCAGATTGGTTTCTGCTGATCCCTATTTTACAATGCTGCCTTTAATGATGTGAGGATAGTTTGGATATGTCATTAAATTTTAGGATTTCATAGGGAACAAATTATCTAGAATATAAGCACAACTACAGGCATCCTTTCAGGCTTTCATATTAGATGGTGTGTAGTCTTTTTACAATTTATTAACAAGTCAAGGTCACACAAAGAATTCCTTAACTACTTTGACACAGTTTATAAGAAATAATATGAGAAAACATGCCAAGAATGTGCAGAGGACAGTCTGTGGAGACAAAGTCTCTACTACAGCATCTGCTGAAGAGCCTGTAGATGGAGAGAAAATGAAAAAATCAAGCAGCAGACAGTCTGGATGCCAAATGCATTTGTATCAAAACTACACACACTATTTATCTCTCTGCTACTTTCTATTCCTATCTTCCAGTTTTATTTCCTCCAAATTCATAGTCCCACTTTATTCCCAGTTCCTGAATTACCCATTGATTGTCTATGTTACTCTTACATGTATGAAAACTTAATACTGACCTTCATTTATAAAAAGCACTGATATTGTTAACTTTTCTTTACAACATTAGTTTTCATATTACATAGATTTTCAAATTCAAAATGGAGCAGAGTACAATAGAACTCTCTCAAATTAAGTCATCGGCAAATCTCCAATCATAGGTAACAAGGAGGAAACTTTTAATAGTGGGGACAGTACCATGCAAATTTAAATACTGTCACCAAAAGGGGACAGACTGCCACTGGGAATCCAGTGAATCATAACTCTGGGGATCTTGCTCTTTTTTTTTTCCTTTTTCTTTAATTATTCTTCTACTTTCCAATGAATTTAAGCTTGCAGAGAGGTTAGCACTGCTCCCTAGAATCTAATGCCATTGGTTGAGGCTCCAAACCAAGATGGTGGTCAGGACACTAAAATTCCTATTCTCTGTGTGCTATGTCCCCACAATGCTCTTTCACTCATGCACTCTTCTCCCAAATCAGATACTTGCATTGCTCGGCCTCTCTCTCTCTCTCTCTCTCTCTCACACACACACACACAAAAGCAATGTTCCAGAGACAGAAGGAGAGGCAAAGCAGGATACAAAACACTAGTTCCACAAGTATTCCAGAAAAGGAAGTACTTTGGCATTGCATGTTTAATTATGCAGTACTGCTATGATTAATTTTTCTTCTGTCCATTTTTTTCCCCAGTGGCACAGAGTCACTACCTCTGCTGCGCTTCTCTGTGTTTGCCCCAAGCACAGCACCTCGGCCAGCTCCCGACCCAGCCCAGCACCGCCGTGGGGCCGCCGCCGCCCGGGGCCAGCGGCTGTGACAGAGACAGGACTGGCTGTGATGCCGGCCTGGTTCAACTCGGCATTGCCGAAGAAGAACAAGAGATAATCACAGCATTAATATGGCTGTTCCTGCTGGTGCATCTGAGTGACTGGGGCGTGCTTCTCAGAAATAAAACAATCTCATTATAGAAGGAGCCGTGGGAGAAAAGGAGGTGTTGGGGTGGCCTTCCACAGTTGCTGTTGCTCAGAAACTGGCTGGACACTGGTCTGAGTGATTGGTGGTGAATGGCTGCCTTTGCATCACTTCTTTGCTTATACAGATGACACATATATATTATAAAAACAATACTCTACCTTCTTGCACTTTCTGCGTACATTCATCAAGATTCCACACTATCACACGTTCATGAGAGGCAGAGCAGACAAGAAGTGGATTGATTTTATTTCCAAATGACAATGCAGAAATTGAGTAATGATGCCCTGACAAATATAATGGCTGACAAATGTAGATAAAGAAGAGTTAAATTAATAACATCAAACAAAGATTATGAATCATAAAAAATGACAAATGGAACAATTAATTTTTATTTACAGCTTCAAAATCACCTAAACTACAGTGTAGCTGTACTGGTTTGGCTGGGATGCAATTAACTTTTTTCATAGCTGCTCGTGTGGCACAATGCTTTGGATTTTGTGACAAAAACAGTGATGATAACACAGCAATGTTTTGGCTGTTGCCAAATGCTGTTTGCACAGCATTGAGGACTACTCTTTTTGCTCACTTTTTCTCATTTTCCCCATCCCAATAATAAGTTGAAGATGCATAAGGGGCTGGGAGAGGACACAGCTGGAACAAATATTTCAGTTTGCTGAACTGGCAATTCCCTACCATGTGATGCTTTGTTCAGCAATAGAACAGGGGTATTCCATGCAAAAAGGTGTTGAGAGCCTGGGACATTGACTCTAAGATGGCTGTTGCTCAAAACCTGTAGTGGGATTAGTCTGGTTGTAGGGGGTACCTTGGTATAGCTTTTTCCTCTCTCTTCCCTTCACTCATTAAACTACCTTTGAATCTACCCATGACGTCTCACTTTTTCCCCTACTATGCTCTCACCTACCCTGCTGGGAAGGAGTCAGCAGGAGACTGGGTAATGGTTTAGGTGCCAGCCAGGGTCAACCCACCACAACAGCTTATTTTATTCTTATCACAATAAAAAAGTTCATAAAAAATGCTAGTACCCTTCCATAATTGAAGTGAAACCTGACACTTCTACATTGCCCTCATTTATTTATAAAGTAGTTTAAAGTAGCAGCCTATGAAGGGCTCTATTCTAGCTTTACCTGAGCAGTGGCTGTGTTCCAGATGCACAACCCATTGAGACTCACAGGGAAAGCGAAATGGTGGTGACTGCACGCCAGCTGAAAGAGCGGCTCTGGCAGTTTGCCTTTAAACAAGTGTTTTTCGCAGACAACGTCAGGATCACGTTGGCTTCCTCCAGAGGCGAAGCCGGCCCCGGCGCCCTCCATCCTGCGGCAGCGAACGGCCCCGCGGCGCAGCCGACCACCGGGGCCGCCTTCCCCCGCCGGCTGCGTCCTGACCGCGGGGGCCGACGGCTCACGGCCCCGCTCGGAGCTCCCTCCCGCTGGAAGGCGGAGAGCCCCAGCTCCGGCCTCGGCCTCGGCCCCGGCCCCGGCTCCGGCCCCGGCGCCGAGTCCGCCGCGCCCGGCCCGGCCCGGCCCGTAACCAGGGCAGCGCCGCCGCTGACGGGAGGCCGGACGGGACAGCCTTCGGTCGCCCGCAGAGCGCGGCGGGCCCGCGGCGTCAGCCGCTGTCCCCTCACCTGGGCAACGGGCCTGGCGACCGGCGACAGCCGCCCGGGCTGCTTCCTGGCTCTCCGCAGCGATGTCCTGGGCTGCACAGAAAGCAGCATGGCCAGAATGTCCAGGAGTGCCCCACTCTTGGGACGCCAGCTGGAGCACTGCGCCCAGAGCTGGGGAGCCCAGGACGACACAGACAGGGACCTATTGGAGTGGGACCTTAAGGAAGATGTGAACATCTCTCCTGTAAAGACGAGGGGAGAGATTTGGGGTTCTTCACAGAATCACAGAGTCAGAATAGGTCAGATTGGAAGAGACCTTGGTGCGTCATCTGGGTCAACCTCCCTGCTCAAGCAGAGTCATTCTAAAGCACATGGCACAGGATTGCATCCAGACAATTTTTGAGTATCTCCACATCCATATCTTGAGAGAGACTCCACAACCTCTCTGGGCAATCTGTTCCAGTGGATGGTCACCCACACAGTTCTTCCTCATATTCAGGTGGAACTTTTTCAACCTGGAAAAGAGAAGGCTCAAGGGGCACTTTATATGTGAATATATAAAGTGAGCATATAAGAAAGACAGAAACTTCTTACCAAGACCCTTAGTGTCAGGATAAGGAGCGAAAACATTAAACTAAGAGGGGGTTGATTTGGATTGGTCAGAGGAAGCATATTTTTTACAGTGCAGGTGGTGAGGCACCAAGACAAACAAACCTCCTGTTTTCCCCAAGTTTGTGGATGATGCCAAATTGGAGGAAGCAGTCAGAAACAGGCTGACAAGAATTTAGTGGAGTCCAACAAGAGTAAGTGGAATCCCATGTGTGGCACAGAGTAACTCCATGCAAGATGAAATGCTGAAGGATGGCTCTCTGGGAAGGGGCTCCCCAGAAAAGGATCCAGACATCCTGCTGGACAAGCTGAATATGAGCTACCACGGTGCCCTTGCAGCAGAGGCAGCCAACTGCATCCTGGGCTGTGTTAGTAATAGAGAGTAGCCAGCAAGTTGTGAGAGTGATCCTTCCCTTCTATTTGGCACCTGTAAGGCCACACGTGCAGTGCTGTGTCCAGTTTTGGGGGTTTTGGTACTAGAAAGATCCTGACATACTGGAGCAATTCTAGTATAGAGCAAGAAAAATGGTCAGGGAGCTGGAGAAAATGATGTACACAGAGAGGCTGAGAGAGCTGGGTCTCTTCAGCCTGGAGAAGAGACAGCTGAGACTTTATTGTTGCCTACAACTACATAATTGGAGGATACAGGAAAGACAGAGAGACTTTTCTCAGAGGCACTCAGTGATAAAATGGATCCTGGGAAAACCCAATTAGGGTCATATGAAATCAGTATTTAATTTTTTAAAATATCATGACAGTGGGTGAATATCAGAACAAGTTTCTGAAGAGAGGTCATGGATCTCTATATCTGGTGTTGTCCAGGAGTCAAATGGACATGACCCTGAGCAACTTAATTTAATTAGAACTGTTATGAACAGGAAGGTGGACAGGAGGAGTCCAGAAGTCCCTTTCAACCCGAGTTATGATTTTATGACCAAGTTTTTGATCTGCATCAACTTAAACCATTTTGGTGCAAATCAGCCAATATCAACCTCAACTGCTTTTCAAACAGATACTTTCTATAGGGATGTCTTAATCATGTCTGTCTGTAATTAGCACTACAAGAATTTCTGCCTTATATAAGCATTGGATATATATTATCACTGATAATGTAGTCTCCCTGTGCTTGTTAGTTTTGCCTGGAGAAAGCACCAGTCCAACTTCCCTTTAGTGTGTGCATGTGAATTTGGATAAGGCCACTGTATTGAGAACCACCTGCAGAGAGGCTACTCAGTCCACTGCACATGACACTGTTTATCTGAACTGCGACTCATGGCTGGGAATATTAGAGGAAATTTTATTGTTAATATGCTGGTGACAATTTTCATGGGCGATACAGTCACGAATATGTTATGGCAGTTTAGTCACTGGTAAAGAAAAATAAATGCTGACACAGCAAAAAGGGTGTTGTTCTGACATGAAAACAACCCCTGGGAATCTTAAAGAACTTATTCTGAAACATGCTGTGTCTCTGTAACTGCTTCTAGACAGTTAAGTACTCTTTTTTACAATTTTCACCTGACTTTATTTTCACCTTTCAATGTTTGTACCTACGACACTTTCAACAATCTACTATCCATAACAACTAGTAGCAATCCAAAGAAGTATCAGAAATTTTGGACTGATTTCTTGACTGATGATTATTAACTTGTAAATATGCAGGAAGAATTTTATACCTCACCACACCCCCATGAAACACCTCTGACAATGTCCTGTTCCTATGCAACACAATGCTAAAAGACCTTGGCTCCACATATTCCCACACCTTGGGTACCCACCTATTTCAAATCACAGAATCACAGAACCAATTAGTTTGGAAAAGACTTCTGAAATTACTGAGTCCAACCTATGACTGAACACCACCATGTCAACTAGACCATGACAATAAGTGCCATATCCAGCCTTTCATTATACAGTATAAACTATATTGTCCAATCACCCTTTCTGTGAAGAATTTTTCCTAGTGTCCAACCTATAGCTCACATGGCAAACCTTGAGGCCACTACCTCTTGTCTGGCCTTGGAGAAAAGACTAACCTCAACCTGGCTACAGCCTCCTTCCACATGGTTGTAGAGAGTGATAAGGTCTCCCTGAGCCTCCTCCAGGATAAACAACCCCAGATCCCTCAGCTGCTCCCTACAGGACATGTGCTCCAGACCCTTCACCAGCTCCATTTCCCTTCTCTGGAGTCATTCCAACATCTCCATAGATTGACATCTATGTGGAAAATGAAAGACTGCTGGAAATAACAGTTCCACATGATATCATATCATATAATATATCATATCATATAATATCATGCTTTTGTTCCAACACTGTATTTGTAGTGTCTCAATACTCAATCATAAGAACTTTTAAAAATGAGGTCTAGCAACTATATTTTAATGTTTTAAGCAGAATAAAAGTCTTTATACGAACAAAACTGATTTCAAAAAAGCTAAAATTTATCAGAATCTGAATTTGGCGGTCTTATGCAGCCAGTTTGTTTGAGCTAGGAATGAGGAGAACAAGTTACATGGGTTTGTGAAATTAGAGGGCTTTGAAGATAGAACATTAGCTCAGTTAGCACAAGGCCCTTGGGGTACATGCACAGGCTGCCTTGAATCTATTAGTACACAATGCACTCCATGTAGATTTTTTTCACACTTTCAAACTTTCACTCTTGCTTATGATTTTAAGCAGCTCAGCAAAGTCAAGGTAATTGCTGAAATCAATGGGTATTCAAAAACAGTGCTGGGGGGGTTTTTTCTGTCATACTGCTTTGCTGTTCTGTGATTTTAGATCAGATTTATGTCAACAGGCAAAAAAACTGTCACTAACCCACGGAGGGACACCTATCCTCCAGCAAACATCTTACATCCAGTGTCAGCGCAGCTGAAAGACGCCTACTCTAATTCCAAGCTTCCGTGGTGAAAAGCGCTTCACACGGCCCGCCAACCCCTCCCCGTTCCGCCCTCGGTGCCTCCCCGCCTTCCCCAAGCCCTACCCTCAGCCCGCCCGCCGCGCTCTCGCGATACCGGGAGGGCGGCCGTGCCCGGGACGGGGCGGGAGCGCCCGGCGGTACCGCCGGCGTTCGGGGACAGCGCGGCGCCTCCACCCGCCCCCGGGCTCGGCCGGGCGCACTGAGCGGCTCCCGGGGCGCGCAGGGGTAGCGGCGTTCCGCCCCGCGAGCCGGCTCCTTGGCGCCGGCCTCCTCTCGGTCGCCGCGCTGTTGCGGGCCCCGCCCCGGGGCGGGGCTTTCCCGCGGTGCCCCGGCCGCGCTGCCGCACGTCCGCGAGTCCCCGCTGCTCTTCCTCGCCGTGGCAGCGGCCTTGCCGGAGCCGGAGCCCCAGCCCCGCGGCAGGTCGGAGGTGAGCCGAGCCCCCGGAGCCCCGGCCGGCGGGGCGACATCGGCCCGACGCGGCCACCCGACGGGAGCGGCGCGGAGCCGCCCGCTTTCCCCGGAGCCGCCGCCGCCCCCGGCGGGGGTTCCGTCAGCGGGGAGGCGGGGGCGAACCGGGGCGGCCAGAGTTCCTCGTTCGTAGCTCTGTCCAAGGTCTCTTGGAATCGCTTCTCTTCCAGAGCGCTGGGCCAGCGCCTTGACACTTTCGTTCTTTCCTAGATAACTTTAATTATTTTCTGGTCAGATGTGGAGCTCCTCCTGCGGCTCTGCTCGGCTTTTTCATCACTACTTCGATGGACAAGTGACAGGTAGCTCCCTCTTACGGTCGAGACAACAGACTGTTTTTTCCTGTGGTTGTAGAGGGAGTTCTGTCAGTCTGGCAGGTTCAGTAAATGCTGCACCTCGTTCTTTTATGCTGTCTTTGCAGAATTTTGACCTTGCAGTAGAAAGGCCTCTGGGGCAGAAAAAGTCAAACTACGGATACAGTTGGACATTATTTTCTATTTTTTTCTCCCAAGGATCCATTCAGATGTAGAACTTTTAACATTTAAGTGACATCTCAGTGGAATGCAGTTTGCTTTGATGCTAGCAGGGTACAAAACGAGTTACAGGCAGCTTTTTGGTTTCAGGTAATTGTAGTGTCCTTTTGGAAGGAATGAGGGGATGAGAATCTTCCTCTTAAACATGAAGGTGTTTAGGCTTGTGGCTCATGTGATTTGCATGTCAAATTCAGTCAGCTGTATGCTTTGGAAGCCTTCAGCAAAGTTTGGAAGTTGCGGCTTTGCACACAGAGACTTAGCGCAGCTATTCAGAGGGCTGGAGTGTGGCAGGCATGCTCAGGCTGCCCGACTGGGAGCATGCAGCAAGGAGGGAATAGGCTTTTAAGAGCCTTGATCTTGCAGCAGTCCTTTCCATCTTCCCCTTGTCCCGGTACTTCAGCCTTATCTTCTGTATGCAAGTGCTGTAAAGAGCTGAGCGTTTGTACTGTAACAAAACCTTCTTGAAAGTAAATACATTTTTTTCAGGGACAATGTGCCAAATTTGGTCCTAGAAACAAGCCATACATCAGGATCATGAATTAAAGTATTACCTCATTAGATGATTTGTTTTTATTTATAACTCCATCCCAGTGCAAGCTGGAATGCCTACTGCTTCAAGTCCACATCCAGATTTGCACCTTTACTGTCTTTTGAAGTTGAGAGGATGAGGATGGGAGAACAAATACTTTGCCCTAATTACCTCATATAAAGTTAAGCATCTTCAAGCATGCAAAAGCCTTCCTTTCCTTAACTGTTTTTTGGGTTTTTTAAAGTGAAGCTAAAATCATTATTGGGTTTCATCCTTCTGGGTGACTGTCAAGTTTGGCATGCATGCAGGCAGAATGAAACTAAAGTCTCTATGTCAGTTCTGTTGAAAGAACACTGGCTTGATTAATTTCTGTTTAGCTTTCAAAAGATGTAAGCCATTTCATTCTGACAAAGTTCTGAATCTTAGCACTGGTTTCTGTGACTATTAAAAAAATACAAGTTAATGAACACAATTGAAGTTAAATTTGTATGGACTAGAGAGGATTTATAAGAATTACCAAATTAAAAAAAAAAAAATAGATTACTTCCAAGAAGGGAATATACTAAAATCTGAATTTTACTTTATATTCATAAGGTAGCACAAGACACAGGAAGAATCCAAATACAACTGAAGACCATGGCAACACACTGGAGAAGAATCCTCACAGTATTTGTGACAGCTCAAGTACTATTTGTGGTAAATGCCTTTGAGGAAGAGGATGTACCTGAAGAATGGATTCTTCTTCATGTTGTCCAAGGTCAGATTGGAGCAGGAAACTACAGCTATTTGAGACTAAATCATGAGGGAAAGATCGTTCTTCAGATGCGGAGTTTAAAAGGTGATGCGGACTTGTACGTGTCTGATGTGACACTTCACCCCAGCTTTGATGAGTACGAGTTACAGTCTGTGACTTGTGGCCAGGACATCGTCCACGTGCCTGCCCACTTCCGCCGCCCCGTGGGAATAGGGATTTATGGCCACCCCTCTCACCTGGAGAGTGAGTTTGAAATGAAGGTGTACTATGATCGAACAGTTGTACAGTACCCGTTTGGAGAGGCTTCTTACAACCCTGAGGAGATGGAGGCAAACCAGAAATACTCACAGTCTACAGAAGATGAATCTCAGGATGAGGAGTCTGTTTTCTGGACTATACTTATTGGAATCTTGAAATTAATACTTGAAATCCTTTTTTAAATTGATACACACTGGACTTAAGCCACACTTCATCCTGTGAAATTGGTATGAATGACTTGCTGTAATACTCACTATGTTTCCTGAAGATATTCAGGTTACATTTCCAAAACCGGAAAGGAAGTGGGGAGAAAAAGCCATATTTAATTTTTTATTGTAAATCCTCCCCAATATGTAAAACGAGCAACCAGGACAGTATTTGCAGTGCTCTTCAGAGATCAGGGCTTAAAAATGAATGTACAGTTGGGATCTTGTTAAATTCGCTTAAAATAGGTGCTTAGGAAAATCAATTCCAATTCAGTATTTTCTATTTTTTTTTTAATAAAGAAAAATGAATAAACTACTGCACTTCAGTCCCTGTCAATTTAGAGCATATTTAAAAATAAAACCTGCTTGTTTTCTGAGCAAGCATCTCCAGTAAAACTAATCAGCAACATGTTTGAGTGTATTCATGAAGTTGAGGAGCTAGCTTAGGGTGAAGGAAGGAGAAAACAATCAATCACTTAAGGGAATAGATGGTCTGTTATTTTGACTGCGTGTGCTCTACATCACACCAGCCATCTGTCCAGCAGAGGTTGATCCAGTCACTCATCACCACTACAAATCCATGACCTGAATCAAGTGCATGTTGCTTCTTTGCTATTACTGCAGGGGGAGGGAGACTTCAGCTGTTGTTACTTGTCAATATGACATTTTTGTCTCATTAAAAACAACACAACATATAGGTATCTCAAACTTGAGATGTGCTTTCTTACACTTCTCTTGATAGCTTTTTGTGATTTTTTTTCTTTTTCAAGCACATATTTATGAATAAGTCATTAGCTTGCACACAAAGTTTCTGCTGAAAGGGATTTGCAGTATATTGTAAGAAGGTCATCTCATGCCTACTCTTCCTTAGAAGTTACTTTTACCAGGAATACTTTTCACTTTGGTTGAGTATTTCAGAATAACCAGTTGCTATGCAAATGAAGTACATTAAATTGCTCTGTAATTTTCTTTTTACAGAGCTTACTGATAAGTGCACTGAAATAAACAAGTATGTTGCTGTAATTTTATACCAATGCATGTATAATTTAAATTTAATTACTGAAAAACTTTTCTTTTTTGAGTGGTAATTTGGCTTGCCTCTCTCAACACCTGACAGGACATTAGTGACTTGTATCACAAAAAATCACTATATAGACAAAGTTTATTTAGTAAAAAGAAAAAAGTGGTATTGCTCCTCTTATAGAGTAGTTGATTAAATAGCACCAGAATATCACTTCAATTTGTGCAGTTAAGTTTCGGACAGCAAGTTTTTGGGGCTTTCTTATCCCTCCTTGCTGTTTTTCCCCCTTCTTCCTCCTCTTCTGGGTACAGGAGGGTCTTTCTGACAACAATCACAAATCCAGCGACCTAAGAAAAGAAAATTATCAATTACTGGGAAACTAAGTTTGTTACTCTCTTACTTATTTAGGCAGCCCTTCACCATTCTGTTAGGTGCTTATCTATTGGCAGTATTTCCTTTAAGTGAACAACAAATGCTTTTAAAATTGAGCATCTTTTCTGTAAAGCAGCACACATAATTCATGCTCCCTTGCAGACTCATAATGTGTAACCACTGGCTACATCAATCTTCATGGACCACAAGAAGTGCCAGCACCCCAAGGAGGTGGTTATTAGGTAAGAGCTTTACAAACAGTGCTCAAGCTTGCCAGTCATATTTTCAGGTGAATGACTACAGTTCAAGGCTATGAAGTTACCCAGTGCAGAAATCAATGGCAGCTGGAGAAGCATTTAACTTTTTATTACAACAGCTGGAATCAAAGGCTGTTTTGGTAATTTTGTAGTTTTGTAGATATATAATCTATTTTGATTATATTCTTAGGTCAGCCTCAAAGTGAAATCAGCCACAGAACCTGTACGGAAGTGACAGCTAGCTGCAGTGCTTCCCAAAATGGAGCATTACAGTGTGTTTTAAGTACTGTCAGGGAATACTGTCACTGCCACTGAATACGTATTCATGAACTTACCATGGACGTAGAATTACATGTAAAGCAACAGTACCACCTGCTATTTTTCTTTCTACTGCTCCGAGTTGGCCACATGATACGAGTGACTTGACAACTGAAAGCTACTGGCTTGCCTACCTACCTGTGGAGGTACTTCTGTTGCAGTTTTGATGTTTAAGAATAAAAAAGGGAATTAAAGGGTTTAAAGAGATGTTTACAAATATTGAGATTACTATTTCTTTTAAAAGCTGAAACAGTACAATTAATGTGAAAGCTATACTCTAGCAATATGCAGCAATACAGTTTCTTTTACAGGTTTCTTCAATGAAAAGAGGTAATAATTGTCAGTATTCTGTGGATATGGAAAAAAACATAGTTCTGAGTGAGCCTGTTTGGGTTATGCTGTAAAAGCCAATTATATTTCCTGCACAGGAATTGCGAGGTTTAACTGTGCACAACCAAATATACAGAAATAAAGCTTAGTAAAAAAATCAGGTCCTATAGTGTGACTGCTTTCCTATAGTGTTTCTTACCCTTCACACTTGTTTTAAACTATTCTTTCAAAAGAATATGTATTAATTCATTACTCATGTATTAACTCTGAGAATGAGCCCAGGACTCATAGGAAGTGGGAAGGGAACAAGTAACTCTTACTTTATTACCTGAAGGGATAGCATCAAGCCCCACACAAAAAGTGTGATAACCACGGTCACATACATCACAGAACATCATTTCTTCTTCATGGTGAGGCTGCCCACATATGATGCATGTTTTACACTCCATACATTGCCAAGGGTAAGTCTTAATCATAGTAACAAGCTCCGGGGTCATATCAAGGCAAGAAGGGTGGCCTAGATTAAAACCAGTATTATTACTTTTATGCCTGAAATGAAATTTAAAATTAGTTAGACTGTTTGCTTTTACCAAACATGAAGCTTAGCTCACCTCCAGGACAGTGTGAGCACAGAGAACACGAAAGAGAGATGGGGTTGTAACAAAGGAAAGGAAAGGCAACTGAACTTTTGCTACACATGGAGTACACTAAATATGTTCACAAACATATCTGGATCCTTAGGAATCGACTTAGTGGAGGTAGATACTCACCACTGTTGTCACACTGGGAGCAATGTATAAGAGCTTCAGGTTTTCCTTTCTTGTTGGACTCCTTACCCTTCAGACAAATTCCACATATAGCATTTGGAATGACCTTTGGCTGGAAGGGTAGAAGAGGGCTATAAATTCATTCCAGAAGAATTTACAGATTCAACAGGAAATGTCATCTATCTCCTTAACTATTAAAATCAATAAACTATCTGTCAGGATGTGTGAACCCTAAAACATGTGACAATCAATGACAAGAAGCAGCACTGAAAAAATAATAGATTTAACTACATAAAATTTTGCATTTGTCATGCAAAGTGAGTTATATGCAAATCCAATTGGATCAAAAGCATGTACTTGCCTCTTCCTATTAATTCATCAGCTAACATTCTCCTCATGGCAAACTAAATGTGACATAGGGTGAAAAATTTCAGGAAGATTCTTCCAATATAGAATACTCTTTATGAACTTCTGTGTGGATTTCCTGTTTATGAAAGCAATATATATATATATATATATATATTTTTTTTTTGCATTACATTTGTCCCTAAATATAGAAAATTAATTATAAAAGCAATAAACTTGATTTTTTCTATCTTCAGTTTCAAATTGTCTGGTTAGCCATGCAGGGCTGTATTTCTTTTACCGTTCCTTCTTGTATCCAGTCATAATCATTTAAGAAACAAAAGCCTTGCATTTGACTAGAGATTTACTTTTATAATTTTTCTAAGTTATCATCTAGAGTGTGTCTGGGTCCATGAGATCCATTTAAAGGGTAAGGAAAATAGTAGGCTGTTCAAATGTGGAACATCTGCCTAGGTATTCTGTGTGTCAAACCTGTAGCTACAACAAGAGTTTCATCCTGATGAGGCCTGAGGAAGAATTACAGCATTCTGAATTTCAGAAACATGGCAGTAGTCACATTGTTGAGCTTTGACTGCTGCATAATTAAATTAGTGAGAAATGTAGTCTACAATTCATGCAGTATTCACTGATGTTAAACTGACTAGTGCCAGTTTTAAAAAACAATGTTTCTGCAAAGACCCAGCTAGCAGAGGGAGCTGAAGGCTCTAAACAGCCTGTCAGTAAGAAGAATACCAGTCAACTACCAACCACTCGTGGGGAGAAGAATGAGGTTTAATTTTAAAACAAATTTAAAAAGTGAAAACACTAACTAAATAAATCAATAAAATTACAAAGATCTTTTGCAATACAACTTAGCTTTAAGTGTGTTTATTTCCCCAGGCAGTTTTTGACAGCACCTAGCAAGGTATTTAGTATCTTGACTCATTTTTAAAGTATCAGGATGCATTGCTTTAAGTTTTCTGAAGTTTTCAATGTGCTTTTCATGTCAAAACATGGCTATAGCCTGCTTCAAATTGTTCGGTCTAAGGAGTTTTATTAAAGAAAGCAAAACATCACACCAAATGTTTATAGGTAACTTCCTTCAAAAGATGACAGAGGCATTCATTGACATTTTTTTGCTTATTTATTTTAAAAAAGCAAAGTCAACCTGTTTTATACATAAATATAATAAAACAGTAAAAGAAGTCTAGCACACAAACATCTCTACAAAATAATAAATATAATGGAAGGAAAACCACGCATAAACTCTTTTACTGTTAACTATACTACGTGTCCTACATGTATACCTTTATACCCTGCTCCTCCCAACAAAAGTGGCACATGCTTAAACCTTGTCAGTGTGGCAGCATTTACCCTTCCATTGTTTAGGCTATTTTTTATTTTTAAATTGTACTGTCATCTAAGAAACCAAGCCTTTCTAGAATAGCAAGCAAATTTTTCTAATCAGACTTCTGGCTTGTTACAGATTTGTATTTTACTCCCTTTAATACACAACAGCACACTCCCCAGTACTCCAGCCAAAGCGAGCTGCTTTTTGGACACATCCAAGCATTACAGGTGTGTGCAGTTCACATTCTGATACACGTAACTCTCAAGGTAGACATTGCTACAGATGCATTTATTAACAATGCTTCCATCTAGTCTTAGTTCACTAACCTGTATTCATTAGGAACTGTGCATATTGAGGGGGGGTGAGAATCACAGTCTTTTAAGAATGAAGTTCCAACAGTATGGAAGTATTTTTACAAAAACAAAACAAAACAAAATTTTAAAAAATCAAGATTATTCACATTTTAATCCAGTTCCATTCTACCACCATAAATGGCTTTTAGAAATGCTATTAAAAATCTGTCAATTCCAAATGGGAAGTCACAATATCCCATCTCATTAGAAGTAAATTTTGCTTTCTATATTCCCATCTCGTTGGGATAAGATACGAGAGAAAATGAATGCAGGGTCAAAATGATGACTGCTGTGTAGGTTTTCAGTTACATGCTGCTGTGCTGCAGCTCTCAAAGTAAGCTTTCCAACTACACCATTTTTATAACATCCTATTCTGAATGCAAAGTGTTACATTTTCATATACAGTGACCCAAAACAGAAGTGTTGCAAAATAAAGATACTCAATACATTTCAGTTTTATGTGCAAAAAAAATCTCTTGTACTTTTAACAGTACCCTGTGTGTGCAATTGTAGCAGTCAGTCCTGCAGCAACAGACTCACTACTTGTAACATGACAAAATGTAAAACACACGCTAATCGTTCTTTGTTAAAGAACTGACAATAAAAAAGACTCCATATAATATACAGTATTTCTTTTACTTGAAAATAACTCAGTGGAAATGTATGGAATCCTGTAATACCCATAAGGTGGCTATACATATATATATGCTGATGCCATAGCAATTATCCCTCAATTTTAACTACATGTAACCAAAAGATTAGTGTCCTACAAAAATAGTCCAATATTAGAGAATAATCTAGAACAAAAGTATTACAAAGATTTCACAGGGAAACATTTTGAGTCAGTTAAGCCTTCGGCTCAAAGTGCCTTAACATGTAGGCACATATGTTAGGTATATTGTTATCTGGTGTTTTCATAGACTCACAAACAAGAACCATTCTGTCTTGCCAGTTAAAACAGCTCATGTAATTTGTCTTATTGCAGTATTTCAAATGTTCCCACAAACAAGAAAGCCAATCCTCTCACCCTCCTAACACATCATCACCATCCCTGACTTAGCAACAGCCGGATGGTTGATGCAGGCAATGTACACTGACATTGTACAGATGTGGCACTGCAAGTTATAGTAAGACCTTGTTACTGACAGAATCAGTGATTTTGACCCAGTAAGTAATGCTGTGGGAATCCATTTTCAAAATGTAATGCTGTTTACTACTACAGCTCTTCTACAATTTTAAGTTCAAACCAAGCTGCTTTGGTTTGAACTTAAAATTGCTTAAAATCTGCTCCACCAGTTCTCTCTCTATGCATTTATAATTCATATGGCCATTAAATAGATTCAACTAACCAAACACTTGGGCATCTTGCAGGTAAGTGAAGCTTCTGTAAACTAGTGGCACACAATTTCTAATGCCAAGTTAAACAAAGTTAAAACAAAATTTCAGCCTTCGTCTTTGGATTTCATGTTCATGGGAATACTGAAATGCATTCTACTATCTACAACTTCTTGCAAAGTTACATCTAAAAAAAAAAAAAATATATATATATATATATATATATATATATATATATATATATATATATATATGTGGTAATCACATTCTAAACCTACACAGTTCACACATTTCCTAATAAATTCCTGAAAACAGAAAATGCAACTGGAGCTTGCTGTCTGTTATGAACTTGTACAGATACTGTATATAGAGGAAATTTATCAAAGCTGTCCAATTGTTGCTGGAAATTAACTTCTTATTTTAAGTTATAGTTTATTTACTATTAACTTGGTAAACACAGATAGTAAATATTTATAAACATAAAATGCAAGTCATCAACAGCTCACTTGTGCTGAGACAGATTCTTAGTATGTACAAACTTGTCACTGACAAAAATGTTCCCTGCCCTGTAATTGCCAATAAGCATTCCTGACTGGTAAACACTCAACCGTACCTTAACTTAGTGTTTTCCCTCTTCATGGATCTATTCCTGCTCCCATTTAAGTCAATGGAAAATTCTCATTCCTCTCAGTGGAACAGGACTAGACAATTACCTGCTTTAAATGTGTTACAGTTTATTCAGATTCTATCTCAGTATGCAGAATAGTAACATATAAACAATGCATGTCAAGATTGGGGTCTTAGGTTCGGCAATCACTGCGTGATAGCTGAAATGCCTTAACATCCTCACCAAGTTACTAGTTTAGATAAAAGCATATTGCCACAAACATACTACATGGTATGAACTACACAAAAAGCTATTTTCCAAATACTATTACAGGGGTTACATAGTGTGGCCTATACAGCTGTAGTAAGCTTTTTGCCTTCCATCCTATACATCATAACATCCCAGGATAAAAGGCTGTATTTAAAATTAATGTAACAATATGCTCAGCCATACAGCTGCACTTTATAGGACTGATCTCTTGGTATGCTGCCATACAAAACAGGAAAAAAAGTAACAGTGAATGCTTCAAACTGGCACATACTTCTGACTGCTATGTTAAAGCAGACAGAAGGATGTTGAGTTCCAATGATAAATCCACAATGGATTCTTCTAGTGTTACTGCCTATGAATCTAAGAAGTTAACCCAACAGGAGGCCATTGTACAGCTAGGGTAAAGAAAAGCCCCACGCAAAATATAAGCAAAAAGGAAATAAGAAAGCAAACAGATGGAGAACACAACAGGAGAACAGCTAGTGAAGTACAGCAAGCAGAAGTTCCACATTATTAAAAAAACCAAATACTTCAGGAAGAAGATGGTGAGTAAAATTCAGTCAGGGGCTTTTTTCTTCTACCTTGTACCCAGGAACTGATTTGGGTAATACAGAACGTTTGGAACCATCTTTTCTTGGAGTAGCACTTTTGTCTCTTGTTTTTTGTCTTCCCTGAAAAGAATCCTCCTGGTTGTCTGTGGCGCAATCACCTTCAGATACATTGCCAGATGAATTGTCCTATAATAAAAATACCATAGCTATATTTTTTTTTTTTGATAGACAGACAAGTCTTTCCTATGCCCCTTAGAGTCAACTAAGGTAAGAGAAGGATATGTCATTCCTTCTGCAAAAGCATGGGGTTTATCACAATCTAGAACACCATTGTTCACAACATTCATCATCTGTTTTTTCTGGTTTAAGAGACTGGCATCAGCAGTCATGTTTTTGCAGTTGGTCTTGGTACCAGTGTGGAGAGCACAACACTGTAATTCTCTGAAGTGTTTTCATTAGAAGTCAGCAAGAAATCAACTAAATGCAATATGCTGTTTACAACGTAAAGGGCCAGCAAAAAGTTAAAAGTGCCCTTGTCATACATTTAAAGCATACCAGTACTGCCATGAATTAAACATGTGAAGGTTTTTTTCTGCCACCCTCACCTACTGTTTTCACCAGGAGCACTCTAAGTATTTAATTTGGACTGCAGCAGAAGAATGCCATCAATGGCAGAACATACTTCCATATTTAATACAGAACCAAACAACAGAATTTATTTTTCACTAAAAGCTTTTTGCCTTTTTTTTTTTTTTTGAGGAATAAGGAGGCAAGAAAGAGGGGAAGAGGTTTAAAGATGGTGAGAGATCAATGTAGGCATAATTAAGAGCAGCAGCACAAGACTTTTCTCAGAAATAAGTTAATAAAGGCTTCCAAAAAGCTCCAGAAGGAAGCAGTGTGATTACTCACATTTATTACAATAAAACCAAGAGGCCAAATAACAATGGTGCCCTACATTAAAACACACTGTAAAAACACAATAGTAATCAGCCTGTGCCCTAGGGTCTAAAATCAAAACAGACAAAACAGACATAGAGCAAATGGCGGAGTGTAACACAAAAGCAGATTGAACTATGTGGCAACAAGAAATGGTATATTTCACCAATATTTTAGGGGAAGGGTTATTTAAGTCAGACCCACTAAAACACTACAGAAAAGAAAACTGCTACCAACTCCAACAATGGAGTGGGAGGAGGTGTGAAAAAGGAGAAGTTATAAAGCATATTATGGCATCCACCAGGGAGATCTGACAAATGGTAGGTAGTCCAAATCTGACCATGTCCCACCTCTGTGTTTTTTCTGAACTATATGCCCCCCGCAATGACTACCTAGCTAAGAACCCCTGATCCCATAGCCAAAACCACTTCACAGTAATCTGATTGTCCATCTTCTGCACTTCTCTATGCTATTCAAACTCAGGGATATTTTTCCTTCTGCATTCTGTCACAAAATAAAAAAGATTTCTTAGCCTCTGTGAAAAATCAAAAACATAGTCTGCTTGGTCCAGTTACTTTTCTTTACTATTAATGAGAACGGAAGTTAATGGAAAAGGAAACTGGGAAAAAATGGTTAAATACCAAATGACCAACTGTAAAAAAGCTGGAATGTGATTAAACCAAAAATTTGAGTTGACATTTAGCATGCTATGTTTATATGATTTCTTCTTCTCAAAAAAAATGCAAGCAGAAACAGTATATTAAACACCTCTCTCTCCTTTTGTTAACCTACAAGCTGACCTTTTCCTTTCTTCAATTCTAAGTATCTTACAAAATTCAAAGATAAATATTTGCATGACAAAATTTAGAATTGTACATACCTACTGTCAAACATGTTCATCAATCATGCTAGAAATTGCTAAATGCACTGTGACATTGCACTGCTGTTAAAATTAGCGTTAAACTTCTGGAAAGATATTGTCACCAACATACAAACTGCACCAATACAACAATGGTTCAGTTGTACTCAGCTAATTTGAATCTCAGCTGGCTCTTGAGCATTTAAAGCACTATCAAGGTACATACCTGAAAGTTTCCCTTAAGTTTTAGCTAGCAGTTAATTTTGCATTTGCATAAGTGGAGAGAACACAAATATTTTTTAAAAGATGTATTGTAAAGTAAAAAAACACAGTGCTTTTTACCTTCTTTTAAAATTGGAATGAAGTTACTGTTTCTATACTTAGTACTTGCTGCTTCCATATCACAAAAAAAAGTTAGGAGGCTATCAACACCTTTGCTCTGGGGACAGAGTCTCTGGGACTTCCAACAGCAAAATATACTTTGACCTGAACTATAATGTTCATTCTCCTCAGAAATGCCAGCAACTTCCCCTTGGGAAAAAGGTTATCAATAAGAGCTGCATTGGGAAGTTTCTTAAAAATTTCTTTAAATAAAACAAAACAAAGAAAATTTTAAAAAATTAATAAAAGGTCTGAAATGTCAAATATTTGTTCACTTTACTCTGAAAATGGACCAAAACCAGAAAGCAATGGAGAGCAATGTTATGAAATAAACAGAAATACTAAAAAAGGTCTTCCCTTCATTTTGAAAATATTAAAAGATTCTAAGAAACTAATTAACCTAACAAAAGTCAAGGAAAATGATTTTTTTGTTCAAGAATACTTTCAATGTCTCACCGAATTGCCTTTGGTTTTCCTTTTTTCATCACCTCGCCCTTCCTCTGCATCATCTGAATCTCCATCACTGTCCAGCGTAAGCAGCTCCGGATCCAAAGGAGGTTCATAAAGAGCTGTGTTTAACGGCAAGTAACGAAGTTCATCTGGAGAATATCTGAAGTTAAATAAAATGCATTCATTCACGTGTACTTTATGCGTAAGTATTAAGTCATACAGTACACACAGGGACTTTAATAGAAAACAGTCTCCTTTTTTCAGGAAGGCACATAAAAACATACAGTTCATGAAAACAAAGGAAACACACTAATTTCTCCTCCCAAATGTGATGCCATGTATACTACTTGTCTTCTTTGTAGAGCAGATACTCATGGAACATAATTTGCAAAGTTTTACCCAATCCATGTTACTATGCCAAACAGACCATACACTTTTTTAATCAATGTACAGTGCCCCATTAACCCAGGGCACACAAGCATGTCTAAAGCAAACAACAGAGCTGTTTAGCTGATTATTGAGAACAAAAAAATGCAAGAAAACAAGAAAATGTAATTTTGGATGAATGTAAAGGTGTAATCTCACAGCTTATAGCCAGATACAGCTCAATATGCATAACCCACCCTTCTTTTTAACCTTAAAGACTAAGAAAAAAGTGGAAGCCCTCTGACTGCTGAGGACAAACATTGTAAAGAACAAGATACTATTGTGCTGCATATTATGAAAGGCCATGTCCTTCACTGAGATGGAAAAGCAGTTTCACTAGCAGCTTACAAGTGCAAAATAAACATAACATGAAGTAATTTTAGTTCAACTGATTTAATAAAATTGAAGTCCTTTAGCAACATCCTGTAACATGCAAATTTGGGGTGGGCTGTATGAACATGCACTGGAAGGAGCAAGGCACATGCAGATAAAGAGCTTCTCGAGAGAAAACCAAGCACATATAGCATGAATACCACCTCTATTGTACAATAGTAAGACTTCAGAAAAATCTTCACATCTGTACAGATTTGTTCAACGGTAGCATGCTGGGAGTAAAATCTTAAATTTATGTCAACAGACAAGTAACACATTTTTCATGAAATGTAAAGGTGCAGCTTGCAATGTCTTTCTCTCTCACTTAAAAATCCACCATCAAACTTAAACCACAAGACTAAACTTTTAAAGAGTTTCTAAAAATTCAAAATAGAGCAGCAAGACTCGTGATCAGAAGCCAGCGTAACAACACTTTGATACAAAAACATTCATTTTAGCACACATGCAGAGGCAGATGATAAGTAAACAGGAGGGTGGCAAGAGTGAAATCAATGTCCCTTTTTACTGTGGTAAATACCTGAGCAGGCCACATCTCAGGCACTGCAATACATCAGCAGAGACAGTGCTCTTGCAGTCAGTACTGTTTTCTTAACAACGGCTGTCACACTATGCATCTTTGAAGACTATCAAGTGTATAAAATTAAAATTAATTTGAAACCTTAAAGGAAAGACAGTGAAATGTTTTCCACCTGCTAGATGGAGACAAAAGAGATCAGTGCAACAGAACTGGCAGTTGGAATGCTTTTAAGATACCTTTTGTAGTACTCCTGGAACTGGCCGGGTATGAGAGCCACTGGATAAGGACTAACCTTTGTTCTCTCTGTAGGCAGGACTTTGTATTTTCCTTGAGGCACCTGGATAATCTGCATTGTTTAATATAAAACAACGACATTTTTGTTTCACGTACAAACAGTTGAGCCTTCCTCACCAAATACTCCTCCAAGTACTTTTTTAACTTGCCAGTTTTACTGAATTGGATCATCTACCACAGTTCTCCCATGAGAAATTCAACGCATTAAAATTCTAAGAGACACCAAAACAGTATCATGGATTAAATCCAATCCCTAAGTATCTAGTGGATTGAACAAAGATTAAGTAAAACCCCTTTAATGAAATTAAAATCTAGCAATTGAAACAGTAAACATTAACCTTTGTAACTGGCATCTTTAGCAAGAACTACCACTGTTGCTCCATATTGCTTTAGAGTAGAAAGAACGTGTCCGTCTATTTCTGAAACCAGTCCGTACTATAAAAAAAATCCATTAATAATACAAATACATAATACAATGGAAAGGAGAAGCTTACAAAAAAAGCCTTCCTTCTCTTAGAAGGAAATAGACGTAATTATCCACTATCTTGTCTCTAACAACATGGTCAATACAAGAAAAATGAAAACTTTCCATAATTGTCTGCCATGTAACAATTTGCAGAGAAAATTTTTGCTTTACTGCCTTTACAGAAGCAGAACAGCACTGCTTCAAAATGCCAGATAATTTTTTTTTTGATCAAGCAGAGAGGCATGTAACATATGCAATACAAAAATAATATAACACCTAACAAAAAGCAAGGGCATAGTATTGACAAGCACACTTTTAGGTGAAAAATAGTTTTCTTTTTTACTTCAGGTATTGTCAGGCAAAATTTTGGAGGTATTCAAAAGAAAAATTAGCCATTTATATGAATAAACAACTGTCTTAGTTTTATGCTACTACTATCAGAATAAAGACATGATAACAAAATAACACTGAGATTTTTAGAGCTTTCTGAGACAAGTATTTTCAAGTTTAAAAAGTCTGCAGGTTAAATATATTTAGATTATTATTTTTAGCAGTATTGCCATTAATCACCCCCCTGAAAATAGTTAAAATGGTAACAAAACCAACTTCACTAAAACAAGTAAGGAGCTCCTTCCTCACAATTGGTAAGAAATTTAAATCTACCTACATGTGTCTGTAAATCAAAATAGGCTCTTCTTTCTTCCATCCGTTCTCGGTTTAAATTGCTGTTGAATTCTGCAGCTTTCTTGGCAGCTTTTTTAATATATTCTGGAACTTTACTAGCTTCTACCTTCTGTGTGTTCTGCTGCTGCATTTGCTGGAATAAAAACAATTATATTAATTCACATATCACATAATTCACATATCACATTTCACTATCAGTTCGAGAAGAACCTTTTCTCACACTCCCACTGCAGATTTGGTTCACTTAAGTGGTAATTACTTACAGAATACTCTTTGTAATGATCTGTTATTCGCTGCCGTTCTTTCTCTTGCAGTATAACAGAATACTCAGCATGTTTGGCAGGGTATTCTTTAATCATAAGATCAATTACTTCATCACTACGCAAAGCTGTTAGACCTAAAATAAATAAAGTAGCAATGATGCTATCTGGCAAAAGTAACTGTAGGTTATTTATATCTCACAATGACCAACTCAAAGTTTTTGAGTAGCTAAAGACAACAACCTGCTGTGCACAATGTTTTTTTCTCCCAAGCAGCAGCAAACTTGTGCCATTTAGCTTTCAAGGCTGACTAGCACTTTGCTTGTACCCAAGGCTCGTGTCATTACTTACAGCTACAGACCCCTTCACATTGACTCAATCACCTACTTAAACTCACTGGTGAGGCAGAACCTTTGTTCTAGATGGGACCTCGTGTACTGTTAGTTTCAGTTTCCAGTGCTGCTGAAGTTTCATTACCCTGCAGAACCTGTACTGAAATTAAGAGGTTTACATAAAGTCTCTATGCAAATCATTAGGAGAGCAATTCAGAGCAGCAAGCTGCACGTAAGACTCCTGACTCCCAATTAAAGCATTTCATGCTCAGAAGTCAGAATGCCTCAGTTTGCAGCTACAATGCAGATGTCCTCCCCTGAAAGTTCCAACACAACTAATCTCCAGACATGGACAATAACATAGAATGATTTATGTCACTACCACTGATTGTAATTTTAAAAACAGGGAAAGTTGGCACACATCTCTATTGGATAGGTAAGGCAGAATGTAACATTTTACCTCCATATATAAAAATTAGATACGGTTCTCTTATGCATAGTTAAGCTAAAAAAATAGCTTACAAGTGAGAAATAAAGATGGTATACTAAAGATTGTTAGCATGTAAAATGACATTACATTTTCACAGACCCATGATACACAGAAAAAAACCCATGGCAGCATAATTTAAACTCTAACATGTCCAAATCACATATATCAGAAGAGCAAGAAAAAAAGCCCTTTCAATATAAGCCTCAGAAATTACATCAATGCATTTCAAGTATATTCAAGTGATTTAAAACACACTCTTCTAATTTCTAACATAGAAGCTGAACCATTTAAGATACACTCATGTCTGCTGGCCTCTAATGCAGCAAAATAAGACTAACATATATAGATACCCTGTATATATATATGCAATATATACCACCATGCATATATGTACATATATGAGACCACACTATTATGGTGGTATCTTTTCTAAGAGAAAAAAAAAGGTTCTACAAGTTAATTTAGAATACAGCAAAATCCCCTCTAAGTAATTAGAATACATCCAAAATATATTTCTTAATAATAAATCTGGAATACTGATACATTATGGCCAATTTACTAAGCCAAAAATAAACCAGTTTTAATTTCAGAACTTATGTTTCCAGTTGAGAGGGATGCAATTCTTCTCTACCAAACTGGACCCCCTTTTTCAGAATGCCATACTTTTTATACTGTAGTAAGAAGTCTAACAACTTGTTTCTTACCTAGTGTGCATTGAGTCTCTGTGATAACATTTAGTTCTCTGAGGTAGAGTTTCTCCTTGTGAGATAAATCTCGCCTTTAAAAAAAAAAAAAAAAATAAATAAATAAATAAATAAAAATGCGTGCAGTAACTGAAACTCCCCCATAAATACTGTCAAAGTATTTAAACAGTTTTGTTTCCAGGCAGCTAGAGCCTGTATTATATTGCTATTCCAAGAAACATGACTTCATACACTAATTTTACATTTAAGAAACAATGTAGGGACATGGTAAATTTTCTTGACCTGCCTATAGTTATGATTTACAGAAAAACAAAAGAAGCCTGATATATAACTTCAGATGCAGAAAATTTTACCAAGCACTGAAAGTGCAGTATTTTTTCTTTTATCATGACTCTTAAAAATAAATTCCCCAAGAAAAGAGCCAGATTTGACAATTCTGAATGATGAAAGCTCAAATACTAGAACCTCCACAAACATCTTTTTTAGTATTTTTCACAGTGTAAGAATGTTGCCACAATTCAGGAAACAGAATAGAGATCCAGTTATCTAGTAACAAATCATCAACAAATCACTAAAAATAAAACTGACATCAGTTTTCAAACTGTACATGTTGATCTAACCTCAAATCAGACTTGTTTGCAAATTTTCAGTGTCAATACCACAATGTCTTCTATTACTTTGAAAACCAGTGGATACATTATATTTCCAGTAATGAAAATATGAAGTATAATCCAGGTCTACTTTTCCTGGGTCCTTTTTTTTTAACAGTTAGCTCATCCTATAACCAAAGAAGCACAGACTACATCCAAACTGTTCAAGGACACAAGCTTTTAGAACAAAAACTTTAAAAATAAATACCTGGATATTTTCTTTTAAAGGAAGTCACACCTAAATATTCACTGACTTGCTCCTGAAGCATATAGTATTCTCCTGTTTCATCAGGTGGCCATTTGTATTCTATCAAATTTTCAGCAGGAAAATAACTATATCTAAACATAAGAACAATGTTACAACAAATCACAACAATCTTTAATAATACTACTGACATCTCTAGAAATTCAGTAATTCCCATTTATATGTCAATGAACAGTAACTACAAAGTTGGACAAGCACTTTAAAACACTGCATCCTGTTAACCCATTTCAAGTCACTTTGTTGTATCCAACTTCACATTTATTTCTCTAAATCTCCATTGATCAACATGCTAAGGGACAGAATCTGAAGAAACTGATATCCATCATAATGGAGAGGACACCAGAAAAAGCAACTACTACAGAGTCAAAATTCATTCAAGTATGCAATGTCTCAAAAACACGTAAACTGTGCTTCTGATTGTAACATTTTGTGGCATTCTAAAATAAAATGCCTTAAAATATGCTGGGAGCAATAGACACCTAGCTATTTATATGACATCACCTCAATTTGTAAACATGTATAACGAACACACAAGTAATAAATAAAGAGCTAATACTTAAGCATGCTGAACAATAAAGTCAGACTTACAATAAAAAGTAGGAATTGCAAAAAACAGTATTACCCAACGTCTTGACTGGAAGTTTCACAGCTCCGAGAACTGTCCCCTGAGCCCATACGCCGTCTTTTGGATGGCTGGCTGCCATCATTGGAATTTTCTTCTGTGTCATCCTGAAATGAAAATAAATATTTAAAAAATGAGACTACTCCAAAGAAAACGTAAAACATCAAAAACATTGCAAGGCAATGTTTAAATCCACAGTTTAAATATACTTGAACTGCTAAGCCATTCTACGATGGTCTTACCTCACAAAACAGTCTACATAACAAATCATTCTTTGTTATAAACTATCTGCATGACATGTGGTAGGCCAGCAGAACTGGGCAGCTTCTCACCTGTGGCAGAGGCAGAGCTCTGAATAGACAGAGCTGTAACTCTGACCACCAAGTTCATAATTCCTGACGTAAACTACTTCTTGCACTTGACCAGACTAGCACTCCACACCAAAAGCAAGTGCAAAGCAAAAACCCCTACTACTTGCTGACAGCTGATGCTTACAAAATCAGGGGAAATTATTACTGAAAACAACACAGGAGTTTATAGGTATACAGTTAAAATAAAAGGACTATCTTTGCAAGCAAGTAGCAAATACATGTCTCTTGAGATGAAAAAATATACAGAAGAAAAAACCCAACTTGGTATTACAACAGATACAAAAGAGAATAAGGTTCTTACAAGGGAACATTCAGACAGGTGTCATTATTCAGATTTCATGCGATCAATATAATGAAAGGGAATAAAGTATGAAGAGGAGCAAAAAAAGACCAAAGCAAAACAAGAGTTCTGTAAAATCTAGAAGACAGTGACTCAGTTTATGTTGCATTTTTCACTGCTCTGTTGTCCCATAATGCTGTGCAACTCCTACCTGCATCATTAACAATCTCAAAGCATATAGTGACCAACCCTGTCTGATCATAACTGAGATACAGAAAGCAGAAATCTTTAGGCGAATTGCCTACAGTGACCAGTAGTTGAGTCAAGAACAAAACAGTTCTTCAAGTAATTGAATTTCTGAAGTGGAGCAGAGTGACAGAATTAATTTCTTAACTTCTGTGAAAAGTTTAAACAAGAGGAATTAATCTGTCAGAAATAAATGGCTCAAGCCCAACTATACTTACTCATTTAAAAATTACAACAATGATTATTAGGTCTACCTTTGCTAATGTCTTTCATTCTAGTATGTTTAACAACGTATGACTTGAAATATCAATTTAAAAATATTCCAGCAAACAAGAATACATTACTTTTACTAAGCAACATTTCACAATGTTATAATCAAGACAGGCCATAGACAAAAAAGCATTTTTCTCCAGGACTTTTGGCTTATTTCTTCTTTTCTTCAATTTTTTACAAATATTTTTCTTCCTCTTTAAGGAGCAAGAACATCTTTCACACAGTAGTAAAAACTGAAAAGCAAATTTTAATGAAACTGTTTTCTTTGCACAGCCATCCTCAAAAAAAAAGCAGTATGCAGCATCTCCACCACATTGCCAGTAATGCCACTTCTTAGTATTGCTGAGACTATGCTGTGTGAACTGAGACAAATGAAGCAGCAGCCCCAGTCAAAACAACATTGCCTCAGAGTATTTTGTGACACAGACGTCCCATCAGTACTTCACTTCTACTTCCCACAAGAATATTCATGCGCTCCAAATTTCTTAACTGCTAGACAAACACCTGAACAGGGCCAAAGCAACCCTCTGGTATATCAAAACTTCCAAGACTTCAAATGTCATTAAAAGACAGACCTCAACCTGACAGTTTGGTGGAAGTGACGGATATCAGTTTCTCATTTCACTTTGTAATTTTTCATTGATTATACCCGGTACTATTACAAAGTATGAGTATCCACAACATAGAGATCAGTGCTCTCTATTTCCATACTTGCTTCCTTATTTGCTTAAAATTTCACGAAATTCAATGACACAAGTTCAGTTTGTTGCAGATGACTTAGTATATAAAGCGAAAACATCTGCAATCTAAAGGCACAATGCCGTTCAACCACCTTTACTGTTCAAAAACAGAAAAAAGGGGATAGCTCTGTGGCTCTCTTTAGATGAAAAGTCAAGCACTGTCCAAAAAAGCCCCTTTCTCCCTGAAAACGCACGTTTCTGTAAAAAGCTTGTCAGTCCTTACGAAACATGGTGACGTTACAAACTTCTGGTAAGTCTGTCACTCTTAAGATCGACGTAACATTGCTTTATTAAGCGATCGAGAAGCCTGAACTGCCTGAGACTATTTCAAAGGGCGACTGCCGATCTGCGCTGGGAGTCTTTGGCGCCACAAGTGCCCGCGATGCCTGGGATGCGCGGGAGCAGCCGGAAGGGCCAACGCGGAACTGCCCGCCGCCAGACCTAAACTTTCCCGGCTGCGGCGCTGCCGCGGTGAGGACTCAACTGCCGCGCCGCCCCCGGGAAGACGCAGAGGGACTTTTGGGAAGGAGGACGGCCCCGGGCACCCAGCCCCAGACCCGCGCTCAAAGTTCGCCCCAGGGCGCGGGAGGCCGCCCACCGCCGCCCGGCTCCCCCAGCGGGCATGAGGTGAGCCCGGGGTGGGCGGGTCGGGTCGGGTGAGAGGCGCGGGTCAGGGCGCCCAGGCGCGGGGGCCGCGCGAGGCCTCCCGCCGGGGCGGCTGTTGCGCCGCAGCTCCGTGGCCGCCGCCACCCGCTCTCACCTTGAGGGACTGCGCGCCGGGCGTGGCCGGGTCGCTGTCGCAGAGACGCGGGGACAGCACGACCGCCATGGCCGCCGCCGGCTGAGCCAACAGGAGCGACGCCGCCGCCGCCGCGCGACCGGGCCTAGCGCTGCGCCCGCCGGCCCCGCCCCCCCGAGCCCTGCGGGGAGCGGCAGCGGCCCCTACCANCCCGCGCCGTCGGACCGGCACCCGCACCGACCCGGCGCCGCCCCGTGAGACCAGCGCGGGGCATCCGCCGCCGCCGGTGCTGCCGCCGCCGCCGCGCCCTTCTCTTCCTCCTGCGGCCGCCGCTCGGGCGGCCGCGCGGCCGGGCCGCGAGCGCGGAGCCGAGCCGCCGCGGTAGCGCTTGGGCAGGAGCGCGGGACGGAGGGGCAGCATCCCCCCAGCAGCGTGGTCAGCGCCGAGCGCAGGAGCTGGCACCCAGCAGGGCCGGGCTGCTCCGCTCCGCCGACAGGCTCCCGTCTCCGGGAACGTCAGCCGGGGACGAGCTACGTTTGTGAACCATCAGCCCCCGCAGGAGGGGGGTTCGGGGGGCGGGGGGCGCACTCGGAGGAGCCGCCACAAGCGCGCTCGCCCCTGCGACGGAGGGAGGGTGCGTGCGGCCGCTCCCCGCCGCTGCGAGCCCGCTGCGCGCCGGACCGCGCCGCCTGCCGGTGCCAGTGCCGCCGGTACGGGCGGGCGGAGCTGAGGCGCAGCCCTCCCTCCCCGCCACGGGAACGACCCTCGTCCCGGGTACCGGGGCGGCGCGCTCCCGCACGCACGCAGCCGGGCTCCGGGGGCGCGCACGGCCCCGCGCCGGCGAACAAAGCACACGGCCGCATCGCAGTCCCTGCGCCGCCCCCGGCCAGGGACTCCCTCGGCCTCGCGTTTGCGCCCACCCGCGGCCCGGGCTGCTCACCGCCTCTCGAGGTTTGCCCGGCCGCCGCTCCAAAGGCGCTCAGACCCAAGCTGGCCACGGGGCGCTGGGAAGCACCGTCGCCCCGTCTGCGTTTGTTTTCAGCTCCCAACAATAGAACAGACGTGGCAAAGACACCAGCGCTAGATTTCTACGCACAGCAGACCCAAAAGCTGATGTCTACACACTTCACAGATCTGCGAGTCTCATTTAAAAAAACACAATCGGTGCTGCCCTTGCCAGTTACAGACCAATTCTCAATAGCCTTGCGATTGATCCCATCGTCCTCTTGCCACTGCCACCAGAAGCCCCTAGACCAAAGCGACCTAACTCGCTCAATTCAGTATTTGTCCACCAACCAGACCGTCGGCAATACTTAACCTAAGGTTGAGACCCGGGGAACTTAATAACCGAATTTACACTTCATTCAAGGCAAACAGCTGGAAATGTGCACAAGTTTCTAGGACTGCAAAACACAGCTTCCCTCCCAGCCAAGTTTCTAGGCAGACTAGCATTTTATCATAGATACCAACTATGAAAATGAACACTGCTTCTTCTTACAAAAAGAATGCTTTTAAGAAAACTGATACCTGCAGCTGCATATAAGCATTGGTGAACAGTCCTAGGCACTCAAGAGACAAGCAACATTCAAAATTTTGCAATGTTTGGCCTTACACCAGCTGCTCCCACTTCCACAGCAGAGCATTACAACAGATGAAGCCCATATGTACTCAACCATAAACATTTCCAAAGCAGTTTTGTTTGTTGTTTTTTTTTAAACATAGCAAAACCGAGCAAAATTATCTCCTGTATGTCAGTTTGAATGTGTCAACACCAATAGGACAAATATGAATACTAAAATAATGATGTTTTGAAAATTTTCAAATATACCATGTATTGTGATGCACGAATGCAGCTGTGACTTTCAGAGTATTAGTCATAATAACAAGCCATTACCAAAGCCAGTGCAATAAATGTATCAGTTTCACATTTAGCTGAAACCCAAGTGTCTCTTTGTGCATCCCAGAGGCATCTGCTGGCAACCTAAAGGGATAAAAGAGAGAAAGTTACAAGTGAACCTCTATACAGCAGTTTTACTATTTATTTTTAAAGAACACCCAACATTATCTAAATGCTAATTAACCATATTAGGAGAGTTAAAACTATTAACAACAATGCAAAAGTTGAATAAAATTAACAATTCCTATTCAATGTTAAATACATGTTCTTGCTTCACAGTAAAGCTCCCACACATATAGATCCAAAAATCTCAGCACCAAATCCCCAATTCTCTCTTCACTTTTTACAATTTAACATACAGTAAGAGCACCCCTTCAAAAGCAACTGAATGTCAGTGTGAATAGACATCAGTTTTGGGAACATATACAACCAAGAAGTCACATCCCCCACTCCTCCACCTCCAGCTTACTCCAAGGTACTTGTAAATTTATTGGACTCTCAGCCTTTTTGATAAAATTGTTTTCAAAGCTAAACTGTGTGAATTGGTGGCTGGAATAAACATATTCCTTGGGAAAAAAATGTTAACTTGGACCACTTCACCAATCTGTCTGCACCTACAGCTCCTCAGTCAAAGCACCCCTTAAGAGACAGCGTACTGTGAGATGGCACCAGAAAAGCACGTAGATGCAGGCACCTCACAAACTGGATTTGGTACTGAAGCTGAACCCTTCAAACATTGTTTCATGTAACTCACTAAACACAGGTTGGTTTCAATCAGACTTTAACAACTGATGATGAACACTCCAAAGCAGAAGTGCTCTTTCACACTCTACTAGACAGATAAAAGCATTCTAAATGCCAATGGGAGGTCCAAGCTAGTTGGAATACTAATTTTATACACCAACACAGCAAAATCTAGAATCCTTTTATTTTAGGTCTTCCAAGTTCAGATGACTGGTGTTAATTTGAAGTCCCAGGAGCATGTCTGGTGGCAGCTGCAGTTACCATCCCTTTCCTTGCCACCCTTCTGTTCCATGACACCCCACACTACAACAGCATAGCATTTTGCATGGAATGTGAGAAACCAAATGGAGATCCAAGTACACCGGACAAAGAAAAACAAAATTCGCTGAACTCATGCAATTGTACTGGCACAGCAGACAGTGGAAACAAGTGGGTGACAGCAAAGTGCAGCTGGGGCTGTTTACCACTTACTGAACCCATGAAGACAACAACCTTCAGAGAGTTAGGCAGAATCATAGCAGCACCTTGAATTATCACCTGGGATACTATTACCCATAAAGAACATAAAAGCTTCAGGAGCACCTCAAACAAGTTAATCTGCTGAAAATGAAAGAACACCTAGGAGATAACACACAGTTCTGAAAGTTGTTTTTAATTTTCAAAAGGTGTAACATATAATATGTTTGCTTACAATCATTGCCTGATTTGCCTTTTCCACAATTAGCACTGATACCACATACTTATAACGGTCATAGTCCAATTCCTTCACAGCATTTAATATTTCTTCTGAGACTGAAGCACACAAGAAGGGACTAGAAGCTCCATCATATGTGGCTTCTTGTAGTTTATTCTATCAAAAACAATTTTGAAAGATCTTAGTTTTCATCCTAGTAGTCTTTTGCATAAAACACCCTTAACAGTAATTTTCATCACAAGAACATGAGAAGAACTGGTGAGTTGAACAGTCAGTACAGATGATGGTCTCAAACAGCAAAGGATGCACTTCTTTTACTCTGAAATGTTTTATCTGTTTTTTTAAAGGTGACACACAACCAGTCTCCATTGGATTGGCCCAGCCAATCTCCATTTAACAATCAGGAGTGTACTCTTCATTATTTGGGCTCAGTTCACTGGAAAACAGTGCTACAAGTATCTGTTCCAAATACCCAAGATATGTCTTCCAGACAACAAAATTAAAAAGATCTGGTTATAACTGTTAAAAATATCACTAACAGCTTTGGATTATCTCAACAAATTGTTTTCTTTCATATTTGCTTGATTTGTGTATGCACCAGTCTGACTGTCAAGGATACCAAGTAATTTTATGCAGGTCCTGTGATATTAGCAGAATTAATAGAAATCCACAAATTTGATGTCATGATCTTTTGCTAACTGGACATTTTGTGGATTATGGTACTTTGAACTGTGCTGTAGCTCAATTTGATTTAAAAAAATTCAAGAGTTTATGAAGCTTCAGCTCCACCTAAAGAGCACATGCTCAGCAGTGACCTTGCAGAGGCCCTTCTGCACTTTGCAAAACAGAGTACATTCACATTACATTCAGGTGCCAAAACTCAAAAGACTGCAGAGATGTACGCGTGTTTAAGTTTATGCAATATTCACTATTCCGTAAATACTTCTTCCAGACAAGCTGCTTTTGCCATGAGACAAGTAACTTAAATAATACTATACCGTTAGTATCGCTTGAGCTTTGTCTCTTAATAAACCATCCTGAACTTTAGTACGTGGCTCCAGTCTGTACGTGTTACGGTTTTTTGGCTTTGCCTTTCCTTCTGTTGGAGCCGTGCCTGAAGCATCCTGAGGTGCTTTTTTTCCTTTTGACTGTACAAAAGAGTAAGAAAAAATCCACATCACATGTCAATATTTTAGAATTTAAAGACTCTATATAATACTTTATGGTTTACAGCTAAGAGAAAAAAAACCCCAACAATTAGTCTAGGAATATATTAACAAAAACCACAGAAAGCCAGAAGCTGGTTATCATCTTCTGGCTGTTTCAACACTACTGTTTTGCCTGAAATAGGAGAAATGGTTGACTTCCACTCAATTTTAAATTATTTTCCAGCAAAATCCAACTGAACTTTTCATTAAAGCTCATCAATCAGATACACCATATTACCACACTGAATCCACTCCCTTTTCCAAGGAAAAATACACAGATATTAATGTACCCATCCAAGACTGTTAGCCACAAGTTCAAGCTTCTCATTCAAATAGCCTACACAATACCCAAAATACAGACTTGGTTCATTTACTACTTCATCTCGCTCATCCTGGCTCCTTGTTACTAAAAATAGTAGGTTATGTAATGATGATTTAATTTGCTCATTAAAAAAAAAAATAAAGGTTCCAGTGTGCAAAGCTTTGTAATTTTGCTTTGAACTTAAAACCAGATCTCTGAAGATCGTGTTTTCTCCCCATCCAGCTGTGTACTCTATCTCTTCAACACACATAACAAAACTTGTCCCTCTATGAATGCAAGAAGTCTAATGTTGCAAAAAAAAAGTCACCTGCTGTCCACCATGATGGCTTAACACAGAACTGTAAAATAGCAACAAAGACAGAGACAGAAAAACACAAGGAACCAATGAGATCATAACAAATGCCACAGGTAATGGTCTTCCGTACCAGCTACTTCCTAACAAACCACTTCTAAGTTTCACCAGTTTTTCAGTCTTGGCTCCACTTCCTGACTACTGCTAGAACCTAACATTGAGAGAAAATCATTGGTTCCTTTCCAAGAGAGCAGAAAAGAACTCAAAGGTGAAATAACATCACAATGCAAGGCTTATGCTAAGAAGTACAGAAAAAAAGTCACTTATGGATAATATAAAAGTCTAATGAGAATTATTTTAGAAAATGCACTACTAAAGGGCTCACAACTCTTTCCACCTGAGGAGTTTTAAGAACCAGGGAAGAAATGCAGTTTCTTCTCTATGAAATCACTTGCTTGCACATTAGTTCTGTCAACAACTATGGACATTACCTAAAAGTGTCCTCTAATTCCTTAAAAGCAGTGATGTTGGCAGCCTTAGTGCAAATTGCCTGCTGGTGTTTGTTGAACTCTGAATAGCACTTACTCTGAATCACAAGGACCAAACACATTTGCACTTAGCCTGTGGACACTCATTATCTACTAACTGCAAACTCAGATCTCAAAAGACTAAAGCCCTGACATGCTCATCATAAGTCACCTAACAGAAGAAAAACCACCTCAAGTCTTGCAGCTGAGGTCTTCAAATGAGCACTCCATCCATGTGAGTAATAATGAACTTGTGAAAAAGGGTGCAGTCCAAACAGTGATTATTTGCTGACATGGTTCAGCTTGAGCCACACTACCTTCAACCTCTATCACTAATGATGGAATAAAATTCATGTCTATAGCACACAACTTCTAACAATGGTGACACTTAAAAGTTTACCTGATATTTTTAGTGACAGGAGTTTTCACAATCACTGGCAAAAAGTCATTGCATTTACTAGTGAGGCAACTAAAAACCTTGATTTCTCTATAGATGTGGCTAGTAAATAAATCTTCTGCTAGAAAAACTTCTGGTAAATAAACCTTTTTCTGCTAAAACCCCAAGCTGCAGCACAATGTTGCAATTACGATTCTGTAAAATATTTGCGCTCACTGCGAATAAAACTCTCAGAAGTTCAAGAACTGACTAGATTTGAACACTTGACCAAAAATGCCTGTTCTTAGGCTACTCAACTTCAGTACACTGGCTTATCTTTGGACATATGGAAGGAAGTATGCTAAGAGAAAAAGAAAGCTTTTGCTATTTAAATGAAATTCTGTTTGTTAGTAAGTCCATTTTAACAACCAATAGGTTTCAGTTGTTAAAACAAACAGGAAAAAGTTCTTGTTTATTGCTTCAGAAGAGGGTATGGCTTCTAGTTTAGAGCAGCACCCCGAGTTGGAGAGACTGCCCCACCAAAGGCAGGACACCCCTTCTCTTTACCATCACAGCAGCTCGGCCTCCCTGAGCCAGCACACCAGCCGCAGGGCACGCGTTACCACACCTGACCAAGCAGAAAGAGCGCCAGCTATCCCAAACCGGGCGCTAACCAAGAAGGAACAGCATTCCTAATACCAATTTTCACAAGACCACACGCGCCTTTTAACCCGTCTTCTCCACGCCCCAACCTTCCCTCCCAGCTGAAGAGCCGCAGGCCCGGACCACTACGCCCGCCTCAGTCAGGTATCACACACCCCCGCCCCGGAGCCGCTGCCCCCTGCCGCTCCCGGCGGTGCCCCAACCCCGTCCAGCTCAGCCCCCTAGAGCCCCCCCCCCTCGCCCTGGCGGCCGCTCACCGTGTCTTTATCCTGGCGCTTTTTCCCTCCCTCCATGGCTGTGGCGGCGGTCCTGCTGGGCGGCGTGCGGCGGCCCGGGCCCTGAGCGCGAGCCGGCCCGCGCGGGCAGCGGTAACGGAGGCGGCGGAGGCTGCCATGGCGGGAGCGGCGCCGCCAGGCCGGGCCGGGCCCGGCGCTGCGGCCTGCGGGCGGCGCGGCGGGGACGGATCAGCCCTGCCCTGCTTCTGCCAGTGCCAGCCTGCTTTGCCTGCAAAGGTCACCGCCCTGCCCCTGCCTGGCCCGTTTTACATAAGTGATAGTAGTAAAGGATGGCAGGGGTCGTGCAGGTTTTGCTCTGGCCTTCTGTCTCTGGCCGTGTAAACTGAAACGGGAAGGGGAAGAGACAAAAATGAAGATTGACTGAATGATATGTCTTGGGAGCATTGTAGATTTTTAATTTTTTTTTTCTTTAAATAGCAGGTAGGTACTCCTGATGGCAGCTAATAGCGGTTTCCGGTGGGAACTGTTACTCTTGCTTAGTGCTGATAGCTATATAAATATTTTCTCTCCTTGAAGCCATGAATTCAGAAAGTACATATGTGAGGGTCAATTCTGCCGCCTAATCAGAGAGGAAAAATGTTTTTAATTCAACTTTAATGGCATATTTATCGTTATTATTAGTTGTGGTCCTTCATTATCAAACAACTTCTTGTCTCTCTGATGAATGAAGAAGTGTGACTCTTTTAACTAAATCAGAAGCATTTTCATCCTTGTTAATATAGGCAGTTTTATCTGTGCAATTTTTAAAATTTAAATGTGTGCTTCTGAATCAGTCCATTTTTTCTGTTTAGACTAATGTGAAAATAGCATGAATGCTTAAATTACACTAACATTGATACAGAATTCACATGTTCTTCCCCTGCCTCCCTCCAAGGATCTTGCTGGTTTTAAGGACTGATACTCTTGGTTTACTTGAAGTAGCATCAGTTTCCCTGCAAGCTCAGATTAGACAGAACATTTATGTACAAGCTGGGATATTTTGCTTCAGTCTGTATTGCCATGGTTTCAGTAGATATAACCATTCTGAAATAAACCATCCTGACCTTGTGAAAACAGAGCAATGCTTTCCATCAGTTTTATTATGGTGACTCTGGTAGAGAGTTCCTTTCATCACATGTGTGAATGAAACTTGCATTGCAAACCCAAACAGCATGTTTACAGACACTGTATTACTGTCTGCGTAGCTGTGCTAATGGGTATGTTTTAATATTTTTTTTTGTTCTCATGTGCTTTCTTGTTACAAGAATTCTTTCTGTGTATGTGTTTGTTCTAGATGGCGTTGCCAGATTCGGTCACTACTTGCCTTTCTCAACCTGTGCGTTATGCGATTTGCAAACTTGGATTTGAGAAGGAAGACACCTATGATATTAATAATATTTTATCTGGAAATGGGGAAGTATGTTGGCAAGCTGTTACAGAGCATGTGTGTTATCTTGAATCAGGTTGGTGTTTACCTGCTGTAGTAGTGATGCATGTAAGACTGATGCAGAATTTCTGTATAGCCCATAGCAATCCTAGCTGAGTTGTGACAGTTTGTTACAGTACACTGTTAGCTCTGCTGTAGATTAGAGTATGTAGAGTTCATATCTACAAAGAGCTTTAAATTTTTCATCTGTGTTTGGTATTTGGCTTTTGCTGGCTCCTAAGTTTTGTGTAATCTCTGCTACCTAAGTAGTTCCTACTTTGCCTTCATCTTGGTTCCCAGCTTAATGTGCCTGTAACATAAGGGGTTCTGCTTCTCTCCAACCCCATAACTGTCTTGTTCTGTGCTCTTTATATTCCTTTTGTACTAAATTTAAAAGCCTGGGGTCATCAATATTGCTACTGTTGCTTCTGTTTGTGTTTCCCAACTTTAGGTTGTACAGAAGTATGGTCTTGTTTCCCTTCTATGTGGAATAATTTGTACTTGGTTTTTAACCAAAACAAAGTATTTATGTCCTGATGAATTAATTGAATTTTATTTTGCCAAATTTCATCATGCGAGCTCTGTTATTAATTTCCAGAGGTGGTAGAAATATCTTTCAGTAAACTGTAAGAATTTGTTTTCCTATAAAAAGTGTGCCACGAAAAAGAGGCAGTGGTACCACTCTGTAAGGTACCGCATCCATCTGCCTTCTTTAAAGGCCATAAGTGGTGCAATTTGACTCTTGCTAAGTCTGCACTAGCTTCCAGATTGATATATGGAATTTCTATAGAAATTCTAGTGGGTTCTTCACATTTCAACAAAAGCAGAACACAATGATCCTATTTACTTTCATATTTTCTTGTGTTAAGTTTTTATTGGGGTAGAATTTTTGGGTTGTTTTTTTGTTCTATTCAGAGAAGGTGCTTGATCTTACCTAGTTTTGCATTGCAGTTTTACTTTTCAATACCTTTTCTGTGTGGTGTTTTGGACAGTAAATTGTATTGTATTTGTTGTGCTAAAATAGTCAGGATAAAACTGTCTATGCTAAATATGTACACAAACTGCAGCAGGTTTTGTCCCTAGTGAGTTTTAAAATATTAGACCTTCAAGAAGGTTGGTACCCTAATCACCTTCTGTTTTTCAATTTAAGATCAAAGCGTGGATTATATCAAAAGCATACGATCATTAGGACCTGTCTGTGAATCTGTTAATTCGTACTTCAAATCTCTGACCAAGGAGCAGTTTGTAATTCAGTATGTGTCGTGTTTCCACTGGACAAACTGCACAGAGGTATGGAAATTTCTGTAAAGTTTGCATTTTGGCACCTGAACTCTTTGTGGAAGTTTAATGTGAGAACACAGAAGAGACATCCATGAACCAAAATGCTTAGAATTTTTAACTAATTGTACTTCTCTGATAGATGGTTGCTTGTAATTTTTCTGACTTTGTAATTAGATTTTGTGTTAGACAGCATGAGGAGCTTTGGGCCTGTTCTAACATTAGTTTGTAATATTTTGTTTTTCTGATAGTCTGTGCCTAATGCCAGGTTTTACCTTGTAAAGTTATTATGGATAATTTTAAATATCTAAGGCACTAAATGTCAAGAGGTACTCTAGGGAAATTTCTCTCCAGGTAACTACACTTTCATTTCTTTGGCATAGTTTTCTTTCTACATTTGCATAGCAACTATCACAGAGGAATATTTACGTTTCTCTGTGCTATTGGCTATGTGAACTTTCCTCTTGAATATTGAACACAACAGTCTTCCTCTCCCCCATCATGCAGGTATTTCTGGACGTGTTTGATGTTTTACAATCTACACAAGCTACAGAAGTTGCTCTTGGCTTAATGAAACTAACATCATGCTTGGAGCGAGCCTTGGGTGACGTAAGTGCCAGCATGAGGAGTCTATCTTGGCTTTATAAGATGGGAATGAGCTCTTGGATTTAATTGTACATTGAAAAAAGTGATATTACCCTGTTCTGTAGTAGTACACTAATAGCCTGCATGCATTTTGAGTTGGACAGAGGTTCTTTCCTGGATCCAGTTGTGTTGATGGAAACATATGTGGGGCTCCTTCACCAGTGCTTGTGGAGTTGCTTGTGCATGTGCTGTTACTAACTAATTTAATTGGGAAAGAGAAATGTTTGATTGATCACTGTACACAGTAGGTCTTTATTAGTTTGATTTATTTAACTGAAGTAGGGTAGCATAGCTTCCACAGAAGATCTGATGGTGTATTAACTTCTGTGAGGGTGACATGCAGTTGGAAAAACAGGCGACTGGATAACTTCTTTCCTAGGGAGAAACAGCTGCTTAAACAGTTTATGCTCCTGGGCTGTTTTACAGGCAGGTAAATTAAAATGGGTAGTTGTTCAATATCTGTGAGGAGCTCTGGAGAAGGAAATGACAGAGAAAGAGCAGTGGGATAATTCACAATCCAATTTGCCCAATTGTGGGGCATGGTAAATTTTTCAGTAAAACAAATCACCAAAGATTGGAAAAACATGTCAGGTAGAGTGAGTACAAAGAATAGAAGGTGTGATAGCAGTTGAAACTTGAGATGCTAATATTGTCCAACAAGGATGAAATGTCCTTTAAATAGCAGTCTGAATCAGAAGATGAACCACAAATCTTCTCCCTTTCAGAGTGACAGACCCTATAAATTTGTATTGTAAAAACAAAATACACTGTAGAGCTCTTGGTAGAGCTTATCCCCTTAATTAGGTGTTCTTGTTGTGCCTAATTGGTTTTTGTGGGATTTTTTGGAAGAGAAAAGCAGTATTAGTACAGACCCTGTGAAAAGCCTAACTATGGTCACATTAAGCAAAATATCCACTCTTTCCTGATATGTTGTCTAAATTTTAATTTGTCGTGAAATTACAGAATTTAAAGTCTTTTTAAGGATTTGGTGGGTTTTGTTTGATTAGTGTTTTTACAATAATGAAAAAGGTTATTGGGTAAAATAGTCAAGGTATATATTTGAAATACAAAGAAGTATACTAAATTACTTATCTGTTCTGCTCTTTTTTTCTTAATAGGTGTATTTACTTAAGGGTAACGATTGTCCTTTCCTTCTAAGAGACTTGCTTGCATCTGAGCAGCTTGCAGATGTCTTTGGACAAGCTGTAGTAAGTACATAGTTTTGAAATAAGGAATAACTACTGGGCTGGTTTTCTTCCTACTGAATGTACCTTGTGTTAATTTGCATTAAATTACACTGAATTTATACTACAAGAACTAAGAGCCAAACTTGATCTCATTTTTTTGCCTGTCATAACTGTTTGGGATGTCTAATAACTAGTTTGATTCTTCCCATATTATATTCTATATCAGGTACAAATAAGCTGAGAGATTCTCCTTCAGAGAATACTGGGAATTGCAAATTATGAATTTCTGTTACTGTGACAAGTGGTGGCCAGTCATCTTGAGAGTAGACGTTGTAGTTTCTCAATAACTTCTGAACTTTTCTGCCAGGGAAATGTAATAAAAGTAAGAAGGGTAAGAAAGGCAAAAATAATAGATTTCTTCATGCAATAATTGCTTTGTTTATTAATAGATGAATGTACTGAGGGTATTCATTGGATCTCCACATGGTCTGAACCTTCGTAATGTTTTGTGGCATGGGTTTGTGTCACCACAAGAAATTCCTGCCAAGTAAGTTACCAGGAAAAGAACACTCCTTTTCTTACCATCAGACTTGTGAGTTCTTGGAGAGTGGTTAGTAACCATTTACTTCTCTAATGGGAAAAAAAAAAATTTCCTTGCTGCTTCTTCTGCTTCTTTTGGAAATGGATTTCCACGGAATACTTCAGCCATTACAAAGATGGCCAGTATTAGGTCCAGCAGGTTTTGTACTATTAGGGAAAACACGAATTTTTTTTTTTTTTTTTAAAGTCAGGACAGTGAGGAGTAACTTGTAACAAAAGACAGAGGAATAGTGTAGAAGGAGGAGCAACAGCAGCCAATGTACAGTACAGTGATGCTTTTTTATCTAATTCTACGCTTTTATTTTTTTTCATGCTTGTGAATGCAATTCATTATTCAGTGCTCCTACTTAGATGAGGAGTGTATCTTCTGGGTGTTCATTGAAAAAGTAAAAGAACCCCTTTGTTCCTAACTCACAAATGTTGGTTCTTTGCAAAAAAAATTTCTTTGTATAAGCTTTTCTAATATATTGTGGTCTTCTCCCTAGATACTGTGCTATGCTGCTCTTTTTAACTGCAGGATTGGGTCAATTGTTACAGGCCTATCTTCTGCAAACCAAAAGTGTTTTAGTACATCGATCTTATGTGATCTTCATTAGCTTAGAGGAGCTTGATGCATTTCCAGGCAAGTATTTAATGACTAGCAAATTTTTTTTTTATCCTGTATTTGCTATTGTTTCCTTGTCCAAAAGTGCTGTTGAAAATAATGTGTTTTCCAGAGTTCCAAGATTAAATCTTAACCAGAATACCTGCATACACCGTCATTAGGTGAACCAGCCATGCTGGTGGGGCAGCTTCTTAATATGTAGACTCTGACTGTTGAGTAAAGAACTACTGCATTCTAAAATAATTTTAACACACTGAAACATGAAATATGGATGCTTCTAGAAGACTTCAACTGTATGTTACATTTTTTGATTATGAGAATTAATTTCACGTAACAGTCATCTAGTTTGCCTTATGAAATCTAACTTCTTTTAGAATCAATGGATTACAGCTGCAAGGGTCCCAGCAGAAGTGCCCTCAGTCTTTCAGGGAAGGTAGTGTTGAAACAGAGTAAAAGATGGTGACACATCTTTATTACAGTAATGCTCTTTTCAGGGAAGGATTTGAAGTGTCAGATTAAAATCTTCTCCCTGTCCACAGACCTTGTTTGGTTTATTCCCACTATTTTAGGGTAATAATAGCATATAGGAAATCTTGGTGTCAGTGGTGATCATGGTCAATTTGTCGTGCATAATCAGTGGAACATCTGTCGAAGAAATTGAGACAGGGCTTTTGGGAACCAAATCAAGTTGATAACATTCCAATATCGATGTAGTAGAAATCCTATAGATGTTGATTGGCTTTGAAAAAACACCTACTGCAATGAAGTTACACTTATCATTTCAAGTTTTCTCTTGGCTAAGACATTTATAATGTGAATTTATAAGTGTGGGTTTCATTACATGGCAGCATTGAAGTATGAAGTGTTAGTTTATTATGCTGTATTTTCAACACAGAAAATTGATAAAATAGGAACAACATGCTCATGTTCAAGTGTTCATACTACTGTATTTCTATTTCTGAATATTAATGATTCTATTAATCATTTCTATTCTGGCTGAATAGAAATGATTCATTAATATTATACTTTTTAAAAGTTATCTGAAGTATATGGAGAACAACTCAACAGAAGCTGGGTCCAGTTGCTATGTAGTCTTTCAATAAAAAGCAAACATGACTCCTTTAACTGGTTTTACTCTGTAATTTTATATTATCACCACAAATGCAATCTTACATATTTAAATTCTGATCTTAAATATGGCTACTGTTGTGCTTGCATAGTTAAAATAAATTGGATGACTTTTAAATCTCCCTTTAAAAAGATTGAAATAATATAATATTTTCAGTGAAATAGTTAAAATTCATTTGTGAAATGTAGATTATATGTAATTTTTCAATGTTAGTTTTTTAACTTGCAGATCTTAATAATGAAATCCTTTCCATAGCTGAAGAACTAGTAAAACTGTCCCGTTTTGTATTAAAAATTATGTTACCATTTTGGGTTGCTGCTTTAACAGCTTTCAAGCAAAGCAGGTAAGATTTTTCTAAATTTTTTTTTAATAGAATCTAAAAAAATATATATATTCTTTATTTTTATAACTGCATTTCCAGATTCCAAGGCTTTGTACTAAATTACTTCACAGCATATAATTATGCTTTGTTATGGTGCTCTCTTAAAAAGTTTGAGTTATGGCTTTGTTTTGTGCCAACTAAGATTATAAACTCTATTTTGAAGCCCAAAAAGAGCTGTTGGAGATGTAGCAAAAAAGGAGAGGTTTACAAAGCAAGTGGAAATAAATCTTCATATGTTAAATCACACATATTTTGGATTTTTAAAAAAGTGTATTGTTTTGTTTTCCTCTCACATGCTCCATCTTTTTGTGAGTTATTATCATCTCTAAGCTTGAATTCAGTGGTCAGTTTCTGTTTGGCACAGGTAGTCATTTATTGTTTGGTTACAAAGTGCATTACAAAGTAATTTTGTCAGGGTTGTTTGACCCGAGACTGTAGCACTGAAATGGTTTATATTTATAAGGAATAAAAACACCCTTTGGATATCTCTGTTACTTTTTCAGGTATGCTGACAGTGTGATTCTCTTACTTCCTCAGCTGGAAGCTGGACTTAGATTGCTCTTCACTACAACTAATAAATGTCCAAATAGATTGCTCACAGCAGAGGTAAACTTTTGTCTAAAGTCAATTTTGATTTAGTGCTTACAATATTTGCAAAAGAGTTATTCTAGAAGTGTAGTGTCTGTAACCATTTACAGATTTACCCCACAAAATTTCAATCAATTTTTGAACATTATTTGCAAATCTCCAGTTGAGATTCATGAATGCCTTTAATATTTTTTTAAATGTCTGCCTCTAAAAAGTACTGAAAATGTAGTAGAAGATTGAAGTTCAGAAGCAGTAGTTTAGGGTGAAAAGCGGGACATGGTATATTTCTTTTAAAAAACTCAGCACAAAATCCCAAAGTGCCTTTTTTCATTCATAAGGGGACTTTTTTGCTATTCATGCACCTCTGGTATCTCATGCAAATGAATAAACTTAAGTTTTGTATACATGACTAGTTAATTGATTTTGTTTGAAAACCAAATAATATAATTTATTTTTTGTTCTAGTCTTCTGCTCTCTACACCACTTTCGATGAGGTACTGTGATTTTTTTAAAGTATGTATCAGTGTCAGAATTTAAACCGTGAGTGTTTCCTATTATTAAGAATGCACTTTATTTTGTTGAATATGGCATTATTTCTAATTTTTTTTTCAAATAAAAGATGGTGGACAGTAAACACTTTAAATTTGGAATGCTCCAGCAAATATCAAAATTAATACAAATTGTAATGAAGGGACAATTTTTTCTAAATGTTTTTATCTTGAAATTCATCACTCCTCAGAAACAAACATTCTGCTACATTTCCTAGATTCAGTTATTCAAAATAAATGCAAATAAATATTGCCAGCATAAATCCTCAATTTTACAAGTTGATTGGAGTATTTCAAGTTGTTTGTCAGTAATAATTAGGCATCTTGATTCTAGAGTGGCAGAAGTAATCACATCAGATTAGGAAAACTACTTTAGTTGGTGTTTCTTCTTTGATTGTATGGTCTTCAATAATTTAATAAGTTTCTATTCAAATTTTATTTTCTAGATGCTAGCAAAGCATTTGGATAATGAAGAAGTCAACCAGCTACCTGTAGTTCTTGAGGAGCCTGCCATGGAAAGTGTTTTGAAAGTGTTCTAGGGTTTCGTCATCGTTGTCTTTTGTTTGTTTGTTTCTTTTAGTAATAATCTTTATGATATGCCTAATTTCATATAGCTTATGTTCAGCAACTTAGAACCTTAGAAGCTTGCTAGCCTTTTTTATTGTGGAGGATAAAAAGTTATACCTGACAAGCTATATTGCATTAGGCTATGGGACTAGTTTTCTTTCTGAAATATAGTAAGTGTCTCAGAGATATTTGTCTTTAGACTCCTGAAGTTCGGCTGAATGGAGCAGGAGAAGAACTGATGCCTCATACAGGGAAATTTCAAAACTTATTTCTGATTGCTTGTGAGACAGGCCTTACACTCTCTGGGCAGATAGCACAAAAATGTGGCTCACAACTACCAGAGCACATTCTGCATCTTACTACACAAACAGATTGTGAGCAGGAAAACTAGGGGGGCTGAGTTTAGAGGTCTTTTGAGAGTATAGGGGACATCTGAGGTTACTGTCCTGTTGCCAGAGGCAGTGCGGCTGTGAAGGTCTGGGACACAAAGCTGATGGAAATCTGTTGTTAACTGTCACAGTATAGAATGTATGTTGCAAGTTTAGTTTGTACTGTTTTTTTTGTGAATATCTGAACACCCCTATAATATAGACATGGTCACATACTTGTCTTTCAGAGGTATTCTATACACTGAATATGTTCAATTCTGTATGAATACACATAGAATAGAATTCTGTATAATTGGTGTGTGCTTCCACAGGACTTCCTTTGGGATTTCTTGAACCACCAGGAGGGCCCACGTATAAGAGATCGTTTAAGCCATGGAGAGATCAATCTAGAAACATTTCCCAGAGAAATAGCTAACCAAATAGTTGGATTTGCTATTACTATTCTCTGCAGATTCTCAGATAAGAATATGTTTTCTCTTAAGGTATGGACCAATATTTTGTTCTTAGATATCTTTCTTTGGTTATTTTGGATATCAAATATGATTTTAGATAGTTTTATGACTGTTTCTTGACAGCTGCTTTTTGCGTAAATGAAATATTCCTCCAAGTAAAAAATTGTGAAAGTATGGTTTTGCCTAGTTGTGTAGTGAAATAAGTACAGAAAGTTTTCCAAAATGTTGCCCTTTCTTGCTGTACCTTAATTTGTTGGCTTAACCAGTCCTTATTCAAAAGGTTGATCCGTAAATTATAATGATTCCACTTAATTTTGTCAAATTGTATTGATGAACTAGCCTGTTTATCTGCAGAATTATCTGAAAGGTATGTAGAACATCTGTGGCTCACCCACTGAGGTATATAGTGTGTAGTTATTGAGATTTTCTTTTCCTGAGACACTGTAAATAATAGTGCCTTGCTAATGGAAGTGTTATTTGTATCTATACTTACACTATGAATTTGTAAACACTTTTTGCCTAGCAGTATGTTTCTCAAAATCAGAAATAATTGTGTTTGCTCTCCCCAGTTTCCTGTTTATATTTGAGATTACTTCTGTCAATATCATGCAGCAACCTATGAGATAAATCTTCCATTTATTAGTTGCAGCTCTTTTTTAGTTTCTCAAGATGTATTGTGTGCTGCTGCATTATTAGAATACTTGGTTGCTTTTCTGTCAGCTGCTGTCAGGCTTCATAGTTAAAATATGTGAAATTAAGCTTTAACTCACTGTGCTGATTACTTCTTTCAGCCCTTGGACATTTTGAAGTGTTTAACATCAGTGACATCAGTGCTATAGGTGGCATGCATAAAATGAAGTCTAAGTCTGCATGTGATTAGGACAGCTTAGAGAAACTGTTGTGTATTGTCTGTGATCTTGTAAATCAGGAACACATGGTCATAAAACCACTGATGAGCTGTGCAAGTTGCTACCAGTCTCGATTTCATCCAATTTCCCGACTCAAGAAACAGGTAGGTACTTCCATCTGTGACAGCACTGTGGTTCTTAAAATTGTGAATCCTCAAAATTATCTAATTCTTTTCTTCATGCTTTGATTGTCCTAAAAAAAAGCTGAAATCTTACTTTCTCTTTTTTTCTGGTTTATTTTTCAAAATATAAAGGAAATCACAGTTGCTAAAATGAGATATAATTATGCACACTCCTGTTAATGCAATTAATAACGTATTTGGGTTCTAGATCACTAAATGGCTTTATTCTTATGTGAGTGTTTGCTTTTCTGTAGTTTTCTTAATCTCCATATGCTTTTTTATGTCAGGAACACTGTTGGGTCCTGTCTCCAGGATTAGGCTATTACTAAGTTTTTTTACGGTATTTTTTTTTAGAAGGCCAGCTGATAAGATTCTGTCATGGTAGCAAAATCTGCTTTCCAATGTCATAGTAGTTCTCTGCCAATCAGTTTAATGAACTGCTTTAGGATGTTTCTCTATTGATTTGAGATTGCAGTAGACGTACCTAGTTCTTTTACTTTTCAACAGCATGCAAACAGTGTATTATTACAAAAGTCATGTTAGTTAATTTTTTATATTTTTTTAAAAAAGAGAATACTAAATTAGTTTGTTCAGATAATGTTTTAGCATGGAAGTGTACATCAAGACTTTTTGCCCTAACCTAAACTTTAACAAATGAAGTTGGCTTACATGGTTTTTGACTAGTGAACAAATAACTTACTGCTTGTTGCAGTTTTTTTTCTAAATGGGCCACTAAGAAAAGTGTATCAAGGTCTGTACTTTACAAAACATTTTTCATGATATATTTTTGAGGTGCTGGAATGTATGAAGAGCATCTGTTTATGGCCTGAATTGGAAACAGTGCCTGAGGAACAAGTACAAAAGATTAAAGGGTATGTATGTGCTGTATAAGATCACCAGATACAAAAAAAGCAAATAATTTCTTATTCTGAAAAGAACTTGGTAACCAGTGGGAAACTTTATATAAGATATTAGTTAGAAAAAGAATGTATCATTCTATCTTCATTTGAAAAGGAGGAAGACATTAATAATATCACTGGAGGATATATTGTACTTGTTTAGAGCTGAGAGAAGAAAATTTAATGCATCTATCTTATAATCAGTGTACTGTAGGCATTTTATGAATGGGGGATAAGGAGGGGTTCTGAATATTGCTAACAATGAGAAAAGGTTGCTTTAGTTGGAGAAAGAAAATCATGCTTGTAAGGTAGAGGGAAAAGAAATTACATGAGAGCATAAAAGTGGATGCTGAATACACTACTATCCAAAAAAATCTGCATCTTGATCGATGCCATTTAAGAAATTATGAGTACTAAACCATTTTATAGTGTCAAATATTATTTTTTTCTCTCTTTTTTTTAAGGTTAGAAGGAAACGCTGAAGCTAATACTTTAATTTTGTTGATATCTGAAATTATATCTCAGTTGCAGCATTATATGCCCCAGAATTGCTGTAGTTCAGATGATCCTATCAATGGTGTCCTAACAGAGAGGTGAGTTTGATGCCCTCCTGGTTCCTGCTGTCAGCTTCTACTTGCAGCCCAATGTAAGAATTCTCAAACCTAAATTATCCTGTCCCTGTTTGCAGAGAAATGCTTGAAATGTTGTATGCACTTTTCTAGTGTTGCTGCTGATTTAATCTGAAAATTTTAGGATTGCAGCTGAACATCATCTTCAAAATAAGGATGAGACATTGTACATTTTGGAATTACAGTAGAGATATTACTTGGAAATTAGACTGAAAAAAACACCATTTTTTTCAGACCACAAAAGCAAAATACTTTAAATATTTATGTACTTACTAGATTAGGTTGGTTTTAGCCTGGTTTGTGCTAAAACTGCATCAGAAAATCGTTTTAGTGTGCTTGGTGTCACATCTGTGTGTGGTGTTCAAAATGGCAATATGCTGCTATGTAATTGTATTCTTCATGCTTTAATATCAAGATTCAGAAAGAGAAAATGTCTTGTTATACTTGGTGTCAGACTTGGAGGTATGTTAATTCCAATTATGTCTGATTTGGAATAATAATCAAAATAATTTGACTTTTAATTGCCACTCTTAGAGCAGCCTTAAGAGTCCCACGACTGAATGAATATAGTGGAACAAAACACTCCTAATCAAACCCATTAGGCATGGGTGGCATAGAGCAAAGAGGATTCTACACGTTGCTTTACTTATATAACATGTGGGTCTTCTGCTTCCTACCCACCAATCTGCAAATTTATTATTTGGGGGACAGAAGCCTAATTATTGATGTGTGTGTTAGACCTTTTCTTAGAGTTTTGTGTCTTTATCACTTCAAGTCATTAATGTTTTGCTATCTCAGGGATAAACTGAGCATGAGGGAGATTAACAAACACTTTTATAAGAACAGAGTGTTTAAAGTGATGTGTGACACATTAGTGTAGCAGATATGACAGCAGGAAGATATTTGTGAACTTCAACAAAGCATGATCTGGTGTGATGTTGATTTAAAAAATGGCCTCACCACCTGCATTTTACGCAATGTTAGGTCTGCTTCTTGTTCTGCCCAGAAGAAAGACCACACACTAATGGGAGTACTAATTAATAGCATTTGTTTCAGTAAGTTTTATTATGGTTGAGGTTAATTCATTGTGAGTTGAGCTATGGGAGGCTCCAACCACAGCTCTGCTGTGATTTGATGTGTTCAGTGTATCATTTCATCCAGGCAGTTTTGTTTATTGTGGCTGTGTTTCTTTGATCTGAAATGAGAAACATGTTCATCATAACCAGTTTTGCATTTATATTCAATAAAGTGATATAAAACACAATCACTACTCCTACTACACAGATCCTTGCTTTTTTTCAGTCATGAGGGAAGGGCAGTTTGTTTCCAGGCTTTCTGAATTAAAACACGTACTTAATATGAAATGTATCCTATGTTAAATCCAGCTAACAAAAGATTGACGTTAAAAAATCCCTTTCTGTTTTGGAGGCTGCTGGTGGAACTTTGTGATACACGCATTTGCACGCTGTATTCCCCACGACCTGTCCTGGAAGTAGTGGTGGTACTCCGCAAAATAAGCACGCAGTGCCATCAAGTGTCCCAACAGGTTATTGCCGGCGCTGGGCTGAGATACACGCAGTGGCTTAACAAGACTCTGCGTTCTCGCCAGAGGCACAACTATCGGCGAATGCTGAACAGGTTGGCTGCTGGTTTTGCTTTACGCTGTGGTTAGATTTGTGAGAGAATGGCTGCACGCTGCTGTTGCTGCCTTTCCGTGGGTTCACTTGGAAGTTTAAAGTCAACAGTGTTCACGTGTTCTTGTTAACCATTTCAGAGTCAAGTGTCAACCAGATTTCTATCAAGTAGCAATATTGATATAACAAGAAAATCTCAAACTGGAGAATAATTTAAGGGGCATTGTTAGATTATGTCACTGTAAATTGCAAGCTTTCAAATTAAGTATTGCTTGAATGTTAGATTGTAATTTTTTTTCTAATTTCTGGCTTTTCCTATTTAGGGATATAAATGCCATTCAAGTTTTATCTGACTGCAATAGTTTAATGGATTTGAAGATTTTATCTACTTTATTTTACTGCTTTTTATCATTACACCTGAATCAGGCTCTATAGATAGAAGAGATTTTAATATTCCATTAATTTTTTAGTAATCACAGGGGCTTTCCAGAGTTATAAGTATTGTGTTACTGGCAAGGTAATGTTCCTAAAAATGTTAACCATATTATTTAAGAAACATAGCGTAAACTGACACCTGATGATACACATTTGTGATTCAATTAAACTGTAGTTTATTATCTGTGGATTAATGGGTGCTCATGAGTTTTTCTTTGCAATCTTAGATATATGCCTTCTCTGCCCCCTTCATTTTCAGTTTATAGTATTTTTATTTTTCTGGGATTTGCACTGCCTTTTGCTGAGGGACATTTCGTAGTCTTTTTTCCTCCCTGACTCTGCAATATCCAGCAATTTAGATTGGGTGCAAAAGTCTTAATATTTTTTTTAATAATAATTATTTCTTCTTAATTTGGTTTTAGTTTGGTTTTTTAAGTATTTTTATTTTATTTCTAGCATTAAATTTTTGTCTCCAGTGTTGCGACTCATCTTACTATTGATTACGCTGGAGCTAGTCAGCGTTCATTCAGTTTGTAAGAAGAATCCTTTTGATTATCAGCAGTATCTAAAGTGAGTACATAAATTTACTTTATGAAAATAGGAATTGCCCCAGAATTCAGTTTTGATCTGTAGAGATTTTTCATCATTATAGTCATAATTTTACCTTGGACAATGTTCACTCAGGAGCTAAAATAACTTTCTTGAAGTGTAGATAGGGAATATTAATACATAAAAGTTGCATTCAGTATGTTGCTGACTTTACTCCTTGTGTGTTAATTAACAGCTGGTTGGATATCACATACATTGTGAAACATTTGATAAAGAAAGCAAAGGAAGCCATTTGGGGAAAACTCTGTCACACATTTGGTCACTGTGTTCTTTTTATGATGGTGTTAATTGCAGTTCTGAAGATCTTCCCATCTTAGTGTGAGAGGGAGGGAGTGGTTCTCCAAAAGTAGAACAAACCTTAATGTATTGATCAACCAATCCTCTTGAGGGAGATTTGGAAACTTGAAGATGTTTGCAGCTTTAAGTCAGGCATTGCAATATTCTTCTCTTCTCTTTTTTTTTTAATTTTTCTTTTTAAATCCTTAAAGGAGTTTTTTCTCTAATGTTATTTCTCATAGGTTTTTGAAGTCAGTATTGCAGTACACTGAGAACTTGGTGACATACACAAGCCCTGACAAAAACAAGTGGGATGAAACCGTGGAACTTACAAAGAAGACTTTGATAAAAATAAGGAAAATCAGTGACAGAAAGCTAATGTTAATGCATCTAGCTACATGAATGAAATGGGCTTACAGTTGTCTGGACATTGTTATATCTAAACAGTTACAGAGACCTCATATTTAATAATCTAATTCAAAGACAAATTTCATAAGTTATTTTCAAATTTTGGATGCAAAATTTACACTTTTTATCAGAAGGTAGCTGCTGATACTGGAGATTAATGATCAAGGCTCCAGAAAATGGGTTGTTTGTCAAATCCACTGAAAAAGATTTACTGTGAACTAAATCAGGACAATACAAGTTCTACTGTAAATATATCTTGTGTTTTGTACATTGATTTTTTAAATTATTTTTTGTATTTTTTTTCTTACTGTACTGAAAAATACCTAAGAAAAAAGTGTGAATAAAAGCTCTGGAAATTTTTAAATCTGAAAAGTAATTTTTTTATTTTGGGATACATCAGCTATTATGTCAGAGACTGTGATCAACAGGCTAAGAAATGATGAACTTTTATCATAAAATAGTGCTCATTGGCATCTGTGGTTGTTATTAGTTGTAAACAGTCTGATTTTGCTCTGAACTCTGAGGCAGAGCTGGTAACACAGTAACCAGTTGTTTTTAGACGAGGATTTAAAGGAACAGGATAGATACTTCTGCAGGGTATGTGTTTGTTTTGTTAAATTTCTCTTCTCATTCCAAAACATATTTAGTTAGTTAATTTCATACAGAATGAATGTGAACACACACATGCACATGCTCACAGACATGTATTCGCTGTGGTTTAGAAAGTTATCCTCTTATTGCACACAATATTAATTTGAATATTTTAGTTTTTCAAAATAAATTCTCCCACTTTTTTATCACCAAAGAGTAGGACTTCAGAGGAATGCCTAGGCTGAAGAACAGATTCACAGAAGACCACCAGTGTCTCTCCATTTGCTTTCTCCTATGGAGAGTAAAATCAGAGGGTAATGTCTGGAGAATGTTTGGCTCTACAAAGGATTAAAGATTCAAGTTACATTTTAATAAGCTTCTTTGCAGTGTTTCTTGACTGGAAATCACAGCTAGAGAATTACTAGTTTGGTATATTCATTGTGGGGGATGGATATAAACTAAGATCATATTGCTTCCTTTGTGCTACTCTTGAAATAAATTGTGTGTGTTTGAAATTTAGCTTTGTCACTTCCCAAAAATTCTTTTGTTGCCATGAAAATAAACTATGTGAAGAAGTTTGAATTAGAAAAAATAGATTAAATCTAGAAATAGAGAATAATTAGTCTAATGTAGTGTATAAGCCTAAAAGTTCAGCTTTTTTAAAAGTCTGAGTCAGCAGATCCTAATTATGTTTTTGGACGTTTATTTTGTACCCAGTGACTTTGCTTGGATATATTAACTTCTGCTAAGTGTGTCTTGGTAGTCACACTTATGATGACATTTGCTTTGATGGTGATAAGCATTCTAAGACAAAAATCATTTAAGTTTTATATATTCATTGTAGGAACAGGATCAAGAAATTACCACACAGTCATGTTTTGAAAGTACATAAATGGCTGGCACACTTTCTCCTTTTGAAAGTGCATTCATGTACCAAAAGGCACCTAATAGACTGCAGAAGTGTATTTTCAACAACATAAGTTCTCCTTTTGTTGCTATATTTAAACTTGGGTTAAATGATCTTGCATTCAGTTTACTGCATTTGCTTTACCTAACATTGACAGTTTCTTCTTTCCTAATTAGTGCCACAGATGTGATTTGCTGCTCTAAGTTTATGGTAAGAAGCATGAAGGATTTCTGGCAATTCTGTCAAAGATGCTTTTTCAGTTTGTTTTCCTACCTCTGAAGCTCTCTGATGGGAACACTGCTACCATCTATTGTTAAACAAATCTGGAACAGGCTGGGACAATCCAGTTAGTTATTCTGACTCAATGCTGTCATTTACCAGAAGGGCTTATGCATGCAGGACTTATGGCTTATGACAGCTCTACATGTAATTTGCATGCAGGGCTTACGGATTTTTCCTGCTGTTAAAAGACTTGTGGAATAGAACTGTAGAATAAAGTGTATATCCTGCAATGCACATTGAAGAACAAATGGCAGGAGATGTGATGGAGGTCATTTGGTTTGTCCTTTATCAGTTACTCATTTTTCCACTTCAGTTACTCATCTTTGCCATCTCTTCAGAATCACTTTTAAGACGTAAGAGTCTAAACTCCAAACAATCAGCATTCCTGAGACCAAAAGAAGCTTGGAATAACTATGTATCTAGATATATCTAGAATTGTACTAAAAAATGTTTTCTTCCAAGTGTGGTATTTCATCCAAGTATTAGTTGGATCTGATTTAATTGTTGGCCTTGCTCCCCAGGGTCTGTGTTTTCCTTGAGGTATTCACACAGTAAATCTAAATATCTATAAATCTATATAAAGATTTGGAAGCTGCGGCACCCCATGAGGAAAAGTGTTGAATTATTTTGTTTACCTAGATAATGCTAATGAGGGAGTGATGATTCATAAGTCAGTTAGTCCAAGTTCAATTCATCAGTTTATGAGAGAGTCACAGAATATGCCAAGTTGGAAGGGACCCACAATGATAGCTGAGTCCGAGGTTAACTCCAGGCCTTGCACAAATCACACCATGTGCCTGAGAACACTGTCCAAAAGCTTCTGTCAGGCTGGTTCTGTGACCACTTCCCTGGGGAGCCCATTCCAATACCCAAAAACCTTCTGGATGGAAAATATTTTTCTAATATTTTGACAGCCTAAACCTCTCCTGGCATAGCTTTAAGCCATTTCAACATTTGTGATTTTTGGTACTTTCTAGGGAGCATCAGGATCAACTACAAGTTCGCTGAGGTGGGCATTGCACAAGTACAATGAAATATTTTTCACATCTGTGTGTGAAAACAAAGCTTGTTCTTTATGTTCTTTGAGTCATTCTCTAGGGTGTGCTTTCAATGGCGATAGGAAGGTTGGAAACAGAACCATGTGTTCTTATTCAAACATAACACCAGCAACTAAAAGTAATTAAAACCTTCTTAGGGTTGTCATCACTACTGCATTATACAGAAACGTTTACGTAAGAGACAGAGCCACAAATGTAATTTACTTCATCTTTTAATACATCCCATCTAGCGGTTTTCAAGCAGCCTGATGGCTTTTGAAGTGAACACATGGTGGCAGTGTTTGGTAATTCAAAATAGCACTCCATGGTGACATTCACTTTCTTATCTCTTTTATTAGGCTGTGTATAAAAAAAAAAAAGAAGTTTTCTTCTGATTTCATCAGTTTTGTTTATATGTTTCTTTAATGTGTCTTCTGTAGAAACTTGTTTTCTCATTGTTTCAGATCACTTTGGAGAAATTGAACGCATTTGAAAAAAAATTTTTTGCAAACATTTTAATAGTTAAATAGAGGTTCATCACATTTTCCACACTACTTGCTGAGGACTTCTGGGATTTGTCAGAAGTCCATCAGCTTCCCCTCTCCTTATGTAATGTAAAAGAATGAGTTATTCAAATTTAATAAATAATTTAACAAAATATTGGTTTTTACAAAACATAAGTATTGATATTCCTAAAAGAAAAAGTTTCAGATTGTCATTTATTAATTGCTATGAGAGCACCAAAAAAGGTTTTTTCTCAAAAGCAATGTATATCTTTCAAACAAAAATCATAATTGTCAAGAGATATGTTTATTGGGAAAATTTCACTAAGGTCTCAGCCTTATTGCTGTGGTAATGATTTTTCAGTCTGTTGTAACTGAAATGTGCTACTCATATGCTGCCCTGTGAAGAAGAGCTAGTTGAGCATTGCTTGTTGGGTGGCCTTAGAAAACCTTGTCCATGGTAGCAATTTCAAACCGTGCAGAGAGGTTGCAGTTAGAAAAGATTTTCATTCACATGATGTGATTTTTGTGCACTGTGAAATCTTGTGTAGAAATGTTGGAACATCCCCAGCAGAGCTTTTTTTTTGCCTACACATCATGAGTGCCTCTGGTCCATGTGTGGTGTATCACCTTTTTTTCATAAATTAGTCTGCAGATGCAGAGCAGATTCCTGGCTGGTGTAAACTATTCCTGTTCTATCTTCTTTGGGGCAGATCCTTTACTCTGGTAAGGATCCTCCCCACACTGTTTCAGTTTCCCTTGAAGGGGGTTGGTTTCTAGCTGTACGTCTTTTTTCAGCCTGTGTATTTTCAGGGGACTGGAAGAAAGAGCCACACAGTTCAGATAAATTTGCTGTATAACAAAACCTCGTTAATTTAGTGGTTTACATTGCAGGGAAGTGAGGATCATGTGTGGGACTTCACAGCTACAAAGCAAATACTAGATTCTTTAATATCTTTGTATTTCTGGAATAACTTTGCCTATAGTCGAAATGAGTTTCTTTTTGAGGTTTTTTCAGGGCAGCACTGTAAGTTAGAACACCTGATATTTGCTTTTTAAAAATTTTCAAGGATCAATGGAGATCTCTTATTTAAGAAGTCTTTTAAGCCATATAGATTTTCAGATAGAAATTGAAAGGAAAATGCCTGTTATTTGTCCTCCCTGGGCCTCAGGCAATAGGATATACATGGGTAGTGAATACTATGTGAGATCAAACTGGCGTTTTTTCTGAAGGTGAGAATCCAAGACAATACATACAATTAAAGCCAACAGCCTTGCCTACCAAAAGGAGTCCATGCCTTCTGGCATTCTCCACTGAATACCTCCTCTGTTCCTCTCCCATGTATATGCATCTCACAGTTTCTCAAAAAAAAAAAAAAAAAAAAAGCATAGTAGAACCAGCCAGCGCCAGTTTGTTTCCAATGTTTTCTTTTCTCTGTAAGGGATTAGTTGTAGTAACAGATTTCATGTGCCAGAAAGTGGGTGAACATTAACTATTTTGTCATGCACTGATCCTTCCCACAGCCCTGCAAAATTTGAAATGCGGGAATGGTTATTCATTAACATTTCTTTGTGTCTGCAGGAAGTACATTTACTATGTAAACATGTTTTATATAGAACATACAGCTGTTTTGAACGAGCACTCAATGAAACATAAGAGTACAGTGCCTACACTGCCACTTCAGAAACTCTGAGATACCACAGCATTGTGTTTTGGAAGAGTGAACACAAAAACCCTTGGTGGAAGTTTCTTTAAAAAGCCAAAAATCTTTGACTTGCTTGATTGTTTTTGTAGCTAAAATGTATCTGCACACTGAACTATTAATGTGCAATTTTTAGAAGTGGGGGGAAGGGGGGAATGTGTTTGTGCTGATTTTAGTGGAGATCTCATTAAAGAAAGAATAATCAAGCACCATCAGATAGTTCATTTTTCATAGACTATGAAGAATATTGCCACCAGAAAGAAAAAACAAAAACTTATAGCATCCAGAAAATGCGCCTAGAATATCTAGAAGAATCACATG